GGACAACCTTCGACTTAGGAACGTGTGTATGAGCTCATGCGATGTGATGTCCGCTTATGTCCACACAAGCCTGACTGGTGCTGGGAGGACCCGAAGGACAAAGAACATTACAAACTCAGAACTCACATCTAGAACGACTTATCGGCTATGTCAATGAAGGTGGCATCCGAGACAGCCATGACGATGTTCCCGGTGATATTCATCGAGACCTAATTCTAGAAAGGGGAACAAAGTTTGAAAAAAAAAAAAAAAAAAAAGGTAACAGGAAAAAAGATATTAGCTTGGCTAGAGTAAAGTTTTCATAGTGCAGATTAAATGTAGCTTAGTCAACAGGTGCTGGCTAGATATATGATATGGATGACAGAAACCGAGGCGAAGGAACTTATTGTATGGTTTTGTTTTTCTCAATCTTTCTCAAGTCTATCCAAAAGTCTAATAAGCATGTCTATAAAACCGCTCCCTGATGATGCTCTAATTTCACTTTCTGTCGTCTGCCGATACAAAATGCAAGACGCCGGGCTGTCTACTCTCCTGCCTCTTTTCTGATACATAAATGCACTTTCGGAAGGTCACCATCAACGAGTATAAGAAGCTTTCCTCTTTTTCTTCATGGTAATTCTCCCCCAACAGAGGCTGGATTGCCTTGGTAGCCTGTTCCGCTTTGTAAAAAGGAACTCGACTAAAGAGGTGATGAACCACGTGATAATCAATGATTTCGTGGAAGAAATGACGACCAATGAAACCTGTCGTGCGATCAATTGTCGCCAGTGCACCTTTCGTATAGGTCCAAGCCTCTGCGGTATAGTGTGGAACGGCGGGATGGGTATGTTGAAGATATGTAATGGCAACTGTGAATCACGTCAGCGTTTTTTTCCTTTGTACCTTGTCCGTTGGCGGTGTATAATAGCATTAGAAGACGAAGACATACTCAGCCAGTGGTGTACCCAAAGATACGGAATGACGTACAGGAATACGACATTCCACGTCCCAAAAATAGATGCCGCGTAACACAAGATAGAGCTCATGATCATCAGTCCTAGATCGGACAATGCAATATACTTCCACTGAAAGGGCGCAAAGAGTGCACTCGACGGATTATAGTGGCTCGCAAATTTGATCTTGTCTTTACCCTCAGGCCCGCTCTTTGTACCAGCGGTCACATTGAAGAAAAGATAGAGTTGCCATCCATCAACTGGTGTCCGATAAGCTGCATGAAAGAGACGATCGGGGTTTCCTCTGCAAGGTGCGTCAACTTCTCGATCTGAACGTTCTTCTTTATCGCAAGGTCTTTATCTGTCCAGGGAACAAAAACGGTGCCATTTTCTATGTGACCGGTATAACGATGATGCCGAGCATGGGTAATCTTCCATGAATAGTAGGGAACCATGAGGAATGAATGTGTAGCCCACCCAATGAAATCATTGAGACCCTGATACCGCGAGAAGGCGCCATGACCGTATTCGTGAGCCAGAATCCACAGCCCTGTTCCAACACAGCCTTGAAAGAACCCGTAGGAAGCCCAGGCAATGATTCGAAGAGGCAAAGAAGGGATTAGATGGATGAATGAGGCGGCATAAATGAGTGTCACGCAGTAGATGATGTCTCGGGCCAGGTACAGAAGAGAGGTGGGGAGAGATGATTCAAAGCACTCTTTCGGGATCGCATCTTTGAGGGATTTTAAGCTTGGGACGTTCTGCGGTCAGACAATGGAAGATGTTATCCAATGCAAGCGAGACAACCTGGGCACTGTCAAAAGACAAGCCATGCTACGTACCTCATCTGTCTGTTTGGCAGGTTGAGTGTTCAACTCAGACATTTTGAAAATGGAGTATAAAATAGCATAGCGGAAGGTACCAGTTACCAGAAGGGAATCTTGTTAGACTTTGTAGTTAGCCCTTTTCTTTTCTTTTTTTTTTTTTTTTTTACTAAAAAGGTTTTCTTCTCCCGTTTCCCCGGGAAACTATCCACTAATCTCAAATAGAACGAAAGGGCTAGATGCCCTTGTATGTTCCTTTTATTGAAAGAAACTCACTAAATGCCAAAGACCGACGCAAGCACTATAAGATATATTATTTCTAGTCAGAAGTTTAGCGAAAGTTAGTATTTAAAAGGTTGACACATGCCAACATTTGCGCTTGATTCGATGTTCGAGACATAATGAGGGTTGTTGTCAGATCAGCAATATATCCTTTACTTTGACTGAAAGAAGATTAAACAAATTATAGAGACCTGCTGTCAGAGACATGTATAAATACGGACCTCGGCCAAGCACCCTGCCTAATTCGAAGGGCGAGTGTTATGACCTTCTAGTCCCTCCTAAATCGCGTTCCGCGAAACATGCCAACTGCCTAGTTTCTATAAGAACTGGCTGTTTGAGGAGGAACAGTGAATTGCCACGCCATGAATTAATAGTGATAGGTATTTTTTCAACACGAATAGTCACAGGTAAAAATGGTAGGTACCTCCTTCACATTCCCCTGAGATCTCAAGGAGTGTCGAGCGCCGAAATGCGCCGTGTACCTAGCACATACGTTTTCCTTGAATCAAGGAAGACACAAGCGTTCAATGTTCTTTCATCTGCCTAACGCCGGACTAACTACGTCGCTGCACTTGTTGATTATATTATCTTGACAGGGACAAATATTCATTCGTCTAGGTAAACGAGTCTACGATGTCAACACATTCCTGCCAAAACAATCAGTGAGATCTTGCACTGGTCAATCGGGTATAGAGGGGTGAATTGCTATAATGGGAGATAAATTGAACTCCGTACCACTTGGGGATGTTCTGGTTCTCCACATTCATCCTGCAAGTATAGATGTCATTCGAAGTGATTTTAGATCGGATTCCAATGCACTTTGCCACAAATATCAAGCACATCTTCTACGGGGGCTTTGAATTGTCCGGTAACAGTCATTCCTTCGTCCAACACGATTTTGAACTCCTTCGAACATAAGCCCCCGCTAAAATGGCGGTTACTAGTTATCCGTGAAATAGCATCATAGTTGACAGTAAAATCCAAACCATCTAATGATGGCACTGATTTGTTCATCCAACCCTTGAAAAAATAGGAAAGGCCACCGAGTTTAAAATGTGCGACAAAGCGTTTTCCCTGGTGTTCCAGCGTTGCCGATACGAAAGGCATCTATGAGATAAGATGTTAGCTCACATTACCGGAGCAGTTGCTGAGAGTACTGACAATGTGGTTCTGTCGGGACATATACTCCCGTCAGAATAAGCAAAGACAGGTTGTACGTAATCTTGCTAAGCAACGGCTCCCGCCGTATGGATTCAGGGGTATTGGGTTTTAACCTAGAACATCTATTTTTACACGAATCAAATTGACGCTTGCTTTGGAAGCATAACCACTGTCCACTTAACTGTGTACACAGTACCTAGCTGGTGATACCAACAGGTTCAGTGCTAGGCGTTTTCTTTGGTCTCGTTGTGCAACATCAAGGTAGTCAACCGATTCAAACGGGGTCAAGCTATTTCAATACATAAACTGTGGATGTGATTTGAAAAGTGTCCGGTAAATCATTCTACGTAAACCTGTCATGGGAATGGACAAGGAAAAGCCAGATCGGGCTGGTGTTGATTCACCTTCCTATCTCGGAACAAAAGAAACCGACTTTTAAAAATATGTTGAAGTGGTAGCTCTAGTGAAAGTACTGCATTAGTGGCTTGAGGTATCTAAAATGCCTCTGGTGAAGATACGCCGTTTCTCCCACATGAGATTTCGGTGTTACAACGGTCTAGTGAAGAGGGTAAAATGGGCGGTCGGAGAGAGTTGAATGGGGAAACTGAGCTGATAGCGACAGTAACAGACTTCCGTACCATCCGAACACTCGAATATTGCCAACCTTTCTCTTTCTAACCAGGTTTTCCACGAAGGTCCAATATTAGGACCACCATAGTCTACTAATGGGTATGCGAGCGACCTGACTACATTGTAGACTAGCATCGATATAATATAGTAATAAAATAACAGGAATATCCTGTATAGCTAGGGAAATACAATGGATGTACTAGGCGATTGGCGCAACGGAATCAAAAAGGGGAACTACCCAAAATGATGAGATCAAAAGAGTGTTGATTCCTGTCTCCTATCTACTGGGATCGAGGGGGTTAAAATAGCCTCGAGAATACCTGGTATCGAATCCTCTAGAATCCCAGAGGTACCGTTTGGGTCAATACGATGCTGATCACCATTTTCCTGACATAAAATAATAAAATAATAAAATAATAAAATAATAAAACAATAAAATAATAAAATAATAAAATAATAAAATAATAAAATAATAAAATACTAAAATACTAAAATAATAAAATAATAAAATAATGAAGTAATAAAGTAATAAATTAATAATAGAATAAATAGAATAAATCGCACCAAGGGCGGAGAGCCACTAGACTCCATAGTCTTGCAGTATTTCATTGCGCGATGGTCTGCGAGGGTGACTAAAAGCAGTAGGCAAGCCACAATTTATTGCACTAAATCAATTCAAAAAGATGTACTTTTCACCGCGAAGCGAGTCGGAAGGAATAAAGCCGCATTTGGAGACTTCCGCGTGCGTTGGATAGTGTTCGCTTGCTACGAATTCACGAGGGCTGATTGGCATCGGAACCTCTGGCAGACCCACTTCCTACTAAGCTGGTTATATGGATCTTAGCACCGTAGTATATCATATCGCATGACATTTTGTGATCATTTGACAGCAGTCAGGGTATTTAATGAAGAGTAGAAACCTTCAAACTACGCCTAAGTTCTCCTGACAATTCTACATCTACACATTCAAAGCAGCTATTCGAAATGTTTCACAGTCTGAAACCTGCTTTTAAAATCAAAGTGCGTGCATACACAACCTACTTATCAGGAGCATGTACTTACCTTATAAGCCTAGGTGGACATCGGAGGCAGCGAGAAGTTGAAGGGGGGAATAACATGCTTTGTATGTCTCCCCCATCCGTCACAGGCCGTACCTGACTAGAAGTCTTGCATGAAGAACATAGTCGGAGGCTCTATCGAGCCTAAGAAAGACTTCTCCTTTTTGGAGTCCACCTCAATCCAGGGAAAGGATAACGCCACATTTACCGAAAGCAAAATGTTGCTGCTTGACGTCTCTATCGAAGCAAAGTACGTTATACGGAACCAGACCTATTTGCCCGAAATTGCGCGACAGAGCTACGCTTATCTATATTGCAGAGTCAAGAATGACTCGACATCAGGGGAAGAAAGAAATGTGCGTCCAAGACCCAAAGTGGCGATAGGGGACGATTACTGAATTGATCCTAGATATCCATGCACTGGCGTGGCATTGCTGAAGTTGACAACGTTGTGGAAAGGATTTTACGGAATACTTTTGAGGGAGAAACCAACTTTGGTTATCCAAGTAAGTGTGTATTCGGAGCAGATATATGAGTATCGCTGACGATGATCGTTTTGTAGTTGCTAGGTTTACAATTGATGTGAGATGCGTTGAACTAGAATCCTATCCGTGAGCGAGGATACTGACATTGACATAGGTTAAAGACAACAACCTAGAGAATCGAATATTTGTTGGTCTCGGCCAGTTTGTGGTGAAGGGAGAAAACCTAAGCATCGTCTATGAGGTCTACGAACGTCACATTCAGTCCGACCTTTCTCAGTTGACCAAGACACGACTTAGCATAAATGGAGTAACAGTTTAAAGGTGCCATCTCTTTTACAGCTACGTAGATATTGATCGCGCCTGATTCCTGACACAGATATACGAATAAGAGGACTGAATCGGTGATCAGAGTGTCTCCTAAAAGCACGAAATAGAGCAGTGAAAGGTGGATAAATTTCTAGTGCATTGAACGGCCAACGTCAATAGTCTTCATGGTAATAGCTCGCAATGACGACAACATTAGTGTCGATGGTGCGTTCGCAATATCTTCATTTTATTCCAAATTTCCTCGTAGATGGTTTCTTCAAGGACGCCGAGGATGGATTTACACGTAGAGGGCAGGTGGCATCAATTACCATATGCGGATCATTATCTATCAAGCAGGTTCTGGATATATTGAAGTCGTTTTCTCATTTTGCTGTATCCTCCATCGTGAATAGATTGTTTGGGACATGCAGATTTGATTTGAACTCCATTCTCATCGTCTGGTCAGCAAATTTGCGCCGGATGGTTGGCTCCTGTTATATGATCGGTAGGCCAGGGTTGATTTACAGGCGGTGACAGGTAAAGGGTGGTGTGTATGGCAGACGCTACTTCCGTAGTTAGTGTGATAAATTTGCCGGAAATTTGTGCCGGACGAGGTGTTGTATGCCAGTTCATCTTTGTCTGGATACCACGTATCACATTCATTGGTCACCGAGATATCCAGTTGTTCCTGCCCAGCTAACGTGCGGTTGAGCTGAAAACTCCGAATCAAGCCAAAACTCCAAATATTTCGCCCAACGACCGAATCAGTACAATGTGTCGAGCCAAGATCTCCCCCACTGTTGATGTTCTCCCAGGCGTTAAGGAGGAGTGGAGCGGAGAGTTTGTAGTCCTAGTCAGTCATCCACGAGGCTGTTATCTTGACGATTATTTACGTCGGTTGTCCAGACAGCGGTAGCTGCACAAGGCATTACCGCTGCTCCACCAAGCAGTTGAACAGGAGCAACCGTGATAGTATGGTTCACAAGGGGAGTCGACAAGCGCGGGATAATTCCATCAAGTAACCCGGGAAGTATCGTTTGATTGTCCTTGCCGTATCTTACATTTGCTCCCAAGAGCGGCTGCTGTACGGGCTCTAGATCGTCGGCTTGACGGGGGTCTGGCTATTTCTGGCTTATGTCCTCGAAATAGTCTGAACACTCGGTTGCGTCACGATATGTTTCGCTCTTTACCGACTATACTATCATTAGGCAATCTATAATTGATTCTTTCTATGTCGGGGGTCAGCGGTCTAATGTCTAAGCAGACATATACTTAATGCGATATCATCCATATTAGATCGTAATCCTGCGGACAGATTTCTCTGAAGTATCTTAAACTTGAGTCATGCTATTATTGAATATTCGGGATCAAGTGACAGGTGGCCAGTGGGGTACCAAACCTCTACCGGCAGGCATCACGAGTGGTTCCTTAGAGGCTGAGATAAGCCTGAAGAGAAACCGCAATCATAGCAACGAAGTGTTGCGTCTGCATCGGGCAGCATCGGGGGGTAATGTTGATGTTATTCGCCAACTGTTACGTGAATCTCCATGGCTGGCTTTCCATAGAGACGACAATGACAGAGTTCCATTGAACTGCGCAGCCGAGCACGACCAGACAGAGGCTCTAAAGGCGCTGCTTCACCACACTCCATTTGCCATGGGAGACAGAACTGGTCGAACGGCTCTGCATTGGAGCGTCTTGAACGGCAACGAGGAAGCCGTTACGCTCCTGCTTAGCAAGATCTCCATTCTGGACCCGACCAACGACTTCCACAAGGCTGTCTCGTTGCAAGGGAAAACACCAACGGTAAGGCTGATGTCGGATCATGCTTGGGTCGATTGGCAGACGGTGTCAGGAGACACGGCGTTGCATCTGGCAGCCGGTCATCAGTCATCCCAAATCTTATCTTTGCTAGCCAAGGTATGTGACCTCACGATTAAAAACACCAAGGGCGATACCGCTCTTCGAACAGCTTTCTTAGGTAAACACGAACATCATGCCAAGCTTCTCCTTAGGGAAATGGCAAGGCGGGATGTAAAGTGGGCCTGCGAATCTAGTACTCTGGATATCGTACAAACTTGGCCAGACAACAGACAGTCGTGGAATGGCAATGTGTTGTGCTGGGCCGTGTCCAATGGCTTTGAAAGGGTCACAAAATGGATTCTTGATGCTATGCCTATACTTGCCTTTGTCGCTCGGGATACTGGTGGGAGGACAGCCTTACAGGCCGCGGCAGAGCAAGGCCATCTTGAAATCGTCAAACTATTGCTACATAACGGAGCAGATTCCAATGCTCCTCCCGGTCCCTCCTATCCACGAACTGCTCTTCAGGCGGCAGCAGAGCAGAACCATATTGAAACGGCCCGGCTGCTGCTGGATTGTGGAGCAGACATCAATGCCCCTGCTGCACCGAATGGGGGCCGAACCGCCCTACAAGCTGCAGCGGGTCAGGGCCATTGGGAGATGGTTAAGCTGCTTTACTCAAGGGGAGCGGAAGTAAACGCCTTGCCTAGTCGCAACTATGGTCTCACGGCCCTCCAAGCCGCGGCCAAGAATGGCAATTTGGACATAGTCAACTTCCTACGATCGAAAGGGGGAAAGGTCAATGCCCCAGCCGGACCAGCTAATGGCCGGACGGCCATTCAGGCCGCAGCAGAAGAGGGAAATTATGAAATGGTAAAACGGCTCTTCGCTAATGGTGCCAGAGTCAATGCCTCGCCCGCAGGGACCTTTGGTCTCACGGCCCTCCAAGCCGCAGTCAAGAATGGCCATTTCGACATAGTCGACTTTCTACGATCAAAAGGGGCAAAGGTCAACGCCCCAGCCGGGTCTGCTAATAGCCGGACGGCCATTCAGGCCGCAGCAGAGCAGGGAAATTCTGAAATGGTAAGACGGCTCTTCGCTAATGGTGCCAGAGTCAATGCGTCGCCCGCAGAGACCTTTGGTCGAACGGCCCTTCAAGCTGCGGTAGAACAGGGCGACTATGAATTGATCGAGCTGCTTCTCAAGTTTGGCGCAGATATCAATGCTGCGCCTGGAAAGAGCTTTGGCCGGACAGCCGTTCAGGCTGCAGCAGAGCAGGGTGACTGTGGAATCATTGAGCTTCTTCTCAGTTATGGAGCGGATATCAATGCCTCGCCCGGGGACATTTGTGGTCGAACCGCCCTGCAAACTGCAGCAGAGCAAGGGTTTCTAGAGGTGGTGAGGTTGCTTCAGTGCAGGGGCGCACACGTGAATGCCTCATCAGGAAAGGTCTTTGGCCGAACGGCCCTTCAAGCTGCAGCGGAGCAGGGCTATCTTGAGATGGTCAAGCTACTACTGTCCTATGGAGCAGAAGCCAACGCCTTGCCAGGTGCTAGCTTTGGTCGAACAGCCCTCCAGGCCGCGACAGAACAGGGCCACCATGAAATGGTCCAATATCTGATTGGATGCAAAGCGAACGTCAACGGCTTGCCTGGCCTGAAACATGGCCGAACCGCTCTTCAGATTGCTGCCGAACAGGGAGACTTTGATATGCTCAAGCTGCTCTACTCTCATGGGGCGGACGTCAATGCCGCGCCGGGAGAGAATTGTGGCCGAACGGCAATTCAAACCGCCGCAGAGCTGGGCCACTATGAAGTGATTGAGCTGCTTCTTTCATATGGAGCGGACGTCAACGGCCCGCCGGGTCTTACTTACGGTCGAACCGCCATTCAAGCGGCCGCAGAACGGGGAGATCTCGAGATGGTCAGGCTGCTTTACTCTCATGGGGCGGACGTCAATGCCGCGCCGGGAGAGAATTCTGGCCGAACATCAATTCAAGCTGCGGCAGAACAGGGCCACTATGAAATGATCAAGCTGCTCCTTTCTTATGGCGCGGACATCAACGCCTCGGCTGGTCCTGCTTGCGGCCGAACAGCCCTTCAAGCTGCAGCAGAGCAGAGCTATCTTGGAATCGTCAAATTGCTGCTTTCATTCAATGCCGACATTAATGCCCCTCCTGGAGCCACCTACGGCCGAACGGCCCTCCAAGCTGCAGCAGAGCAGGGACATGTTGACATGGTTGCCCTGCTACTTGAAGACAGAGTAACGAGCGACCCTACCCTTGGACCGGGGACCGGTCGACGAGGCGTTCAAGAGGTAGTACAGCAGGGTGGTGTTAAGCAGGCCGAATCGGCTACTTCATGTCAAGTTGACATTAATGCCCCGCCTGGAGCCACCTACGGCCGAACGGCCCTCCAAGCCGCCGCAGAGCAGGGTCACCTTGTGATGGTCTGCCTCCTCAAATCTGCTGGGGCAGATGTAAATGCCTCGCCTGGAAAGATCTTTGGCCGAATGGCGCTTCAAGCTGCAGCAGAGCAGGGTCATATTGATGTGGTCAACTTTTTGCTTGAAAAAAAGGCAAACATCAATGCTCTGCCTGACTCCGCATACGGCAGAACAGCACTTCAAGCCGCAGCAGAGCAGGGTAAAGTTGAAATGGTAAAGCTGCTTCTGGAACATGGAGCAGACTGTAATGCGTCGCCCGCATATGACAACGGCCGAACCGCGCTTCAAGCTGCAGCAGAGCAGGGCCACCTCAAGATTGTGAGTATTTTACTAAACACTGACGCAGTTACTAAAGCCAATGTTGATGCGTCACCTGCGCCTATCAATGGCCGAACTGCCCTTCAGGCAGCGGTAGCACAAGGCCATCACCAGATAGCCAGGCTGCTTATTTCTAAAGGGGCAAACATGAATGCCGCCCCGGCCCCTACCAAAGGCAGAACAGCCCTTCAGGCGGCAGCAGAGCGAGGCGATCTTACTATGGCAGAGCTGCTTCTCCGTGATACAAACCCACAAGGGCGAATCGCGCAGATCAATGCGGCCCCTGCTGCTTTCTACGGTCGGTCGGCTCTTCAGGCTGCAGTAGAGGAGGGTCATGTTCAGATGGTAAAGCTGCTCTATGCTAGGGGAGCAAAGGTAAACGCCTCACCCGGGCAGAATCACGGCCGAACAGCGCTTCAGGCAGCAGCGGAACAGGGCCATCTAGAAATTTTACAGCTCTTGCTTTCCTACGGGGCAGAAGTCAATGCGCCGGCTGGAATCTTCGACGGCCGCACGGCACTTGAAGCGGCAGCGGAGCAGGGACATATTCAGGTTGTTCGCATGCTTTTGTTTCATGGAGCAGACATCCATGCCTCAACCGCCCGGAAGGGTAGTAGAAGCGCCCTCCGAGCCGCAGCCGATGAGGGACATCTTGAGATCGAGCGAATGCTGCTTCTTGCCGATAAAGGGGAAAGGAACGATCGATGTACTCCTTACCTTAGCTAGACCGCGTGCCTAGCTACAGTGCACATCTTCACTCGATCACTGATACTAGAGCTAACCCTTTTAGGCTTACTGTCTACGTTACGTTCTTTTTGAAAAGGTGTCAGAAGCTGCCCGGAGTACAACTCATGAAAAGCCTAGCATGAGCTTTCCGCTTTTGTCCCATGTGATGACTTGAATATATACGTAGGTCAGGGTCATGCGACTCTCTTTCATGATTTATAATACATTGTATACTTTATCAATTTCTATTTCTCCCTGTTGCTACAGTACGTCTCAAAACTGGTGCAACTGCCTACACTCTTCGAGTAATTCTCTGGTCTTAGAGATCATCACAGAGTATGAATTTTCCTGTAACAATCTCAATACCACGATTTACCCTTAATACATACGGTGCCTTGTCTCATAACTGTATCAGAATTTTTCATGGCAATGCAACAAATCAAACACAACACCAGAGCTGAGGGTGCCTTGAGAATCTAGCGAGCCTCACTTCACTCTGCCACACCACCTTCATTCCGATATCTGAAACAGCTGCGCAGATTGTAGATACTAATGAACACATTCAATCTTGATCAGCTTTTCGGACTCAAGAATATCATCTAGTAAGCTGCCGATGTCATCCTGTGGGTGCCCCAGGACATCATATACAGTGTTCCCTTTCCGAACGCTCAGAGATTTCATGGGCCAGATTGGGTCATTCGGGATCTCACTTGTAGACAAAACCTGCGCCACAACCTGTAGAATATTTTGACGGCTTGGGCTTTCTATATATCTCAGAGCGCCCATAGGCCTCCTGTACGGATATTGAATATCCAGGAGTATTGAAAATCCCCTCACAGGCGGGTGTGAAGAAACTGAAGTCGAAGGAGTGAAGTTATTTGGAGAAACCTCTAGGGCGGTTTCTGTCAGATTACCACTCCGTTCTTGAGGTATGGCAGTATTGGTTGATTCTTATGTCCATATTAGTACCACTTTGATTATTGTCAAATCCTGTCAAGGTTGGTTTTTCCATACCTTCTTGAACATCTGTATGGCCATGCTCCGCTTCGAGGATTTCGGGCTTTCCTTGCTCGGGCTCTTCCTCTGGGAGGGGCATGTCAATCAACACATTGCTATCTTCCGATAGTGCCATATTGTTTGACCTTAGTGGAAGTTGTAGTTCCCTAGGCACAGGTATGTGGCACTGTGTTAAGTGTTTATGATGTAACTCATGGCCACAATCAGTGCAGAACTCCTTAAGACGCGTGCATGACATGTCATGTAACGCCTTCAATGCCTTCAACACATCCCCAGCGTATGTTTGCATGACCTTGACCCACTCTCCGTCACAACGGGTTTGGCATGCAAATGCGATCACGCAGCCGTCATCGCCAGCGCAGGTCAAGATGTCGATCCTGCTGTCGAACAAGAAGCGAAGATTTGCTAGATCTTTGGTTAATTCATGGTTATCCCCAAAAGGAGATAGGATAGTATTCACACCTAGTGTCTGTTCACGGTAGAACATGCCAGTCTTGGCATCGAATTGCTTCATGTTTGATGATAAGCGTGAGAAGAAAATAAACTGGTTCGTCCTAAGTTCCATACCGAGGGGGGATTGTCATCGGTATTTAACCATGCTCATCCAAAGCCAGATTTGGTCCATTTGATAGTAAGAATGCAAGGACGCTACGCTACCATCTTAATGTATCATTTTGATACCTTCCTTTTATCCGTCGTTAAGGATATGAGAAAATTCCAAAAGCGCCTCATTCCCAAGACAGCAAATGACCTAGCCAGCCTCAACATACATTCCTACCGCCTGATGGAATGCCCCAAAATGAACTGTGAGAGATGGTATTATCTGCATATTTCTGCACGTTAGCCTGCTATGATTGCTTCGTCATCTGCTTGTTGTCCTTTGGTTAATTGCAACGCCGTACCGTTTATCGCCACTCTCATTTCCTCTTAGCATGTCGTCTCTCATGTTTTAAATATCCCTCACGTTTGTCCTTCCTTTCCGAGATGTTATCTAATCGGATGGCTGTGGGCGCCAGCTAAATTTGCCTACGACTATTCAGCCCCCGGGATGTCCTGATTGCCGTCATCACTGCTTTTCCCGGAGTTGCGTCGTTATTATGGACTGGAATTATGTGATAATTTACGTTGAAAGTGAGCGAAATACATTGATATTTAGTATGTGCGCATTCAGACTGCCCATCCTTAGCATTATGTCAGAAAAGCAGTATTATTCCAGAGAATACCGTCTTGAAAGAAAGCTCCCGAGGCTCTACCTGCCGTCGACTTCGTCGTGGTTTGCATCATTATTACTCCCAGTATCATAATCAACCTGTTCACTGTTTCGAAGATGGTACCACCAATCCTGCATCGCCTCGAACAGCTTTTGTTGTTTCCCTTCCGCTTTCTTCCAAGGGAGCTTTAATATTCGCGGACTTAGGTTTGTTGTCGACTGCGCATCGTACTCAATAATGAGAACCGCCAGCTGAAGTTTTCGGTCTAGGGCCTCAAGCTCTCTCTGCCAGATTCACAGTCGCGTAAAAACTTCATGGGATTGCTCCTGCACTTCTAGAACCCCAACTTGTAGTTGCTCTCCATACTGTTCTAGCAGAGAAAATATCTGCGAAAGAAGGACTAGCGGTGCACCATAGCTTTCAATTGCCTCCTGGGGATCTAGAAGAATATTTGATCTTCGTAATGCATTGTTTAGGGTCCATACCACCATCTGGATCCCAAAAATGGTTGTTGCAGTTCTCAAGAAAACTGCACCAATTCACCGTACATCCGAAAGTAGTTATTCGATAGGTAGAAGTGTCCGTCCTCTCGCGTCAGCTAATATCTTCCTGTCATATGCTTTCGACAGAGAAATATGGTTGTGACATCCCGCACCCCGATGGCTTCGCCATACCTCCCTTCATCTGTAGTTATCAACAAGAAACTGGATGACACCATATGTCTTCGGTAAAATCCAATTCGTTCGTCAAGTGGCAATTTGTCAGAGTCTTCCATATCCAGCCCGATGAGGGCATTGTGCATGTTCCGGCTGGCCCATTTCCTTTCCTCCTCTAACTTGGGAAGGTCCATCGGTAAGTTGCAAGTATATAATTTGATACTATACCACTTAGGAGCACTAGAAAAATATGTCTAATGTGGAAAACTTTTAGTTTTTGACCATATTGTACCACCTGCGTGGCATCGCATACCTTTCATCCACACTTTTCATTCAGTTGGGTACACCTTCGCTGGTCTCCACCTCTATGTACGCGACTTCCAAGGTCGGGATGCTACCACTAATGAGAGATAGAATAACTGAATGTGTAAGAAATGCACTGGGGAAGATTCAACATCATTACTCTGAGTTAAGATCCTATGAAATCGATGAAAGCGGGGTGTCTGTCGGTCATGTGACAGGGACTGCAAACTTGGTTCCAAGAAGGGTCACCATATGTACTGGAATTCTCGTTTACTCCTACAATATATCTGTAGCATTGGGCTCCTAAGAACAAAAAAAGCTGCTCACAAATTTCGGGGGAAGCTAGTACTGACCGGTGTTTTTGTCGGATTCTCGATGAAAAGGTCTAGAAGCTCTTCTGATTTCATCATAGTAGCCGCAGGCCTTTAGAGGGAAACTTGGTGTGTATGAGTGTACGCAACGTGACGTTCAATTAATTAATAATTGAGGAGAGATAAAACTATTGTTATACGCAAGGTAATGTTTGTTCAGTGAATGAACAAGAGAGAGAAAGAGTACGGAACTAATATAGTTCCGTTGGAATATGATTGGATAAAATTTTTGGAGTGAGAGCCCCGTGTCAGTTCCACTACCTGTATTTCTTGTTCATGATCGGAACAAACACCACCTTGGGTTCAACTGTAGTTTCAAACTCTCAATTATTAATTAATTGAACATTAACTTGGCTAAAGCGACACTCATTTTTGTAAAGATCGGGCTTCGCCCCCCAGGCAGAGCCTGGGGCCCCCCGATCCTTATCCATCAACACTAGATGTGTAAATATAGATATCTGTCCGCATTACTTGCCTGGACGGACTGTTCACCAACAAGTTTTTTGTTTGAACTTTGGCCACTTCCCAGAAACCTTTTCTTTATCCGACCACTTGATCGTCATTTTTTTCAAGTCAACTGCAGATTCAAGCCGTATTACCCATGGCTTCTTCGAAACTGCGCCAACGTACCGGCGACCCATACTGGCTTCATAGCTTCCTCCAACAAACGCCAACCAGCGTTCCAACTCATTCTGCTGCGTATCACTCAAAGAACACGTGAGAACCGACGTGTCGTGCTCACCAAGTGCCCACGGATAAAGGCAATACGCCTTATTCCATCCTATCACACAACCCATGTGTGTAGCGTACGCGTACCTTAGAACGTCATAACGAGCATTCTTGCATTTACCACCATAGTAGAATGAAATATGGATTTCTGTTCCGCCGTCGCGAACAAAACTAACTCCCTGATGTAAGCATCAGCACAGTGAAACCCCGAAGGGGTTATATATCAAACCTCTGAACATCCTTCAAAACATAACGAAGGAGGTATGCTTTTGTATCCTTCGACACCACCAAGGTACCGTACCAAACGTCGCATTTTCAGGCTCTCATAAAAGTATGGATCGACTACGACAATGTCGAGTCTGCACGACTGCCGTCCTAGAAAATAAGAACGGGCGAACTCGCCCGCAATTACAGCTCCGGTAGCACGGAGCAACAACCTCAGTATGCATGGATCATGCACAAACTTTTCAAGTTTACCATCAATATTACGTCTCTCTTGAAGAGAGAACGAAACCAGTCCATTCATCCACTTGGATGTCATAGATAACACTTGTAAGTCACGATGTGTCATTACATGACTTAAAGCTATCCAAACAGGGGAATAGCATAGTAACACGGTTTCAAACCTGGAAACCGCCATATATATGGTATGTTTGTACCGAACATATAGTTTATTCAAACGCGCCCATTACTTGGGCGGGCGTACTCGCCCTATTTATACCTTTTACCAAGGCTGTATCAGCCTAAAATTATCATTTCATTTCTTAGCGTGAGCACGTGCTGGTTAATAACGCTAGTGTCGGGTATAATAGCACAATACTGGAAGCACCCGAGGCGAAGATTCGTCTGACATTTGAGGTCAACACTCTCTCCCATTTCCGCATGGCGAAGGAGTTTTTGCCGGCCATGATCAAAGCCAACTATGGTCACGTGGTGACAGTCGCCGGTACGGCCAGCATCGTCGCTGTCGGTGAGATGGTCGATTACTGCTGCTCGAAAGCCAGCGTTCTAGCTTTCCACGAAGGTCTACGCCAGGCGCTCAAGTATTCGTATAGGGCGCCAAATGTGCGCACTAGGTGAGTCGATCATTGGACGACTTCTATAGAAGACTTCTTGACTTAAATATTTAGCATTATTCACCCAACCTGGGTTCATTCCCCTATGATCAAGGCCTTGACCGAGAACGATGATAATTGCAGCCGGCGTATTCTCACTTGCCAGGTGGTCTCAACCGCCATTTGTGAGAAGATTTTGAAGCATCGCAGTGGGCAGTTTATTGTGCCTGGCTACCAGTCCCCAATATCCGTAGTACGAGGTATGCCTACTTGGATTCAAGAATGTGTGCGCACATACACCTCCAACTCTTTGAATAGAATATGCAATCCTCAGCGTTCCGTTCAGGACGTGCAGTAGGGGATCAATCGACACGATGGTCTAGCGCTTGCGTGTAAGCCCGTTGGAGAGAATCCTAGTGGTATCGTCCAGCACCTCTTTAATTGGCCTGGCAGCGCCCGGATGGACATATGGCGTAGCCCGTAAGTTCATCCCGGCTAAGCCTACGGACGAATTGATCATCAGAATTCGTCGCCTGGCGCATAGCTGAAACTAAACCCCGGGGCCCAGAGGCAGCTTCGTCAGATTTGAAACTTAGCCTTTTTTTTTTTTTTTTTTTTTTTTTTTTTTTTTTTTCAAAATATGGTCAAAACGCTCGAGCTGTCTTAGGGATCGCTGACAGAAAATGTTCAATTCGAGGGCCAGAAATGCCCCCATCTCATTAATTTAAATAAACATAACAACGTATGTCACTGAGAAGGATCACGTGAAGAAGCAATAGAAAGCACAAGTGCTCGGATGGCCGCGCTACAGTCAGAACCTGGAAATTATTTTATCTCGCCGCATTAACGCATTTCCGCCGTTTTAAGTTAGACATAAGTTGATTGATATTTGAGTCCTAGGATATGCTCACACATTAAAGAAACATGTCAGACTATACCGTGTGCGGCACGTCTGCCTCTCGCTCCGTCTAGGTCTTACTCAGCTAATTTTGACAGAATGCAAAATCCTTCTCGTACGTAGCGCGTTTTCGACTCGAAGATGTTTGTGGTCTATGTCCTAGTATTCAATCAGCCCATAAGAGAGATCTTATTTGATATAGCATACCGTACTCACTAGAACTTTGTGGGCAATTATGGGCATAGTGAAACTGTGATCTATAGAGAATAACAGCGTAGAGGATTTTAGAGGGGATTTTTTTGTTACATGTACATGGACCGGCGTCTTGAGTATTTGGTATCCACTGAGCCTTACTAGCCACCCATGGTAATGTTTCCACGTGGAAAACATGGGTAAGGTTCTAAGCAATGGTACTATTAAATCTATTGTGTCATTCCCTAGTAAAATCAAGTTATAGTCGGACTACGGAGAGCCAAAGTTACCTTCGGCTGATTACCTCTTAGTCATTTGGATAACAATTGATCTAAACGGAGTCTCCGCCCAAAATATATAATCTATCCGCTGTGAACATTTTTTTCTCCTTGTTTTGTCTCAAACAGTTCTATGCAAATAATCTTTGCGTTGGCTGCTCCACTGGCTTTTGGTGATAACCACACCCCTTTCGTGGTCTACCTCCAGCCTCCAATATCCAGCCGAAAATGTCGAGATCAAAGAAATCGCCATCTCCAGCAATTTCAAAAGCATTCCTTCCATCTTTAATTGTTTCATTTAGGTCTATGCGGTATGGTGCGAAATCATTGTCCAGCTCTCGATTCTTGCTCTGAATAGCGGAAAGTGATAGAGCCACGAGCTCCCGATGTTTGCGCTCAATGGCGGCTGCCAGTATGCTCAAATAAGTGTTCCAATCGACATCCGCACCATGTTGTATCAGAGTTTGTACAACATCCAAATGGCCTGCAGAGACGGTGGCATTGAGCGCGTCACCACTGATTTGAGGCTTTGCGTGCAACGCAAGTAATAAACTAACCATATCATGAAAACCATTTCGGGAAGCGTGCGCGAGAGGCGATCGATCGAATGCCTGTTCGTCAAGTGGTTCTGAGCCCCAGGAGTTAAGGTCGACTTCTGTAGCAAGCAGACGAACACGTTCAAGGTTTTGACTGTCAACTGCTTCGAAAAGTGCCATGATGGGAAGCTCTGCGAGTTTGGAAGCGAGTTAAAGTACTAGAAGCTGATATTTGGGCAGCCCCACCTATATAGTAGATGACAGATCCATTTTTAAACCTTTATCACGCTTTGATATATGGAATTCTCATTTCGATATTCCTTATTCTAAGCCGGGGGACTGACGTCTGTGTAAGTAGACTCTTCCCTCCAGACTAAAAAGCCCTAGATGGCCATCCGTTCCACAAAAGGACAGAATAGTACAACCAGACGTATCACTCAAGCAGGAACCTAAAATAAGTTCCTCTATAGAATTCTGGGCTACCGGATCCATTCTCAAATATGGAAAGCCTGTCTAAATGCCGAGTTTTGAAACATACAGTTAAGGTCACACTGTCATGACCCTTCAAATTTGACTTGTACTTCTTTGGTACATCTAGGTAGTATTACTTTCAAATCCACAAATGTGACTTTATCTCAAACCAACTACAGAATTCAGGTTTAGGTACAGTAAATTCGAAAACAGTCTACCCATTTAGTACACACACTTTGTTTCTCACCCTGTAATCGCTACTATTATAAGCATTATTCGGCTAGGCTGTAAGAAAGTCATATCTATTAGTGGCTAGTAATTTACCGCTTATTTTAATGGAGATTAACTTTAGTTCGGGTACGGGCCGAGAAACAAAATCTATTTGTAGAAGGGTAAACTGATTTCGAAATCGCTGTATGACGACAGGAGAGCATGAGAAAGCTTTCTACGAAAGTTGAAAGATTCACAACCCTCCTCCGTTTACCACGTCTCGGAAAGAATCCAGGGAGGGATGATTTCCCACCTGGGAAAGAAACAACTGCGTGTACGAGATGATTCTTTCTGATTTTGTTCTATTTCGGGCCGGTCTCCAGCTTGGATCGGCCTGAATGATTTTAATTTCGCTGAACGGCTCAGAATTAAGTGATACTAGCGGGCCGTGGAAATGGACCACTCTATTTAGGAATGCTAGGAGGAACACTTACAGAGCGCTGCGACGGTTATTTCCAAAACAAGGCTTTTTGGGTCCGCTCAGGAAAGCGGACATGGCGCGATAAGAGTATAAAATCCCCAGTTTCACCCGTTGAATACCAGTATCACGCATAGCTCTTGTCCAGGCAGCCATGAAGGGAGCATTTATTCTTGTCGCAGATCTCGCAACGGCGGCGGTCATGAATGGGCATCACCGTCCCCGCGACTCTCATTATGGTCATGTTCTCCATCATCATAAGCTTCACAAGCACCCCCGGGGTCTGGAGTTTCAGAGCGACACTACAGTGCAGTCAGAAATGCCATCTCATATCGCGGAGATTGATATAAGCAGAAGAGCTCCCCAAATAAATCCCGCCTGTCTTGATTCTGCTGATGATGCTAACATGGGTTGTACAGACAGTGCGTACCATATAGCGGGTAACCTTACGACCCTCCCGTGCTCCCAAACGTCGACCGCCAGTACGAATCTGTCAGGTATTACTGGCGAGGGCCAGTACGGTATGTCTTATACCCCATACACTCAGGATGGAGGCTGTAAAGGTAAAAATGAAGTGTTGGCGGACCTAAAGGTGATCACGAATAAAGGGTTTGACCGTGTTCGTTTTTACTCTACTGACTGTAGTGCGCTTTCTCATATCGGCGAGGCGTGTAAGAACGATGGTTGTCGTATGATTTTAGGGATATACATTGACCAAACCGGGATCGCTGCTGCTGAGAAGCAAGTCCAGGAAATCGCAGACTGGGCGAAGTGGGACTTGGTTGACCTGGTTGTCGTGGGAAATGAGGCCATTCAAAACCGTTTCTGTGACGCGCCGGCGCTAGCAGCATTTATCAGAAGTACCAAAGCGACTTTAAAGGCCCACGGGTACAACGGAAAGGTGACAACTGCCGAAACGGCCAACGTGTGGCAGAGGTATGGGGCCTCCCATCTCTGCGCCGAGGTCGACCTAGTCGGAGCAAATATCCATCCGTATTTTAATCCCACAGTGGAAGCTGCTAAGGCGGGAAAGTTTGTTGTATCTCAGATCGACGAACTTAGTAGGATCTGCATGGGCCAAAAGGTGATAAACCTAGAGACTGGCTGGCCGAACGCCGGCGTGGCCAACGGCGCCGCGGTTCCTGGAGAAGACAAGCAGGTTACTGCGATAATGGCTATTGCCAAGGCCGCAGGCGCACGTTGTGTCTTTTTCTCGTATTCTAATGATCTTTGGAAGTCGCCCGGCGACTTTAACGTGGAGCAACACTGGGGATGTGCTGACGTCTTCTAATGGTCGGGGGAAGCAACACAATGGAGACCTAGTCGCACGGTCGGGGTATAGTCATTTCTACGCTAGCCTTGTAAATGCCGAGCGGTTTTTAGTTTAGCGGTTGTAGTTGAGATATAGTAGATAGATAGGTAGATATGTAAAAGAGTCCGTCTGTGCGCGCATGGCTCGGTACCCGTACTCTCTTTTCTTGACCAAGGGATGGACCGAGGTGTTGAAGGCACTCAGGTAAGCTAGTGTCGTGATCTCTCAAACCTTACTAACTATGTTTGTAGCAGCGTGCAGGCAGCGTGGTGGAAAGTCAACTGTGGATTTAAGCGCGGATAATTGACGACTGGGCAGAATTGCAGCAATACATTCATTGCATAGCCTGTCTCACTCGTGGTCACGCACCTAACTAGCTTGTGTTTTGGTGATTGGGATCGCACAGTATTTTCAATGCAGCAACTCCGAGCTTGGGTATATTTCTATTTGCTTATTGACAGCGAGACTGTTCTTTATCGTATGCGAATATTATAAGTTGTAGTCTCCGTGCTGTAGACGTTCCGTAGATTGACAAACGGCAACTACAGCTTTCATAGCAGGCAAACGCGTTCGCGGTTATGCGTTCTAGTTTGAACTTCGAACAGCTGCAAAGGTCTCTCCAGTATAAACGTCTTACTCTCGATAAATCAATCTTAGCAACAAGACTAAGGCTACAATAAAGACCTAGCGACATGTCGTGAACCGATTTACCTCTATTAAACAAAATTATGAACCCAGAAAGCACAGATTTATACAGAGTGGTAGATTGCGAGAGTAATGAATTGGAGGACAGAGCTGAGTGACGTCTTCGTCGAAACGGTCAGACTAATTATAGACGCACTGTATTGCCACATGCGCTTCTGCATTGGAAACAGATATAAAAGAATTCCACAATAATCTGACTCCCATTTGACCTATCCATAACATATATTTTACCCAACCTTCCGAACCATGCGTCTTGATATGCCTTTAGTCCTTGGGCTAGCCACATCAGTGTCTGCTTTGTGGTCAGTTACTTACTATACCACATCCCATTGTTCAGGCGCAGGAAAGGCGGTCGGAGGTTTTGAAGCTGGGTGCCAGACTCTGGACACCGACACGGAATCGGTCAGGGTCTCTACAGACGATGGCAACAACGTTACCCTGAGCACCGATACCAACTGCAACACTCCATATGGGGGCATTCCAAGCGGCGTGACCGGCCACTGTTTCAATGCCGCTATCCGCTCCTTCTTATCTTCGTGAACGTAAGTCATGTGCTTTATACTGCCTCCCGCATCAAAAGTAACTCTGCAAGGCTAATTAATGAACTGGAAATAGGCTGAAGGATTATTGGCAAAGATCCTGCCAAGGGCTCAAGATGAGCTGTGAGAATGAATCGTCTTGTTTTTACTATATGCATATGCCAGACAGACTAAATATTGAGACTGAAGAAGGAGCCAAACAGAAACTCTCAGAAACAATCAGATGTCATCTTTCTGCTGGCATAGTCGCGTTTTCACCGAAGACACCGTTCTTGTACACATATCGAGAGTGTAGAAGCTTAAAATCCACAATAGGATAATATGCAGATTATAATTCATCTGCCGTAATATGCCGCTTTTTACGAATGGATTGCTCTCATCTCACCTGGTATACAGTAGATCCCGAAAATGGCCTTAGGTACTGACAAATTTCGGCGCGTATCGGAGACCGCATCAGCTCAGTGGAAAACAGATTTATCAACAACGTCAAGCCTGAATGTGACCTAGTTCAATTTTGTTTACCAAGCGGAAACAAATTGTGAGATTTTCGAGGTAAAGCCGTTTCGATATCCACTGCAAAGAGCTTCGGGCTTGGATAGGACTAAAGGGTGAGGAGCCAGTTAGACTGCGTAGCATAATGTCGTCCAAAGTGTTCTAGGGTAGGCAGACAGCCATGTGACCCAGCCTCTAGTGCAGGTATGATAAGGGGCAATCGGGCCCTTTCGCCGTTCCAATTAACCTGTCAAACTTTGAACCGGATGATGAAGGTTTCTTCTCTCCTTTTGTGTTGGTACTACGAGGAAACAGCCAACAATCAAATTGATCGTGCTCGCCGGTATCATAGAGAACAGCAGAATGGCTTACTAGTGGAGATGTGTCTACTATGTCAAAGGAAGAGCCCTGAGCTCTCTGACCCCGATAGCCCCAACGCCGTTCTATAACGGGCGATCTAGCACGCTCCACGCTGTGCCCAGTGGTGGATACAGAGCGAGCAAACTATCGCTGTTAGATTTCCAGTCCCTTTCTCACGAAATACCCTAAATGCGTTAGTGCTAGACTTGTCTGTCCTTGCATTAAAGCGAAGATATCGCACATATATCAACGGCCTTCTGCCCTCCCAATCTCCGCCAGACTGATGTGCAATTCCCCCAGGTAACCGCCAATTGCTGGTCACGATGAGCCACGAGCGGATCTTACAATGGCTTGAGGACGGCTGGACGGGGCTGCTCGACTTTGAAGAGAGTCCGTCTCAACCGTTTGGACACCTACACTCTCCTACCAGTGTTGGTAATCCAGGAAACCTACCACTACGCCTGGAAAAGCCCTTCTTGCCCGATGACGACATATCCGACCATTTTGACCAGTACAACATGTATTTAGAACTTCCGCCTGTATCGTTCCCAACAAGTCAAACCCCTAAATTTCGCGATACTGTGAGTGTAACTCCCAGAGGATCCCGAGTATACATCTAACGACCACGGCTTCCTTCGCGCCAGTATCTACTACAGCCCTCTAATTCCTTCATGAGCGACACGGCGCATCTGTGGCTCGGCCCCGATATTTTGCTATCTACGGCCTCGGCAGAAGATATCTTTACATATATCAAGCAGACTTTCGACTGTGACTGGATCAGCTGGCTTGAGCTTGATTTTACCTTCTCTGTGGAAAGCGTGACAGGAATTCCGCTGTCCCGGAACCGTATTCGATTCCTCTCCGAGGCCAATGGTCTCAAATCTAAGCGCCCGAGCGCTAGCCTTGAAGATGTCCGCCTGGATATTCTCGATTCTTTCTCGAAGGGAGGTTGGCAGTCCATACAATTGATTCTCAGGGTACGGAGAGACTTGGCTCCTATAATGTAGTCCTGATTTCAACTGAGACGCCGCCTGTCAGTATAAGCACATCGACGTTGCTACATTGATATCTTCTAGGTAATAGCAACAGGATTCTATGCTTTTTTCTACAAGTTGTGGTGACTTCTTCCCATTTTGATTTCTAAACTGACTTCACGCATCTTGGTAGTAACAATCATTCTGTAGAAAATAACTGCGCTCTATAGTATATCAACTCTGCGTCTCGTTGCCGCCAGTGGGTGCAGTGGATGATGCGGGTTACAGGCAAGCAATCATAATTTTGTCTGAAATTTATTTTGTCTAGCGTGGCCCCGCCTTCCCCCGGCGTCGTAGTTCAAATCCAAATTTTAGACCCACTTGGTCAAAGAAAAAAATGATCTTTACATTTCATTTATTTTTTTCCCTTTTATTGTTTTCCTTTTTTGTTTTTCCTTTTTTGCTTTTTTTTTGCTTTTTTTGTTTTCTTTTTTTCACGCTTTTCCTTTTACATTCATTCTTTTAATTTTATTTGTTTAATTTTATTTTTTATGGGAATTCTGACACTCAAGATCCTCTATACTGTAGACTAATTGCGTTTATCCTTTGCTACAATTTCTAGCTTCCATGTCTAGGGCACCTCTCACATGATCAAGACGACCAGCACTGGTCAGAGGAGCGACTAATCAGTGCCCTCGCTTCACGTACATACACAATTTAAAATGAATTCAAACATTCAGCAGCGCACATTCTCGCTATGGCCCAAGGTGATCGTCAAACTTGGGGGCGGTAGGGAGGGGCATTAAACCATTCTGCTGCTAGGAGTCATGACCACGAGCACGACCAAAGTGGAGACGCCGATTTGCGCTAACACACGGAGGTCACTGCGTTTCCCCGTCCAGGGCTGACATAATAGCGTACTGTAAAAACTGGCTCGATAATTTTATTTCCAAAGACAGAAGCAGATATTCCCTCTCATTATGTTACCAACTTTTGGGATTCTAGCTATGTGCTTGATACCCTCTATCCCACATTCTGAATGCCAACCTACGGCCCCGAATCCAGTGGATAGCCCAATCCTGCAACCAGACAATGTTGTTCGGTCTCGTCAATATGATCCTGCTGATCGTCCATTAAGATATGATCATCAAACGAAAGCCGGCTCTTTGTCGCGCGATACGGTGCAGTCCGTTCTTGGAGATCAGAATTGCGACTTCTGGATTCAATCATATGAACCCCCCTATTTACTCTCTGAAACAATCTCTCTACTATGTTTGACAAGGGATGAGCAGCTTCGAAGCTCTATTTTACAATGCCTAAGTTCAGCTTTTGCTTCTATGGACGAAATCGTGGAAGCCATTGATCGGCATTGCTATCATGTCATGTCGTTACCACGCAGATCCAGACAGATCCACGCATAGATATCCTTACCAGCCGCTCTGAAACTATGGCTCTTTTGGGTTCTCTCACTGGATTCTGTCGTATGTTGGCTTTCTATCTACACAGCCCAAGCTAAGGGCCAATCCGATGTACACTGTCTGTCTGAATACGGATGGCCCGCTGCGAGAAGACTTTGATGTGTGAGCCTTGGCTGTGGTGGATTAGGCCTAATTTAACTCTCAGACCCGTTGATCGACAAGACATGTCTGGCATAGTTTATTTGCTCCGTAATACGGGTTTATTTGCTCTTAGAATCGGAGTGGGTACCAGGGATAGGGAAGGTAGGGTTTGACATTCAATGGGGAGGACTTGCCAAGTGATAATGATAATTCAAAGGGAATGGACAGAATCATACGTATCACAAATTCTATTGAGTATAGATTATTCCAAGTAGAAGACAGCAGAAAATCAGAGCCGATATCTCAAGTCTGGGCATCTTTGTCTATATCTTGACCGCTTCAATTCCTTCTGTAGGAGATTGACGCTAAGCACTACTGGCATTGTGAAAAGCGGTCGCACAAAGCTAGCTGCCCACGAGATTGAACCGACCAACTACATCATTGTTTGCTATATAGTTTCCAAGGAAACACTGAAAACAAGGCGTGGGGCCGGGGATCTTAGATATGATTAGCTTAGTACCACGGGCAGAGTTGATTCTCGCGACTAGCTACTCTAGACGGTCTGCCACATATTCCCGAGCATTGAAGGCAATGATTAAGATGCAAAGCAAAGAGCAAAGAAAGATGCTAGGATGAATTTGATAAATAAACAGTATTGTCACACATTGTAGAGAAGGCGGCAACCCAAGAAAGGCCAGATGTAGTTCTCTTGCTTGAACATCCATCACGAGTGGGGGAAGTGACAGAAAACGACATGCGTAGATAGTTAGAAGAGGTGGGTCATTTCGTTTTCTTTTTATATTTTAGGGACTAACCGGGAGGATAGAAATTGTCTTACCTAACTTCATGGCTCCTCCCTGACTATAGATCAAAGGGCTATATTTGGCCGCCCTCTCGGTACGTCCCATATACCTTTCACACTACCATCCCTCCGTGCAAGAAGCACTAGCTTTATAGTAGGTAAGATTGATCCCCCAGACATAGATTTTCAAGCCGCTCACTCCAGCTGACTTTAGAGATGACTAACAAGAGATCACGATCACATGGGAACAAATGTGCGATCGGTCCTAGTGCGTGCTACATTGCCAAATATGAGGCCAATTCTTCTCAATGTTTTAACCCCGTTGCTAGGTCGGCGACCGCGGTCGCCGTTTGGTCCCGAACGACCATCAAGTGAACTTCTCACGGATGTAGCCCGAAAGGATACCAACACCAGGATACGCCGCCCGAGAAAAGTTGAGAAGCATGGTAAATTTCCGCCCCCTTTTCAATGATTGCGTGCTAACTTATGCCGGTTTACTTACATAGGGGGCATGGAACGACTCGAAACTCAGAACGCTGAAAATGCGATGTCAAGTATCGCAGGTCGGATGCTAGAACGCAAGGCCCTGCTTTGTCCGACAGTGGAAGATGACTTGTCACGGGACAGTAGTTCAGGTCACCAGGTGGCTGTATCAATGGCAGCGTTGTTAAGGAACCAGCGAAGGGATGGCAAGGATGTCCCCTTGAGCGATGCATCATCTCCTACTACCACCCTCGAGAAACAAACTCAGTACTGCGAGGGCGGGCTGGCCATAACACTCGGAGCCACTGGCCCACTGCCTGATATTGATAGACGCAGCCATGTCTCATCACCATTCAAGGTAGTGAGCCTCGCCTCTGCATCCGACGGGTTTCTGAGCTGTGTATCTAACACCTGCTGGCTTTCGAAATTCAAAGAGAACCACAATCTTGTTTTCCAGTCATCGTCCCCACTGCAGGTGCCCTCTACCTTCGATACTGGCATTGATCCTAAACTACTTCTGAAATGCTCCAGTTAACTTAGCTCTCGAGTGGAGCATGTTTTGTATCTAAGGTTTCGATATGAGCATCCAATCACCATCTACACCTAGAACAAAATTTATTCCATCTCGCACAAATTAGCTCGGGGTGGGAATAGCGTGGTAGGCTACAGCCAGCTTCATCACGGCTCGATGTTGACCTCTTTCTCACTATCCCTAGTATTACGTAGGACACCAGACATACCACATGCTTACAAATTCGGAGTATTGACTCTGAAATATCTCGAGCCACATTCAGTCCGGAAGCGTTTAGTGGCATCCCCCAGATACTACATGTAGTGCCTAGAATTGCTCAGTGAGTTCCAACCACACCAATGACAGCTTGTGTGAGACCCCAAGGGGATGCCAAATTCCTCAAAGGCAGTTAATGTGTTACGCTATATTAAGCCCGTAATTGTCAATGGAAGCTCGACTCATGAAGAACTAGTTTACGAGAAAGTAAGGCATGAATTGAAAAGCAGGGCACTGCCCAATGGCAGCATTGGGATCATATGGTGACAAAATTTGGGGCAAATATCTGGCAAAGTCTCGCAACTAGGGCTAGCTCTAGAAATCCTCATCATACGTCTGCAGGTCGTCCTCGAACTCGAACAGACTAACCGGGCGAGATGAACGACGCCGCATGCAGAGCATGACCCATCCCTTGGTAAATTCCTACACCCGCTGAATGACCAGTGGGTCCGTCAGTATCTCATCTATCAATTTTATTGCCTATCACTTCGGTGTTAGAATTAAAAGAGCACCCTTTTCAAATCGTGGCTTGTGCAGATTGGGGCGATTGCTGCGACCGCGTTGGCGACTTCGGTCTAATTTTGGCCCTTGATGCTTGTGCTGCTGTCTACTAGGGAGATTTCGTCGAATGTGGTTAGGAAGCTGTAGGCTAATTCTTTGTCTGGTGAGTCCTTTTTCGTTGGTCGGTGTTGGCTTATCGTTCGTGGGGAGATGGGTGTTGCTGCGTAGGGGTGTGGGAGGTCGATTGTTTCATTGTTAGAGTTGGATTCGGCTGTATACACTGGAATTTTGAAACCCGATGTCCATGGTATCTTCGGTGTTGGCTCTGATGTCACTTGACGAGATGGACGCTGATGTGAAGCAAAAGAAACAGACTTTGATGGCGATGCCTCAGAGTAGTCCATTGCTGCTAAGTGCATATAGTAGTTGCGAAAGTTAAGAAGTGAATAAGCGGACTATGCTTGGCTTAACGAGACGTAATACCAAAGGTAAGTCTACATCCGGCTCTGTACAACAAAGAAATCTGACAAACGGAAACACTGCTCTCTTTATATCCGTCGCTAAACGCGACCGAATAGCTCTCGAACGAATAGCCAATTTATCGTATCAACGTCTAGAACAACAATCATGATAGGGTGGTGCAGGGCATACTGGGGCTGACACGGGAATGTAGCCCTTTTGAATTTGCCAGGGGCATGTACATACCATGTGCGGCATATCCTGATTGAACCCCCTGTCGAGGTGCCACAGCTGCACCCAACCTAAAGTTCAGGTCGAGCCGATAGACTGATGGCCGGTATACGCCGCCAAGCTGATCAGGATCTTACGCGCCGTCGATATTATCAACAAATATGACTGAATTCTCGTAGGAATAGCCGAAATGGAAACCTCATGTGATCAGGGGCTCAACTCTGTCAGATACAAACACAAGAAACCAAGATCGAAGCGTAGAATATGGATGCAATCAGGGAGCATAGGTGCATCAATGTATGCCCCGACACAGTATACGGCTCGGGTGAACGTTGACTCAGGACTTGAATAGACCCATGGGAGTAGAACCACCCTCCGATGCCGTTAATCAAAGCCATAAAGATATAAGAGGCTGTCAGTCGAGATATACCAGAAAAGACAGCGTTGTAGAGCGAGACACTGCATAAAACCAAAGCTCCAAACCCTCCAATCACCAGGACTCGTTCTCTCTTCTCATTTGGCCAGGTTATCAAATAAGTGGCACAGGCCACCCCGCCCACTGTGACTCCCAGAAAAATGGAATTGTTGCTCCCGCTATCAGTAGCCTCTAAAAGCAAGACTGATACAGATGTCCCCCATATGTGAAGAATAATTCCAAGGTGGTCCAGCAGGAAGTAGGAAGAAGGGAGCTGCTTTCCCGAATCCAGCACGTAGTGACAAAAGGTAGAAGTCCCAAAACAAATGAGATTGGCTAAGAGAGAAACTAAAGCTGTGGCCGTATTGCTTCTGGATGAAGGGCAATGAGACACATGGTAGATAAAGCAGAGTAGGATGGTACTGCCGCATAAATGGAATCTCGGGTCGACGGAGCCGTTGGTGTGGATGAACGTGCTTCGGGGCTTCGAAAAGCGGTAGCTGGTTTCCATGTCGATAAAATATATTGTCACAGAGGAATTTATGGAATGAGTAACGTTTGGCAACTTCTAGGTATAACAAGGCGAAGGCTTTTCGAAGTAGACGGGATAGAAAGCCTTTAAGCCGGTGGCAGGGCCCGGGTAAAGACGGCCTTTCCATGGGAGACACATCTTCATTCCATTATCACGAAAAGATGACATCTCAATTTGGACACTAGTCACGAAAATGCGAGTCTATTTGTGCTCGAAGTGGAATTATCCAAATAAATTACTCCACATATTCTCTCCCGCCTTTCACATCCATGTTGTCCACTGATTTAGGGCTGAAACAGGGTCTATCGGTATGGCGGGCGGGTTCTTTATTATAGTTTTAATGTTAGAATTTAAACTAGAATCTATTCAATAATGTATATCTGCGAGAGCGGTAATGCAGCGTACTGTACGTCAAATGCGTTTTTTATCTTGACATGCGCGTCAGATTGGATTCTCATTTCAAACCTTACAAGGACAAGATTTTGAAAAACAATCATACACGCCTGCCAGGTAGGGCTGTCAATACAAGGAAGTTCAGTCGAAAATAAACCAGACTAAACTGATAGCTACTACAATGGCCGGCCCATAACAGCTTCCACCGGCTCGAAGAAGGTGTTGAAAAACGACTAGGGTTGGTACGGCACTACAAGCAGAAAAAACAATTCCCTACACTTCGCAATGCCTCAAGCTGCTGACTAATGGCCCTTCTTTACTGAAAATGCCATTGAACCTGTCGGTCGTGATGAGCCGAGTATGAAAGTCAAATGTGTCGTTTGCGAGATAACTATGAGCAGTTTGTTACATGGCGTTGGGTGTATTCTCCATGATTAAAAACTGTAGTGTTCAACTAGACTATAGCACATGAATTGTAACATTCTAGCGATATTGAACCTACCAACGATTTCTGTTGACCAGCGCAACATCCATAGGATACACATGCTAACTTTTAATGCGCAAGGTATCCGTATGGTCGCTCTCAATAACCCCGATCAAAATAAAGCCCACAAAGTCAAAGCCAAACACTATAAAAGAAAAGACAAAAAGATATGTGGAACGAGATAGTCAGTGATTTCACCTAAGACTCAGCGTTTGTTAAGGGTTGCGTGGCCTCTTATTAATCTTCCGGTCTCGTTCAGCGGTAAGCGATGAGTTGCTGCGCTCACGCTTTACCCCAACAGGAGATTCCATCGAGGTGACTTCACCCCCTCGCTCGTTGACTCTTTCTCTGCATGGGGCTCTATAGAATGGGCGGAATGATACCCGAGACTCAAAATTCTGTGGAAAGCTATCTTGTGGGCAATTAGCGTGTTGGTATTGTTCCCCGGGCGTGGTGGAAAGCCGTCGTTCGCAATTGGTGGCCATGGAATTGTTGGTCATTGCTGCACTAAGTGGTCAGAATTAACAGGTTCTGTAATAAACAGATGTCAACTACCACTCTATACCTACCGCGCGGGTCCGTCGATGTGATTCCGAACCCTTCGGTCGGTGCCGATTGTCCTGGTCCGGAATCATCAAACGGGGCGGGATCATTATCGAACAGGCTGTTCTGACTGGAATGTGATACCGTGCACGAGAATTCACCCCCTCCCCTTGGACTGGTGGAAGGTTGCTCTGGGTAGTTGATAGCTGTGGAACTATTGGACATTGCTGCGCCAAATAGTCTAGGAAATCAGCAGTTGCAAACAAACAGATATAACTATCGCTTTATAGTTTATTAGATTTACAAACTCAAGTAAAGTTAAATATGTACTTGAAATCCAATTTTATCTTTCCATAAATTTAAATATCCCCCGCAGGCTTCCGTTTCCAGACGTAGGGCACTCATACAATGACATTATTCTTAGACCCAAGTACAAAGATATCTAGGACCAGGTTTATCCCTAGAAGTATCCGCATTAGATTTGGATCATGACATTTTCAAATTTTCTATCAAGCATCGATTATATAGGCTACCAGGAAGGTTTCATACATTGACATAGTCAACACTCTATAAAACGATCTATAAGATGATGGGACCTCTTGGTATCACGCATTGCGGAAACAACGAAATTAATGATTACTGCACTCTGTCGGAACCGCAGAAGTAACTTTATCTCTGGACTGATCTAAATCTGACAGCTGATAGGATTCTCTCTGTTCCTGTTATCGTACGACCAGACACTCAAGTACGACCCTACAAAGGAAATAATGACTTTTGTTCAGGCTGTATGATACGCCTCGACGGTCACGTCCATCACGGGTTCACTTTGACGACCGTGACTTGTACAAGCGATATATCCGATCTTGTACTAGGCGGTATTTATTTACAATCCAGGAAAACAAGAGCAATGTAGCTGATCCAGCCAGCGACATCAATAGAGCCCATGCCCATAATACAAAGTATAAAGCCTTTACAGCTTCTAGACCCAATACTATTAATACATCAGTAAGCCTTTTAAAAATATTAAATGCAGGCCAAGGGTTTCCTGCCTCGGGGCTATGGATCTCCCCGGAGGTGTTGCTGGTATTTGACGGCAAGCAGTTGTCCATGTTATGACCGGGCGGGTCAGCATCCAGCATGGTAGAATTCGTTTCCGCTTGCCTGGCGGTCGAGGTAGATCTCAACTCGCCTGGTGTGGTGGGCAGGGCAAGGGCGATCTTGCCTCCTGCTTCCGAATGGCCCTTGGGTTCTCCCGCTTCAGGCAGCCTTGCCCCTCTTACATTCCTAGCTGTGAGCTCGTTATACATCGCTATGCCGGAGTGGTACATAGAATCAGAAGCTTGTCTAACAGACAGATGCCTGTCACCGTTTTATAGCAAGCTGTGACTCCATGCCAAATTCGCTACATCCTGATTATAGCAGATCTATTCTTAGAAGCATTCAAATGTACGGCTGGAGCTTTAGTCCTAGCATCTAAATCCGGGCCTAGCATTCGTCCCCATTCCGCGGGAGCTAATAGTTCCTCCCTTCAGACACTCATATATGAAGTGGCTTAGAAGTACTGCCATTCTAGGAACGCTGGATATACTGCGGAGGCACGTGAAACATCACAACCCGAGTTATTTGGTACTAAAGCAAAATTCTTTCAACGGTTCTATATGAAGATACTCAGTTTATTTTATCTAACAAGCTTAACTTTCCCGCAGACCTCCACAGGCCTAAACGAGAGTAGAATGTCGAGGTGGAAGACAGACAGTCTGCGAGCAGATCGATAAGCATACCTCTGTCCCTAATGCATTCCTATTAAGAATTCCATTCTACGGCCACGTAGGGCAACAACATCTCTGATTTTCACTCTCTTCATAGCCTCATCAGGTAACTAGGAACCTGGTGTGCGGATTGGAGTATTGTCTCCGTCAGGAGGTGGAGGTATATTTAACGGTCCATGTTGGCCGCCCTGGCGTAACGTCCGTAGAATAAGGTACCCCAGTGCGCAGACTACCCATCCGATCCAGTAAACAGCCAACGCAGCGAGAGCAAAACATTCGTGAAAGAAGTGACCGATTAGCCGCGGGTCCACGTAAAAGTTATCCTTTCGCGAAATCTGAAATTGGTGCTTAGAGCTCCCCTCGGGATTGTCGTCCTTCTCTGGTTCATCCTGACCGGCCGAATTGCCAAGGATATTAGAGACCTTCTTTGTTTCCGGTTGCCCGGTAGTCTCGACAGCTTTGAGATCCCCGTCCTGTGTCGAGTGTCTTGTCTCACTATTCTCAGGCGAACTGGTCTGCGTGGCGATGCCTAATGGGTTGTCATGAATTAGAGAGCTTGCCGGAACGCCAAAGTTGCCGAATGTTGTGGAATGCTCGAAAGGGGACATCTTTGAGCCAAAGAACTACAGAGAATCAGACATTGTGTAACACATGGTCGGGTAGTTAGCGCGGTTATATACCAGCTAAAAACTGGCTTCTGAGCTCGAAATAGCCATGTAGTGATCAAGTGTGAGATTGCTCCCGAAAGCATCCATATTTCCACTTTCCTATCAAGCTATACCTATCCTAGGAATGTTTTATATCTTGACACAGCTACCTATGATGGCCGACACCCTTCTGAATTAATTGAGATAGCATACAATATAGCAATCCTCTTCTTGTTAGAATTTGGGTTTTCTCGCCGAATTCATGCAGGTGTATTCCCTGCAAGCATAGCAAAATCCTCGCCAAGCGTTAAAAGGATCCTTTTCTGTCGTACTTCTACGCCGCATGTAAATACAAATGGTTTAGAAATCATCTATATGATGAAATTATTGTTCTAGAACACATCAATGCTATTTTCATGAGTTTGCACATGTGGATACCACCGAAATGGTGATTATTCTACTCTGCCGGGATTGAAGACGCGGATTTGTCTCCAGACCGAACTAGATCTAATGTTAAGTTACAGTGGCAATTGTTATGCCTTCCATGTCAGAAAACATAGGGGTGCTTTTCTAGTGCCTTCTTGCTATCCTCAATATAGATAAGGCGTAAAGTAAATATGCCGGTGTGTATTTAGCAGTTTTATAACCAGGCGTTTTTTTGATACCAGCCAAGAAGAACTATTCATCGATTCCCAGGAAGGGCAAAACGCACTACCACGCAATTGACACAATGATTGATTTGGGCGATATGGAATGTGATCTTCTCAATACTTGGTAATATGTAATAGCAATGTGCTGATCCAGCAATTGGCGCCTACAGGTATTCATCTCCGCTCTATCGGCCCGTAGTGTACATACCAAAACATAAAAATTCCCTCGTAAGCTATTGATCTGATCCCTCCACGAGACTCGTAATATCATGCTTAGCATACCCAGTGATAAACCACATTTGACATTCTGAGATAGCCGAAAGGCCCCGGTAATTTAGAGGAAGGCGCCGACCACATGGAAACATGGAAGACCTAGTCAAGACATCATGTGTGGACGGCCTTAGGATGTAATCATGTTTATCATCGGTTCACGTTGACGACCTTTACACACGTACAAGCGATACATTCGATCTTGTTCTCGGCGGTATTTATTTACGATCCAGGATAACATGAGCGATATAGCGGATACAACCAGTGTCATCAATGGAACCCATGGGCTTAAGATAACCTCTACAGCTTTCACAGCGTGTATAACCAATATGATCAGTACATGAGAAAGACGATCAGGGGTAGTAAATAATGGCAAAAGGTCCTTGGTAGGGGTGCTTCCGCGGGTTTGGTTTGCATTCGATGATGACAGGCCGCCGTTGTTTGGCTTATCCGGAATGGGCGATTTGGTACCGGAGATGCCGGACTCCGCCTTTGTTCTCCGTTGGGCCTGGCCTGGGGTCTCCCCGGGGGTTCGATTGTATTGTCTTGTGCCCCCTGCCTGAGCGAGGTGCTACCGGGGATGTTGGGACCTTCTTCTTTAACGACAGGGTTAAGGTCCGCAACTGCAACCGGTGTCTTCTCCATGGCTTCGACGGTAGTAGGCCAACTAAAATCCATGGCGTCGGGATCGTCTGAGGGGGCATTTGCTCTGTAGCATTCTTAATCTTGGATTCTTCGCCATTAAGGGTAAAAGCTAGTGGGCAGTTCGGTTGGCCGCTAGGAGTCTCCGGGGTGTCCTTGGTATTGTAATTCACATGCCCATTCTGGCCGTGCGAGTCGGTAATGGAATTGTTAGATCCGTCATTCGTGGCATCACGAACCGTTATATCGGTGTCATTTTTACCGTTCAAGGTTTTTCGCCTTTTTCCAACATCTCCCAATTCCTCGCTACTGTTTCGCTTCCCAGAGATTTTAGCTTTTTCAGTCTCGTTACCGAACATAGCCAACGGAACTAGGGAGAATCAGAAAATGTGCAACACACACGAGAGGTTGATATTCTGTTACGTACCAGCAATGTTTATATATCTATTACTCCACCATAAAAAGGATTGCGAGCTTAAAATAGCCACGTAGGGATTGAGTCTAAAGATTGTTTATGAAAGCATCTATATTACCACGTTGGATATCCCAGGCTACAAAGAAATGCTCCCTTCTCAAATGTGGACATCTACACCCTAATGGATGCCTCAAGAATTCACTCCGTTAACTTTTAATGAAAATACGCTTTTGGACGTAATATTGAGACCAGTTAGCCATGTCCCCATCAGAAAGAACCATTTCCGGTGAAGCCCTTGCCTGGAAAGGCCGGCTATATCTAAGCTGTCAGGATTTTATTTCAATAACCCTTGTTTGGTCGAAATATATAACTCGCTTAGCACAACTACACCGTACCTATGACTGGAGTTCTCCGTAGTCTACGGCCTAGTTATTGAATGCTCTAAGGTTAAGAATTTAGCTAGCTAATAGAGCGTACGACAGTTTACTCTACGCATTCCTTACTTTTTTGGTCTTTCAAAACGAAAATAGTTATCTAAAATAGTTATCTAAAATGGTCGGAAAGTGTGGATCGTCTACCCGTATCAAGTGTGAAAAAAAAAAAAAAGGGAAAATAGCAGAAACCTAGAGATATTGAAGGTAATGCCACTATATACAGCGAACTTAATTGCGGTAGCTTGTGAAGTAAGATTACATGCTCTTGGGGTACAACTACCCCACAGCCCGAAACGCCGAAGCAGTCGCCATACCACAGCTTTCGCTTTGCAAGTCAGGGCCCTGGTTCCGTACGGCTATTGCGAGCAGCCGGTCGTTCAGTGTGGCTTGCCATCTCCTATTGCGTTTGTTGCTGAATTTTCTTTTAGCCTCCCAGCGATCAGCGCGTGAAGCACGCTGAGTGTGTAGATGGATGGGCTCGTCGGCCTCAGACGTTAAATTGTGATCTAACATCCGTTCAACGTTGCTGATATGGTGAATCTCGATAGACGGAGAAGGTGGCGGTGATGCTGGTCGGATGGACTGGGCAGTGGTGTCCCGCACTCTAATGCCTTCCTCTGCCTCGTACAGTTGTCGCGCGTACTTGGTACCCTCCCACTGGCATAGCTTGTTGATCTCCAACTCACTCAGGTTGAATCGATCAAATGCTTGGAATAACCTTCGATGCCATTGAAACCGGCTCAGTCGCATACGATGTGGTGGATAAGAATAGTCCAGCCCGGGGTATCGTGCTTCGATACTTTGCAATGAACCGTAGAACTGTATTATTTCGACGCGAATCTCGGGAACTAGGTATTGCATAATCAAATCGTCGATTGACTTTGCTTTGTGTGTCAGAGAACGAGTGAAGGTCGATTCAAACACGGCCTCGGCCCACGAGGACTTGCGCATATTCCGAGAGACCCTTCGAGCAGAGGGTAAGTGTCGGGACTGTATGTATGGAAGAAGCCTTCCAGTTCATTTATGGTCTCGCACCATGCGCTTTGCTTAAACAAGATGAAAGCCTCCTGGAATAGCTCAAGCTGGAACGAGTTCTGAGGGACTGATCGGGTGACTTTCCGACGATTTGGCTCTCTGAGCGTTGTGGATTAAACGGTTCAGTGATGGGTTATAATAAGCAGCATAGTTTGAGCCAATCCCATCGCGGCAATTGCAGATATCCACAGTCAGCTAGCAGAAATACCTTCCAGGCACTCTATCAAGTCTAGGATATTGCTATATTTGGACCTTTGAAAGCTAGAGACCAAAACTGAAAATAGAAACACGCTGGTGGGATATACCCCAATTATATACATGCAGCAAGTATTGCTTTGTCAGACGATATTTGGCATTTACATGGAGGATTCCATGAGAAGCTTCCTAGGGAAGGAGATAGGAAAGAAATGACGGCTCTAGTTGTTTCATCTCTAGAACAACCTTCCGTCTCATCCTCACTCGTCGCCTTTTTTGAGACTCAATACTGTGACTGGCTTGAACTATACCTATCCTTAGTAAGATAACTACTCAAAACTCGCAACTACTTGTACTTGGGGAGATAACATACTATTCAAACTGCAAGATCTATATCTTAACAAGCCACGTAGACATAGACGTAGGTAGAGCATAAACTTTGCGAACTGTAGAAGAAGCAAATCTCGGGGCGCATTGCGCTCGTGTAAATTGGAGCAGTTCATTTTTGTAGTTGCCGAAACGGAATATAGCTGATTGGCTGGGGATGAAGCAGTTTAGAAAAAACAGGATAGGCGGTAATACTCCGCTAGCCAGCCTCATCTAGGCACAAGTCGCATTGACGGACGCTATATGATGTACCGGGGTGGATTGGTCAGATTGGCAAGCATGGTCTTAGTGACCCGACGAAGGAGTGCACCGTAAGTATACCCTAACTTGGGATGTAGTCGGGAGACGACCCAAGCGAGGTAGGGAAACTGAGTGCTCTCATACCCACCTTACTATGACTTCATAAATCAATTACAGTATACACGGGGCCAGTACCAATCCGAGATCACTTTCTTTACACTCTCTTTCGTTGCTAGTGCTGCGGCATCTCTGACTTGAGTATCGATGTTTTTGAGATCGTCTACCACAACCTGGGCCTGCTTGATGAGAGACTCAGGCCAGCTAGATTCAATCTCCGTTCGACTCTTCGTTAGTAGTTCTGCCGTGATTTGGGATTTAATGGTTTCATATCCAACGGATATCCTTTGATGGAAGGCTTCCAGTATCGCCCTTGTAGAATGGGGATCACCCCCACATACAACTTCTCTAAGAGGCGATAACCCATGCTGGTTCACAAAGAGAGCGTCGGCCCCTTTCTCTAATAGGAGCTCAATCGCCCATTCACGTCGGAGTAGTCTAGGTTCGGACGCTATCCAAAGCAAGGGCGTCCTGTCAGTCTCGAAATCACGAGCCTCGATATTTGCACCCCCTTGAAGGAGCATCTCAACGCGTTCTTTTGTTCTCCGCCTGAAGACCGTACTAGAAAGCTTTCCCTGACAACCAAGGTAGTTGTGTGCAACCTGGAGAACTGCGTGTGCTAGGAGAGGACATCCAACGCGTGGGGCGCCCGGGTACCGTATATTGACGTCGAATCCAGCTTTGACAAAGGCGTTAAAGCATCCTGGCTCGATGATCCTCGGCCAAGAAGGCTTGGCAGCCTGAAGGAATGCACTTTGATGGTCTCTACGTTCCGGCTGAAGTTGAAGTCCATGCTCAATCAGAAGGTTGAATGTCTCTGCCCCTGCCGACACCGCCCAAGAAAGGATATCTTCCGGTGGGTCGCTCAAACAAAAAGAAGGCCCTAGACCGTGGTTGAGAAGTAATCGGGCGCATTCGGGTTGTCCCTCGAGTATGGCTGCATGAAAAGGGGAGCCAGCGAACGGATCCACGACATACGTTGAGCACTCACCGTGCTCGAGCAAAAGTTCCACAATATCGTGACAGCCTGCGCTTATGGCCTCAAGGAGGGGAGTGCGCTCGGGAAGGCCGGAACGGCCGTTATTGCCGTCAGGATGCGCACCGTACCGAAGCAACACCTTTGCCGCCTCGACTTGGTGATATCGGGCAGCCACATCTAGAGGATGAGGAAGATAATGTTCGAACCAGTCGGGTGAATACTCATCAGGACCCCTTGAGTAACCACCGAGAACACCATATCGCTTGATTATCTTCTTCATGAGGGCTATGTTACCTCTTGCTATAGCCCCATGGAAAAGGGCCCAACGGTTTCGCCAATTAGATGCAATGGTCCTATCGACGTCAATCCATCCCAATATCCACTTCTCTTGTTCGCGGCATTGCTGCGTTGGCTCGGAGAATACTTCTAGAACATGTTCTATATCCAGTTCGGACGGGTCGGATCCGCTCTCCTGGAGAAGCGCCGCGGCTGGAAAATTGCCACAGCGCACAGCCTCTAAGAGTGGGTGGATGCGAGTCACTACGTGCGCAGGGTTAAGCTCCGCACCGCCACTGATCAATAGCCGTAAGATCTCGAGATTCCGGCTTGAGGGGCGCACGGCAGTGACAGCCTGGGTGAGAGGGGAGGAGGTTGATAGGTGACTGCCATCCGTCGGTCTTACACCAAGGTCGAGTAAGAGCCTGACAATTGATGGGTCATGGCAGCGCCAGCCTACCGCTAGATCCAAGGGTCTAGCAGTGTACACGAGCTGGCGGTAAAAGTCATCGTCGGGCTTGAATCCTATGAGCGACTTGATTACTGTTTTGTAGCGCCGGTGAATTGCAATTTCCAATGCCTTTGAAAAAGCGTGTGCTAGGTTTGGATGCTTGTTCCAGTTATGGGAGGGTCCCGGTGGATTGGCTTTGTGTTCCCTTTCTAGGAACTTCTGGACAAGATGGGCATATCCGTGATTCGCAGCAGCGATGATGGCTTCTCCGTAATTTTCTAACGCGAAATCCCTTGCACGCATCACTCTCTTCACGGCTGACAGATCTCCAAGCCTCATTGCCCGAAGTAGCGCCTCCATTTGCTGTCCGTGTTGAATAATATGTTGATAGAATCGGGAGCTAAATACATGGTGAAAGTCTCTGTTCACCCGCAATAACACACTTCGGTCACCAAGATACTGCAGATTGGAGTAAATCTCAAATAGCAACTCATTAGGTAGATCCAGAATGTGCCGCTTTCTCTGGCTATTGCGTAGAATATTGTCATTTGGAACTAAAAGGTCCCCGTGGTCCTTGCTATTGGAGTCTGAAGCAGTGACTTCATTTAAGATACTTTGCAGGTAGTCAATAGGGCTAGGTATATTCATGCTGTGCTGGTCAGTACGAGAGAAGTGGTAGTTTGAAAATGCTGGACTGCTTCAATTCCTGGCTATACGTAGCAGAGGTTAGGACCAAGAGCACAGGAATGCATGGCAAGACACGCAGACTCACTGAAGCGATTTCAGGTGAGTGATAGAATACACTTTTACAATAGACTGAGCCTTACAGGAGCTAATGCCTCAGCATAGGCTCGATTTAGAAAGGTTGGAAGCGTCCATAATTAGATAAGATGCCCAGAGGAAGCGGTACTTTATATAATTCTGAAATGACCGGTTGAGGATCCAATAACACTGGGGTTTGTCCTTTTATAGACTGCGGACAGTCCTCTACTAAGTGAAGAAACGTTTTGGAACATACCTTAAGATACTGGAGAGTAAATTTTGAAGGCTGTTCTTGGCGCAGTTAATAAAAGGTGGGATCGGAAAGTTCTTTAGTCTTTGGTTTATTACTTGATTATGGCTGCTATTTTATGCCTTGAAGTATCCGGTGGTCTTTAGGAGGCGGTTGGTTGGTTGCATCGTCATTGCATCTTACTAAAGTGCATAAAATACCATCCAGGCCGATTCCATCCATTCGCTGGTTAATAAATATGTGCCTGTTTAAAATGTGCGTTTTTGGTAGTAGCATCGTTAAGGCTCGTTCGGCTGGGTGCCTGATGACCAAGCAGGGGACTGCCTATGATTGGTTCACGAATGGGGTTTGTTTGGGTCAAGCCACAAGACCCGTCGTGACGTACGTTGGCATGTGGAGACGGCACATTCGCTGCCTGCTTGGCAAACAATAATGAACTTTGGTCGTGTTGATCGTAATAGGAAGTTGCCCAAATAAATTGAATGTAATTAACTCTACGATAGATCCACACACAAGAGCAAAAGAAGCATTATGCTTTTGCTTTCAGATAAGACGCAAATTGGTCCGTCCAGCGATACCATCCTAGCTCGCAGTCTATGGGAAATCATGCTGCTCGTATCCAATCCGCAGGATCTGCAAAATCGGGCCCCAGGGGTGCAATGCTACGACTCATTGGGATTTTCATGATTTAAAATGAACATAACTCTCTTAGTGCAATGAACCTTTTGTCGGAAGCGCACCCATAGGTTGCGGTGAAGCTTCTCTAGATCCGTGGCGTTCGTCAATGTGTTCGAACAGGTGTGCGTATATATCAGCTCAAAAAAAACGTAGAGAAGAAGCTTTGTGCAGCTAGACTTCTGCGCGAATAGCATGATAGCTCTTTTAAAATCTAGCACATCAAAAAACATCCGCACGAGAAACCTCAAGCGTCGTCGAAATCTAGGTGCGTAAAGTACCTCGGGAATCTGAATAGAAGAGCCATGATGTCTGTGCTCCTGCTGCCATGGAATAAGAAAGAAAAACAAGAAAAGAAGTTGCGAACCCGGGCTAAGGTTGCGGGCAGGGTATAAAGCCCAGCGTTCGGCTTCATCACGATGAGCCTGGGGTCTAGTCCTCAGGTCCTCTTTCCCTTTGTACGTCTTCAATCAACATGGACCCTGCAATTCACGTACCGCTGGCACTTTCTCCTTCTTCTATACGCCCAGCGTCTACGCGATCTACCGGTGTTACCCACCTCAAGCACCTCATCAACAACTATCTAAGCAACCTCGAATTTGACAGACCAGGAACCCACAATGGGATGGCTTATGCGATTGAAAAAGGCGTCGAAAGCCACTTTGTCAGCCTCCCCTTGGATGAGGGCATGTGCTTCCCAGTGAGACCCGTCTTCGGAGTAGCTGCGACCTTTGCCCATCAGGCATATACGGGGCTTTCTCTTGAGCTCCAGATCCAATGCGCTATTTTGCTTGCCTACATGTTTATAGTGGATGACATTGCACGGTGTTCCATGAAAGGTCTCGACTCATTTGGCCAAAAGTTAGTTCTCAATTGCTCCAAGCAAAGGCAATTACTCACCTATCTAGATTTTTCGATCAAAGGGACCATACAGATTACATTCTAAATGGCCTGGATGGACATATCCGGGGGTTGTCGAATCATTACGGTCCTTCCTGCTATTCGCAGATCACCCAGGGTTTAATTGCCTATGTAAACGGGTGTGTGATGGCGGAGGCAAATGCAAAATCCTCCGCCCAAAATTCCCAATCAAGCCTCATGCCGGCGTATCTCTGGTCCAAGGACGGGGGGCAGAAGTCCTAATTCATCTTCTTTGGCCAAAGGATACTTTTCCTAGCGACGAATCTCCGTTCAGGTATTCGGAAGTGACTCCCAGGCTAATGAAATTTGTAAATTATAGCAAACATATTCTTTCATATTATAGGGAAGGCATTCGCTGCCCGGAACAGAGCAATTTTGTGGACGATTGGGCTAAGCTGCGGGGCTTATCAAGCTTGGAGATCTTGGAGCAATTTGCAAACGGTGGTGTGAAGGTAAGCAATTCTTGTCGGGTGTTTTTCCTATATTAACACCGACCTGATAGGCAATGAAAGAAATAGACGCGTTACCCCTCGACCCGCTGATCGTCGAGCGGGTCCAAATATTTACTAAGGGATGGATCATGCTCGGCATAGCACACCGGGAATACTATCTACTTGAGCTGTTTCAGGACGAGTACCTATAGCCATACGATGAGGATGCTTATCACTAGTGCCTATCACGAGACCTTGGCATCACTCCCGACCCCGTCAAAGGCCAACAGCCTGCTTGCAGATGCATGTCCTATCCTTTGGTAAAATGCCTTTTTTTTTTTTTTTTTACAAGAACGATACCCTTGCTTACTATCACGAGCTCAGCATGTTTTCCAGCTAGTTGAAATTGAGTTCTTGATACAGTCGATAGCGAAAACGGCTTCTACCCTGATAACAGCTTTTCTTTTATCGGGCCCCACTGCCAAGGGACTAGCGTGAAACCCTATTACGCGCGAACTAGTAACGGAATGACAGTCCATGGTATTGTGTGGTATTAAATACTAGGTTTACGACATTCAATTACTTGACGACTTCGTCAGGCGCATCTACTTGCGCGAAACACAATGCTGCCCAATTTGCAATGTTTTATTCGTCAGGATATGCTTGGGTATCGTATATATCACGTGACAAAACGTAATGTAGAACAATTGGCTGCTAGACCCATCGCGCGGCCCTCAACTTACTGACTGGAAAACTCATCCATGCATTATTCATTTGTAAATAGCATCAACACGGAAACCAAAGAGATGATGTTCATTACCCATTGCGTCCTTGTTGTTTCGACCTCAATTGAAATTTCTTTTTTCCCTCTATCCTAACATCCTGTGTTTGGTAAAAAGACGCAGATTTGTGAGGGCTTCCAAATTTAGATGCTTACATCTATTCCCAATCGGGAATAGTGGTCGATCAGCTTATAGAATACCCTTGAACCTGGAAGATAGGGTTGTTGTAATTTCGAAATTGGCCAACCCATTTCGAAATATTGAAATTTCACTTTTTTTCTTGATTTCAATTTCATTTCAAATTATCTTGGCATTGATGAGTCAGCATTCCTTTGAGCTCGAGCAAGCCAGAATGGTCAGTTCCTTGCACCTGTCGCTATGTATGTCTAGAGAACCTAGTCATATCATTGGTCAGAAAGTTGAGTGTTATGCCTATTTCGGACTAGTACGATTTCATGATTTCAAAGCCCATTTCAAATTTCAGAAATTTCGAAATTTTGAAATTTCATTTTGGCATCCCTACTGGAAGATATACGTGCAAACAAGGCAAACACCATGCTCCGCCTGCTTTCCGGGTGTCCCAACCTCATCGCCTCTCGCAGAGGTTCGGTCTGTCGTGCCACGTCAGTCGGTCACGGAACATATTGTCACGTGGGACGCACCCAAGCCACAGGCAAGTCCCTTTCTCTAATAACATTCGCTCTATTGCCACGCTATGCCTCAGCCCGGGCTGAGCCTCTGCTGCTGGCGGCGGGGTTGTTGCTGTCTGCCGCGCAATGGGGTTCTTTTCTCCTGATAGTAAACAACTCGTCAACATCAGTTGCTATTCAACTTCTCCTAATATTCTCGTCAACGAACCGTTCTTTTCGCGAAATCACGCTGGACCTTCCACATGGCCCGTCCTCTACGAGATGCCTTCCAAATCGGTTGGATCTGTGCCCTTCCGATCGAGGCTGCAGCCGCCGCCGAAATGCTAGATGAGGACTTTGGGATTCTCGAGGAGCAAGATGCAGCGGACTCAAATACCTACACACTGGGCAAAATCGGCAAACACCACGTTGTCATCGCCTGCCTCCCTGGAGGCCAGTACGGAACCACGTCAGCTACTACGGTCGCAAACAACATGCTTCGAACTTTCTCCAAGTCACTTCGAGTCGGACTGATGGTCGGTATTGGGGGTGGAATCCCCTCAGCTGCTCATGATATCCGCCTCGGCGATGTCGTGATTAGCTACCCCCAAGGCACTTGCGGTGGGGTGATTCAATATGATATGGGCAAGATTATTGCAGATGGTGAATTCGAACGAACCGGCTCATTGAACAGTCCGCCGAGGGCACTATTGACCGCACTTGGCACGATGAGAGCCGCCGCGCTGAGGGATGACCCCCGCTACCTGGAATATGTCCAAAGCGCAATCGGAAGAACCACTCGAACTCGGAAGAATTTTAGCCGGCCTACTACACAGTTAGATCGACTCTTTCAGACGAAACATGATCATCCTACTAGTGCGAGTAGCTGTGATGGATGTCCAGCGGAGTGGGAACAGACCAGAGGTGAACGCGAGGACAATGACCCACAGCCCCATTATGGCATTATTGCTTCTGGTAATAAGGTCATCAAGCACGGGCGGACAAGAGAGCAACTTCGTTTGGAGACTGGGGCATTGTGCTTCGAGATGGAGGCGGCTGGTCTGATGTTGGACTTCCCCTGCGTTGTTATCCGCGGTATTTGTGATTATGCCGACTCGCACAAAAACAAACAATGGCAGGGATATGCTGCCCTGGTAGCCGCAGCACATACAAAAGAGCTGCTGGGCTATATCCCCGTTGGTCGTGTTTCACAAGAGAGGTTGGTAGTAGATATATGCAGTAAGAATAATCCTACCTCAATCAGTGCTGAATCAAGAGTGGATTACTCATGCAGCTCTATGTAGATGGATTGAAGGCTGAAATTGAAGGCACAAATCAACGCCTAGATCAAGCATACATTCAACAAGAACAACATCACCGCGAGAAAGTCGCATTTGCTTTGACGGATCAACAACTCCGCTGTCATCAAACATTCAAGGTATCAAATTATGAGGAGCAAAAGAATATAAATCCTAGAAAAGTGGAGGGAACCTGCCTATGGGCTCTACAAAGCCCTGAGTATATCCGTTGGTCAGGGAGCAGCCGCAACGATCTTCTCTGGGTGTCGGCCGACCCAGGCTGTGGGAAGTCTGTACTTTCCCGGTCGATGATTGACTGCTTAGAAATTTCCTGTCCAGAAGTAACAATCTGTTACTTCTTCTTCAAAGACAACCATGAACAGAATCATCTTGCTTTAGCACTTTGCTCGGTACTCCATCAGCTTTTCAGCCAGCGGCCTCAGCTCTTGCGTCATGCCATACCATCTTGGGAAAAGAATGGGGAGAAGCTCCGACAAGAGGTTGACGAACTGTGGAGAATTTTTACCACCGCCGTATTATCTGATGAATTACAGAAAACGATTTGCATATTCGATGCGCTTGATGAATGCCGTGAGATTGATCAGAATCGACTGATTGAGAAGCTCCAGTCATTTCACCGCCTATCCCGTCCGCGGACACCCGCTAACTGGTTAAAGTTCCTAGTCACTAGTCGCCCTTATGACGATATCCAGAATAGTTTTCGAGCGATCACGGACTCTTTCCCACATCTCCATCTGAAAGGGGAGGAAGAAAATGATCAGATCCACCAAGAAATCGATCTTGTCGTGAAGATGCGAGTAAAAGAGCTGGCGGAGGGAGTGGCGTTGTCACAGGACACACAGCAGCGACTCGAGCAACAGCTTCTGCAAATGGAGCACCGCACATATCTCTGGCTACATTTAGCCATTCATGATATTCGATCTACACTCGAGAACAGCCTTCGCCCGGCTGAGGAGTCAATCGAGGTGATACCTCAATCAGTAGATGAGGCATACGAGAAGCTTCTTAGTCGAGTGCCCTCCGGTCAAGTGGACATTGCGAGGAAGATCTTACAAATCATCGTTGCAGCACGGCGTCCTTTAACAACGGCGGAAATGGCCATGGCGCTCGGTATTGCCACCTCCCCACAAGCCCAGACTGCAGCAAAGGCTGGACTTGAACTATCCCAGATCGACAAAAAGCTCCGTCGATTATGTGGCCTTTTTGTGTTCATCAATAACTACAAGATCTATTTGATTCATCAAACAGCAAGGGAGTTTCTTGTTAAGAAGAGTAGTTCAAACAGTACCAACTACTTATACTCGTGGAGCTTGACTGACACCGAGGATCAAATGGCTGTTCTCTGTTTGCGATACCTACTGATGAAGGATCTGGAACATGATGATGTGGATCCAAGCTCTAACATTCGAAGCTTTCTAGATTATTCAGCAGTATATTGGCCGGACCACAAACGGAAGATGAGTCTGACCCAAGACCAAGAAGCGACCGGTCAAGTTCGGCAAATGTACGATATGAGTAGAAAAAGATTTTCATTGTGGTTCCCTATCTTTTGGAAGGCTATCCGGAGTTACGGGATTCCGCCGGCAATAACTGCTTTACATCTGGCATCATTTAACGGTCATGAGCGGGAGGTTGAATTTCTACTATCTATCAGAGGAAAAGATATCAATTCCATCGATGGTACCGGAACCTACCCCATTATCTCAGCCTCATTCAATGGTTATGAGAAGATTGTACAGCTGCTGCTCGAGAGAGGAGCCCAGGTCAACGCTCAAGACGGAGTGTTTGGAAATGCCCTCCGAGCTGCCTCTGTTGGAGGACACGAGAAGATTATACAGCTGCTGCTCGAGAGAGGAGCCAAGGTCAACGCCCAAGGTGGAGTGTTTGGAAATGCCCTCCAAGCTGTTTCTGATAGAGGACACGAGAAGATTGTGCAGTTGCTGCTCGAGAAAGGAGCCGAAGTCAACGCCCAAGATGAACGATTCGAGAATGCTCTCCAAGCTGCGTCTTTAAGAGGACACGATAAGATTGTGCAGTTGCTGCTCGAGAAAGGAGCCGACGTCAACGCCCAAGGTGGAGAATACGGGAATGCTCTCCAAGCTGCGTCTTGTCAAGGACATGATAAGATTGTGCAGTTGCTGCTCGAGAAAGGAGCTGATGTTAACGCCCAAGGTGGAGAATACGGGAATGCTCTTCAAGCTGCGTCTTTAAGAAGACATAATAAGATTGTGCAGTTGCTACTCGAGAAAGGAGCCGACGTCAACGCCCAAGGTGGAAAATTCGGGAACGCTCTTCAAGCTGCGTCTTGTCAAGGACATGATAAGATTGTGCAGTTGCTGCTCGAGAAAGGAGCTGATGTCAACGCCCAAGGTGGAGGATACGGGCATAGTCTCCGAGCTGCGTCTTCTGGAGGGCACGATAAGATTGTGCAGTTGCTGCTCGAGAAAGGAGCTAAGATCAACGCCCAAGAGGGAGAATACGGGAATGCTCTCCAAGCTGCGTCTTTAAGAGGACACGATAAGATTGTGCAGTTGCTGCTCGAGAAAGGAGCCGAGATCAACACTCAAGGTGGAAAATACGGGAATGCTCTCCAAGCTGCATCTTTTGGAGGACACGACAAGATTGTGCAGTTGCTGCTTGAGAAGGGAGCCGATATCAACGCCCAAGGTGGAAAATTCGGGAATGCTCTCCGAGCTGCGTCTTTAAGAGGACACGATAAGATTGTGCAGTTGCTGCTCGAGAAAGGAGCCGAGATCAACGCCCAAGGTGGAGAATACGGGAATGCTCTTCAAGCTGCGTCTTCTCAAGAACAGGATAAAATTGTGGAAATCGTCTAGCACATCTGGTTTCTAATCGGTTGACATCCTCCCTCTCTCTCATTAGACAAAATGCCCCTAGACCTCTGAAATTTGTAGCTTGAGTAGCTACTGTTGTATAGGAATAAATTAGCTTGGTGGTCTGCTGTTATCCATCTCTCACTATCTGTCTGATTGGACATGTATACAGAAATAATTCCCTGTAAATGAGTGGAGTAAAGAGGTTCCTTCACATTATTTTTAAGGGCTATTTCTGCCTATTTACTAACCAGCTCTCTCTTGCTATCGCAACTATGCTGGGGATTCTGACATGGTCGTTTTGTGTCGAGGATAGTGGAGCAGTGAATTACAGCTGCCTCCTATTGGTTTCCTTTGTCGCCCTCCTTTCTTTGTGTTTTGTGTGTAATTACGGGATTCCGAGACAACACTTACTAGTCACTCTTGAGTATCCCATGCCTCTGAGACACGGAGGAATTGGTCCCATTCACATATCAACTATGAACCAATTCTGCAGATGGGTATTTAACATACCCTCTGCCTGACACTCATTTTATCTACGATTAGTCAATTCTATCTGTCAATTCTACTGATTGCTTCCCCCTTATCATTCGATATCCCCACTCATTGCATACAATGCCGTACTGTATTAGCTTGTTCTGACATTTTGTAAGACACTTGTATTGTACTGTATTGTATCGTCATATCTGCAAGCTCTATCTATTTTTGTAAAAGTAGTGGAGTAAAAGCCATACACCAGTCCCTTGGCAGTGGTGCCCGAGAAAAGGAAAGCTGTCATCATGGTAGAAGCTGTTTTCGCTATCGACTGTATCGCATTGGTAGTCTTGGTAGTCTCATTATAGGTCGCTCTAATTCTCGTCGGGGGGTCCCATGGTATCCTAAATTTCAAACTCCCACTGGAATAGGGGGGCATCATCAGCTGTTCAGCCAGATTAAGCACCTTGAGGGGTAAGACTAAGTAGTGTAGTGGCTTCTTTGGAAGGCCCCCCGGAATGTTAGATTTTGCCCAAGTATTCGTGACTAAGCTGAACCGGTGTGGCCCGAAGGCTGAACCGGATTGGGAACACTAGGGCCAGAGCCATGTCGCTTCCACATAAGGAATCTTGATATAGATCAATGGTGTCGAAGACAGGATTGGACTACATATATCTCTATGTCTCTAGATATATGACATGTCAAGAAATTCCAATTCTGTGGATTTACAGAGCCAAATCTAGTCCAACAGTAGACATCGACACTGCTCTGTTGCGTGTAGCGTAAACTCACGTCTCCACTCAAATTGTGCTCATGGTCATGAAACCTAAAAACGGAATATGATAAATGTATCTCCCCACTGCTTCCAAGGTGAACGATCACCTCGGCCCGTAGCGAGGAATTGTGCTGCTAATATTTGAATTACAAGTATCTGTAGTAAATTTGAACGTTAGACAAGAGCACCAAGAGATTGCCGTTCTGCTCCTGATACGTCCTGGTCGACTTAACTATGGGAATGGTACCCTAGATGTTGAGGCTAAAACTGTGGCCATTGATAGATGATCGACTTCATGTACTCGAGAGTGGATAAGTGGATACTGAATAAACACAAAGAATGAAAAAAAAAAAAAAAAAAAAGTGTGGGAGAGGGAAAAGGGGGGGGGAAGTGAAAGGGAAAAAGAAAACGAAGTGAAAAGCAGAAAAAGCTCCAATCCAAAACATTGGAAGGAAAATATAGAAAATGAACAAGGGAAGAAAAAAGAAAAATTAATTTCTGTTTTGTTTTCTTTGACCTAGCGGGTCTGACCTTGGGTTTCACCAACGACAGGGGAAGCCGAGAGGTGGGGCGGTGTATTTTGGGCAAAATTATGATTGGTGGCACGAGCCCCGCATCATCTCTTGCTCCCACCCAGGAACAAGGAGTACCCAGGAACAAGGAGTGGGTATTGACATAGAGGGCAGGTATTATCTAAATGCAGTAGCTGATACCAAAATGCGTGATTGTTGCAATAACATGGAAAGATTCTGTTGTCATGTACGCTGTTAGATCACGCAAAGAACCTAGTTGAAATCAGTACTACATTATAGGTGCCAAGTCTCTCCGGACCCGTAGAATCACGTGTATGGACTGCCAGCTTCCCTTCGAGAAAGAATTGAGAATGTCTAGACGGAGACCTTCAAGCCTAGCGCTCGGGCGCTTGGACTTAAGGCCATTGGTCTCGGAAAGGAATCGAACGCGGTTCCAGGACAGTGGGATTCCTGTGATGCTTTTCACGGTGAATGTGAAATCAAGCTCTAGCCAGCTGATCTAAGCCAAAGGTTTGTTTGATATATGTAAAGACATCTTCTGCCGACGCCGTGGACAGCAAGATACCGGGACCAAGCCATGGATGTGCCTGTCGCTCGTGAATGAGCTAGGGCTGTAGTAGATACTAGTGCTGAGGAAGTCATGCTCGTTATATATATACCAAGAACCCTTCGGTGTTGCACTCACAGTATCGTAAAAGGCAGAGGTATAGGTTGGTGATAAAGATAGGCGAAAATTCTGCATATAGATTGCGCTGGTCTCTCCCAATAGTAAAATAGTAGTAGTAGTAGTAGTAGTAGTAGTAGATTACATTTACCCTGACCTCTCTCAAAGCGTATACAGGCTACAGCAATTATATATATCCGTGTATGTACATATATGATGTCCCACTTCCTGAAAACGAACTTAGAGCCTCTTCAAGGCCTATCGTGGCCTAGTTACCGCTCACTTTGTTAGGCTGCCATCATGGCGCCCGACTTTGGAACCGTTGTGACGCCTCAGCGAAGTCTAGCACGGCCTTGACGGTCCTAGCCCGCGAGGCGGTGTCTGGTTTACCTCCCTCACCTTCACTTGAGCCTCCCAGCAGAACTCGATACGCTGTTAAACGCGTCCCCAGCTTCACCCCTTAACTTCCGTCGAATACCCTCAGATTTGGGCAGTCTACCAGCGCGTGGGTGACTGTTTCTTGCGCCGCACACGCACTGATCATTGTCACAGAAACTGAAGGTCTTGGCGTAGGTGGATCACCAATTATGGCCCGTGCGTAGCTGTGTCAGCAGGTACGCCCAGCCCCTGGGCAAATTCCCATACAGCTTCCTGGTGTAGGCCGCGGGTAGAGTGCTATCAGTTCTACGCAGGAGACCGCCTTTGGTAGATGTTTCCCATTCCTGTTCTTACTGAGCGCGGATGATGTCTCGAATGAGCGCCCTCTTCCTTGTCAGCAACGGGCGGAAGGGGTGTGTTTTGCCCGGGCTTGCCGCGTCCTTGGCCAGCCGATCTGCTGCATCGTTCCCTGGGTTGTCGCAGTGTGCGCCGTGCCAGTCCGTAGCGGGATCAGCTTCCATCCCAAGCATTGCTTTTCTATTTTCAGGCCCCACTGCCAAGACGCTAGTGCAGTGACTTATTTGACGGGAACATTGAGGTTCGGCATGCAAACGAGGCAAATATCATCATTGTGCTACAGTACCTATCGACAACAGTAGACAAGTCCTTTCCGACATTCGAAAGTTTCACCATCTCTCCATGAAAAACAATGAAGCTCAAACTATGCTTTCCTGTGCAATGGATAATCGTTAAAATACCATCACATCAAAAGAATGGCTAAATAACATACCGGTCCAGCGTAGTAGTCGTACGTTGACAGCTCCTCATCTAGACGGAGCGCAGCTTCTCGTAAAGTAAGTCCGGTAACAGCTTTATACTTTATAGGGCATTTTGCCGGATGATCATCTGCCAAAAGCCCTAAAACATCATATTAGAAGCCAGCAACACAGGCTCGATAGGAAACCAACCTATTAAATCTCTGAGCGCATCCAACATAGCTTCGCAACATGCCACGTCTGGGATGAGGTCGTCGTGGACAAGTCGAAATGGGCGGTCAATAACCATGACTATGAAACGGACGAATTTCAATAACAAAGACACTCGCTTTGTCTCACCAATCCATGGTGGTACATATCCACAAATTTCAGCGACATTGAGACATATCGACGGAACGGACGAAGGAAGACTCATTTTCTCATGCATAAAATGGTCAACTATCACCGGATATACCGCACTTCTTATAGAACTTTACCTCGCTTAACTGCACCCAGGTTTACTTGCACCCAGGTTTATTCCTAGACAGATTTCACGGTTCCGTGAGACGAAATGCTGATATATGATCTTTCTCAAGTCTCATTCCTAGCAGTATTCTGTCGGCTGTGACTTGCCGTACTCCCCGTCCTCAGACGAGCCTCGTCAGATCACGTGTACGATGTAATACTCTAGGAAGTTAAGTTAGCTAGGAAAATGATGATGTTTGCCTTGTTTGCATGCAGTCAGGTTCGTTGGGTAATGTGTATCGCTTTCCCATGGAGTTCACCTCTTTCGACTACCCCCGGAGATTCGTAGGATACCCGGGACTCATTATTAAAAATGTCTTCGAGACTTATTCTTGACTCTGCTAGAATTGACCTATGGTCATTGATTTATGAATATCACATGATCACATTCCCGCTGCCAAGATGAACGCCAATACGATTGCCGTACTAGGCCTATTCTGGCTAGGTTCAGAGTGGAGCTTGACTCAAGAAAGGTGGGGCTTCGAAATTGCCTAGCCAAGTTAGGCTCATACTACCTAGGTGGTTACCAAATTGTTCCCGTACCCTCAAAATCAACACAATGGGCTCCCCATCCCCTTTGAAATCATCTCGTTAGTTTCTAAGCGGACATCTTTGGGTGTAAGGCGATACAATTTGCGATCAGACTGAATCCTGTCATAGGCCTGTTGGGGTCTCTACTTCGTACTAAAACAGAAGAGGCAAAGAGGCATTGTCCCCGTCACGTGATACTCACGGTAGAACTAGTGACGGGGGATCGATTTGCTGAGTGATGGACGAGTGAAGACCCTGAGTGAGTAACCTTTACGGCCAGAACATTTCGTTCAGAATGGTCGCATGTGTTTTTGAACAGCCATGCGGCTGGGTAGGGACTAAAGAACCCCGCGTTGCATGCATTCCGCGGACACCGAGATCGGTTGGAGAACCGAGCCTTTAGGTGAATCACTTTCGGTGAACAGATACATCGACTGACTCCTAAGCCATTGAAAGACGCCCTTATGCCCATTCATTTACATCCCGTACTAGACACAGGAAGCAAATAGTCACTGTCCCAAGGGTGAGGCTAGATCGAGATCCCTTGATATGCATGCCCCGTCTTGATCGGTATGATGCGCAAATGAATCAGAGTACTAACGTGTCTGGCGATAATGGAAAACTCAGAAGCAAAGGTGGCTAAGAAACCGCTTTGCTAGGGTTGGTGCTCCGTCCACTATTGTCACATGCTGTAGTATAGGTTACGCTCGGTATGACAGAGTGCCCTCGGCTTCGTGACAAAGACCAGCAAAGCATTCATGGTACACTTGGATAACAAAACATCGGTGTGTTAGTACTAGGATTCTACGTAAGAGCTAGCCATCCTCTTAGATTGAAGGCAACGTTTAGCAACAGCACCGTCATATTCTAAAGCATATTCCTACCCCAAAGGTCTATGCTATTATTAGTAGTAGAACCGGGGGACGAACCGCCATTTAGAGGGCCTAGAAACTTACATCATCTGCCTTTTGAATTAGGCAGAGTGTTGTTAAGATCGAGAATCTTAAGTTGTACATATATATATCTCAAACGGTGGGTCTCGGTTGTTCCGCTTTGATCGAAGAGACGGACGCAGTCATCTTGCAACATCCCTCAGTATGTCCCTTACATCGAATCCAGCGCATCTTCCACTTTATATGCAGCCCGCAAGTTCTCCAGTTTCACTCCCTAGACCCCCGCCCCAGAACCAAGTGTCGCTGCCGTTGCAACATCAGTCGACCTATAGACACAATGACGCGTTACAACTATCGCAATTACATTATACATCGCTCGAAACCACCCCGACTGCGTCACAGTTCCAACAGGAGCTCGGGGGTAAAGGCAATGCTGCCCTACAGTCATCGCGACTAGCTTTGACATCGCTCGAAATCACTCCGACCGCGTCACTACCACTACAACAAGAATCCACAACTAAAACCAAAGCCGCGCTACAGCCATCGGAACTAGCTTTGACATCGCTCAAAGCGACATCGACCGCGTCACACTTCTTGCAACAGGACTCCACGTCGGAAGGAAATGCCGCGCCACAGCAATCGCATCAATATTCGACATGGCTCGAACCCAGTCCGGCCACATTACAGTCCTCACAAGACGCGATCACGTCTGAACCAAATAACGCATTATCGCTATTATCCCAATCTCTAATATCTTTTAGAAGTATTGCGAGCGTATCGGAGTCATCGATGCAAACTCCGGTATCACGAGAAGATTATATTTCAAGCATATCAAGCTCGGTTAGGCAACTCTCAGTCTCTGGAGATGACTACACCCCATCAAGCCATATATCAAGCACAACGCAGTCAGGGCAACCAAATTCTGCTTCCGTACACTATCACATGTCTGTCTCAGCGCAACAAGTGCCAACGTCGCGCCAAGATAAAACAGCTCTAGAATCTATCTCAAGCACGCCACAGGCATCACAGCGAGAGTCAACATCCACAGAGGGTCATGAATCGTCGTCGTCACGTCAGGTTTCATCATCGAGCCATGGGAATCTCTTTCTAACCCATCAGACAATCTCGCGGTCATTTCGACGTGAGTCAACCTTGTCCGAGGAAGACTCGCGACCAACGCCTACCTTTCATTTAGCCAGCCTCACCTCACAGCCAACATTCACTACCCATCAAGAATTCAGGTCTTCAGGAAATATTCTTTCAAATCCTGCATCCACGAGTCAGCCCAAGCGCAACTCCTCATCATCCGCGCGCGGTCTTGATCAGGGATTGACTCCTCCAGTGACCTCTACACCCTCTACCCAAAAAAAAGTCACGCGGTTTAGCGAATTGAACCTCAACTTATCCGAGATCAGAAAGCTTCAGACCGTGTCTCCCGGACAAGTTGGAACTGTGTATATTGTGATCACTAACCCTACAACAAGCATTTCAGGTCCCTATTATACGATCCAATCCTCTGCAACGTTGCTCGCGACGAGTAGTGAAGGGGAAGAATCCCTTTCAACAAGACATACAAGCACCGTGAATGAAAGTAAGCCAGCCACAGCGTTGAACCCCAGCACCAAGAACTTTCAACCCTCGCAACCGACCCCATATCAAGAACCGACCACAGTAGATTCCAACTACGCCTCTCTAAGGTATTTCCCGCGCCCAAAGACCAAAATCCATGTCAGCTGAACAGTATCACCCACACAGTTCCACAGGAGCATTTGCCACCGGTTCCAATCCGGGATTTTCTCACCCTACTAGTACGGAATATACATGTAGTGCGAGTGTATCTCTCCAAGAGTCTCCTGCAGGTGAGAACACCCTTTCAGCGCCATCTTCAACATCAGATGGCTCCGCTGCCCAACACCACGTGACCAGCACCAGCGTTGGTGTCGCTGTCGGCAGTGTCGCATCGGGCGGGTTCATATTTCTGATACTCGTGGCGTGGGTGAGAAGACGGAAAAAAAATCGACCAACTTCGTCTGTATATTCACGTCCGCCTTAGGCGATATCACCAGCCGAGCCCTAGCGCTGTTCGTTTGCTACAAATGGATCGCGGATCAGGTTATCAGTATGGTATTAGAAGTGGTCTTCACCAAGAAGGGTTGGGGGAAAAAGAAACGAAAATAAAGGGGAGAATGGAAAAAAAAAATAATCAGTCCCTAGCATACTTCGTCATTCTTTTTGGGGGCACAGTAGAATTTGAAAACAGTTTATCCCTTGGATACTCCAGCTTTCTTCCACAGCGCCCCACTTACAGCGCTGGATTCGAACAGGAAATGTCCCACCATCACCTTTTAAAGTATTTCAAGTAGATCAAATGTTTGATTCGAGCATACCCAGTATTAAGACTATGGATTTTCTATCGATAACCGGAAGTAATATGAATGGAGGCCTGATTCCTCAAGCGCCGGACTCATCACGTGTGGGTGCCCCAAAGCTGCATTCGCCGTTTGATCTCCAAACAATGTCTGGATCATCAGCCTAACATTCTTTCATCCTTATTTGTGATGTCCCAGACAAGCCGGTATTATGGTTATGGGCGCTTTTAGTCGAAATAGCCAGGATGGCAGATTTTCTGCACGCGAGGCAGCCTTTGAAGGCACAGCGCGCGTCCATGACACTCGCCCGAGCGATTGGCTCGAATGGATTGATGCCACTAAGTATTTCAAGCTCCAAATCCAGTGTTCTAACTTTTTCAAAGCTTGCGAAGGTGCCATTCCCGTGCCCCATCCCGACGCCAACCTCGGTCTAGGACCTTTGGCTTCTGGCCCTATCCGTGTATCCGCGCAAGTTGCTTGTGTCTCTTTTTGTTCATAATTCTGGTAGGGATTTTAGGGGTACTCCACGAGACAGCCCATTGTAGTACCGTGGCGGATAGTCCAAGTAACCCTGATTTGAGCTTCCCCGGAGCCACCCGCTTACTGCAATTGGCTAGTGTCTGTTCCACATTCATTCCTTTTTATTTATTCTATTTATCTATTACCTTTTTCGTGGGATTTGTGACATGAAATATCGGTTCAAACCCTGCAGGACTTTTCAAGGATTGCTGGAGGACTGCGCATATATATATATATATATATATATATATGATAAAGTAGGTCTTACCATCGCTGTTTTCAATTCCATGTGTTGTTTCCAGAGATAAAGAATCTGCTCATATATTCATCCAGGCTTACGACAAGGCAGTACTGACTACTCTTGTGGAGCTGCGCGGTCTTGAAGACCCTTCCTCACCGTTCTCATGATTCAATCGACGGTCGTTTTGGTTGGCTTCCTCAAGCAGGGGAGGGAGCGAGATAGCGTCCCACTGTTAGTGGAACAATCAGCAGCATTTGACGGATTGAAGAGAAAAGCCTCTTTCCGAGTGGTTGGAGGCTTTTTTGGGCCAATGAACCACTGGTGTATCATGGTGTTCTACGAGGGACTCATGGTAGGAGACCCTGCTGTGGAAGTATTGCGGCAATATCTGGCTACATTCTGCCTGGACAGTACGACATACGAGCACATTGAACCGATCGCCGAGCCGCTGTTCTCAGAGACAGGACAGCGTCAGCCAGTCAAAGCGTGGAAGCGGGAGACCCTCATTTGTTATTTAAAGGGTTCAACCTATCGTCTGATGTGGGATGGCGTTGCACATTTTGAGAATACCAAATTATATGCGTCCGCCGTGTACGATGCGTTGGAGCTGTTTGGAGGAGGGGAGTGTGGACCATGATGAAAAGGGAAGCATCGCGCAAACATTTCCGATGAGGCCAGCAGGGTTGTTGTTGTTGTTGAGATAAAAGTGTAGAATATATCGCATTCACTATCGTCCTTTGGGGCGGGGGGCTCGCGTGTGAATTTACGTTAAATGAAATGCCCCTCGTGATAACATACACGAGAAGAGACAGAAAATCAACGATACTGTAGACGGCACTAGGAAATCATATAAACATCTCTGTTCACCTTCTCGAATTCACTTCAAATGGTCACTCAATATCTGGCTATTAACGCGGACTTTATTTTCTCGCGTTCTTCTTGTCGGGCTCTATGCGCGGCGGCACAGTCTTCCAAATACCTTTTCAAGGCTACATTATAACACTCATCGGGCAGTGCCCCGTGATCACCTTCAAGAACTAGCACTGTCACACCGTCGGCTTTCTGAGCTAGGTCCTCCATTCTGCCAACCACATTTTCTCTGGATGCAACAACTAGTAGAGACGTTTGTCCAGCCTTGAGTAAGTTTGAAGTCAATCCAGTAAAAATTGTTCCCTTATATCCTTTTATGAACTTTTGTTCGTGCTCATCGAGTGAAAATTGCGATGCACCAAGAGTGAGTTGATTATCACAGCTCGGGAAGGGATTCCAACGACGAATGACTTTCCAAATTGCCCCGAGAAGACCTGTGGGGTCTATTTTTTCGATACTTTGAAATGGCATGTAGTAGACTGTCGAGTCGCCCGTGTGACATGAGGCAAGGAAGGCACCGAAGGATCGGCCAAAAATTATAGTGTTCCAATCAAGAAAGGTCTTTGGGAGCTTATCGGTCGGGCATGCGCTTATCCTGATGCCATTCTCATCTCTAGCCACTCTGCGTGGGTTGAAATTATCCCACTCAATTTTAGGTGAAGTTAGGAATTCTCTTTCCAGAGTGTCTGGGATCGCTCGAAGCCACGCCTCCAGGAGACCATCATTCTTGCCCGTCATAGGTGAAGACCTGTCTTCATCAAAACTGCCATATCCGGGAGGGTTCACCAGTATCAGATGAACATCTGACCCGAAGTGCCTCCAGAAATCTGACATAATGGCTCCAACCGCGCGAGTGTTTCCTGGATACCCCACAATCACCTGTTGAGTGTGGGAAGGCTGGAGTGGCGGTATGTAGTAGGCTTTCACTTTCGAAAAGGGGGTCTCGAAAGAGAAAAGAACTGGTTCTCGACCATCGAGGTCAAGGTCCCAGTATTCTGGACGTGGCTTATATCCTCTCAAGTAGGATGGGGAGCCGAAGCAAGGTGGTAGTAGAACGGTAGCAACAAGACGGCCTAGCACGAATGATGCATTGGCTTGGAAATGTTGATATGAAACAGCCATGAGTAGCCCGGCTAAACAATAAACTAAAAGCGGTAAAAGAGGAGCTGCTTCCTTTACTGGTGTATGGAAAAGGCCCAGCATGTGTAAGTATTGTCAATATTTCGAATGTACTTGAGGTATTGAAGTTCCTAATATCCAGCGTAAGCGTGCCAAGCTCAAAAGCACAGAACATAGAGACCCCGAAGAAAATATTGGGCCATAGAAAATCCTTACTCTGTTTCACCTTTTGTGTAAACCTTGACAATGGAATACGCCCCGTGAATTGAAGTCTGCTTTGGAACTGAACTTTGTCCGTTTGGTCCGCCGATTGTTAGACTATGCCCTCTTGTTAATGCCAAAGAGGTCCATAGAAAAAGGTGGAATGAATAAGCTAGAAAAGCTGTAATATTCATTATTTTCGAAAGGGGTTCATTTGTCCATGCTAAAATTATGGTCAACCTAGAAATAGACTTAGCATGTCTTGAAGTAAATTCGGAGTAGACACCGGGAATACCAAAGATCTACATCTAGAATTGGATACTATTTTGATCATTACTCCATCCTTTTATTGGACGTATCCAAAGGCAGCCCAACTCGAAGTTGTTGGCCAGTGTGAGTATAGCTGACCCTACTATGCGCCACTTGATTGATTGCATGAGCTGACGTAAAATCGGTAGATGCATCTGCTTAAGCTACCCAATGAACTCCGTTTGATAGCAGAGAATCTTGATAAATCAAAAGATCGTCTTGCGCTGGTTTTCCTCAATAAATCAAAGAGAGAGCTTTTTCTCTATTATCTATACACATCCAACGTTCGACTGCAAAGCAGCTCTGCCTTATTTTGGGCTGCTCAGAGACGCAAATCAGAGCTTATAAAAATCTATTATTCAATTACTAAGCGAATGCTAATGCCACAGACAGTGACTCCCGTCCGCCTATGTTTCATGCCATCGAGGGTGGTTAAAGGTAATATTAGATCCTCTAGATATACAACGCGTGGATCCGAATATGACTGGTCTCTGGGGAAAGTTACCGATTACCTTGGCGGCGTCTCAAGGGAATCTACCTATGCTCGAACTATTTCTCGCGAGGCGAGATATATGCGTAAACGCGCTATTCGCCCCACCACTATTCTATGCGGCTGAAAGGGGTCATTTGGAAATCGTACGGCGGTTACTTTCCTGTGACAATCAACTAGATATTAGCTGCGATGTAAGAGGCAAGTCGGCCATCTCCATTGCCTCTCAAATGGGCCACCTGCATGTTGTGGCCCTACTACTTGAACATATACGTCAACCGCATTGCAACATGATAGCACATTCAGTGATAGAGCATCTTTTTTTGGCTGATTAATTAGGGGCGTACCGTGCTGGATGACGCCAGGGTTGAAATGTTTGCTAAGATCAGACCACGTGACTACACAAAACGGCAAGGGAAATACATGAAACTTGCTTGGCGTACCTCGCAGTAGCCTGGGAAAAGGTACCACATTCCCTTTCTCAAGCAAGCTTATAATAATGGAACCCAAGGAAATAAACTCAAAAGAGCTGCTTTTGATATGCTAAGCTCACCGCTAAAAAGATACATACACTGCAGTGATTTGTCTGGCGACAGTACGTTGTAACGCAGAGTATGTGGTCATGTGAATAATTATACTATTTCGATGTAGTTGCAAGCATACAGTCTTAAATGGCTAGATACTAGTGTCGCTCTCCAATCATCTTACAGGCTATTGCAGCGAGTATCACGTCGAATAAAAAATTCATGGTGGAAAAGGACATCCTCGTTCCGCAATGGGCTAATTATGGACGAGGTGTGTAAAAAGGTGTAAATATAGAAGCAACATGGCATTTCTATCCCGGCCTCTGGCAAAATTAGTCGAGGTAAATGGCTAGTCAGCTGCGCTGCTACTATAATTCGGCGTCAATATCATTTCCTTGTCGTGCATGACTGATGGCATGAGCTAATCAGTAAATAAGTTATCGATGTCTCTGGGAAAGCTTCCATTAGAGCTATTGTTTCGGATGTCACTCTATCTAGACCGCGTGGATGAGGTTAGACTGGCAAGTGTTAATAAAAAAGCAAGAGGAATCCTTTTACCTCCCATTTACATGTTCAATGTTCGTTACCAAGGGAGCAGTGGCCTGTTTCGGGCTATTAGCATGGGCGAATCGGACATTTTGGCAAGGATGTTATTCGATTTCAAAGCGGATGCTAACATCAAAGATGCTAAGTCCCGCACGCCCATCTTCCATGCCATTCAGGGGGTTATAAGGAAATGGTCTGCACGCTTCTTTCCTAGCTGTTGCGCGAGGCAATGAACGAATCGTGCGACTCCTGATAGACCACGGCGTCGATGTGAATGCCGTGGCTCCCAAACCAGGCACCGCCCTTCATATTGCAGCAAACCACGGTTTTAAGTCAATCGCAGAACTTCTCTTAGCCACCGATCAGAAAGTGAATATGGATGCGGTAGATGAGAATGGAGCAATAGCGCTAGCCGTAGCTGTGCGACGACAAAAGCGAGAAATCGTTTCCTTGATACTTGCCAAGGGCTCTGTTCCTATCAATAAAAAAGATAAATTCCGCAAAAGTGCGCTTGTTTATGCGGTTGAGGCAGAAAACCTACATTTAGTATCTGACCTTCTGGATATTGATGATGTAGACCCTAATGGTCTTGGTATCAGCCCGCCTATCAGCATTGCTGCCGCTAGAGGCAACCTACCCATGGTAGAACGGTTTCTCTCCCGGCCTGACATCGACGTAAGCCCAAAGTCGGGTGTCACTCCACTCTACTGTGCGGCTAAGGAGGGCCACCTACAAGTTGTTCGACGATTGCTTTCCCTTGGGGACAAAATCGATATACAACAGACTGTCGGAGACAGGACGGCTCTCTCTATCGCCTGCGATGGCTTCCATTTTGAAATTGCCAAGCTACTAATTCAACATCAAACACGAATCTGTCACAGTGCCGCATCGTACTGGAAGAGTAAAGTAGTAGATACTGCAGTCTCTGCGTTCAAGAACATTATGTTTGCCTATCTATATTTGCTTCAGAAGCGCGGGGCGTAAAGGTTGTGTTGTAGTGTAAGAAGCCAATGGATGGAAATCTCCGAAGAGCCTGGTATACTAGAATGGAATTAGTACAGTATGACAAATCTCAGTTCTACATTATCTTGCATGCATGGCTGAACGTGTCCGATATTCAAGAGAGTATAAAGACCTAAGACTGTTTGATATTACAAGTAATGACAAATCTACGTAAGTCTAGCTTTTGATGGATGCCTCTATATGGGAACCGTGCGCATAACTATGATATTCGCCTCTTTTTATATCAGAGTACTTACCGTGTGCTGTTTCTATAGCTTTTCCAACGTTTTAAACCTGATCTTTTATATTGAAATGGGCACGTTCTCCTCTTAAAGATCTCGGCGCTGCTGTGTTCTTATGACGGAACCATAAGCTCTGGACAAGAAGCCCTGCCTTGTCCAGAGGTCAACGGTATACTGCAATTGGGTGATCTAGCAAACCCTGCTTTATTACCTCAGTAAGCTGTGTAATATATGTTGTGGTAGCAGTTATAAGCATGAAAACACTCCAGAAGTAAGGAAGATTCGTATGCCCCGCAGAGCAGCACAAATAGTTCAACTCTGTATCTTAACAATACAGATGAATATACATATTTGCCTGGACGCTACAGGACATGGTTGCCAAATCATCAAACGGCTGGTTATATACCGACAGACATGGTATTCCGTTGGCACGACAAGAGATCGCAGGGCAAGTTGATATACTTGGCTCAACAATGGCGCTGATTCCACCGCCCCCGTTTCCGTTTATATAGTAGAAGTCATAGAAAATTGGTCCATGGATCAATTGCAAAAGCCCGCACTCTCGTCTGGATGTGGAGGGCAATAGCCATATTCAAATTGGATAATGCTGTGCTTCTCCACTCTGCCGAAAATTTTGCTTGAGACTCCTGTTCCATTGGTCGTTGGCCGATATTGCCCTGACCATTCTTGATTTGCTAAAATAGTAGCATCGGCAAAGGTTTCCTTCACTACAACTACTACGAATATGGAGGTTGAGCTGCAGTGATTATGAAAGTGGAAGTTCTCACGCTGAGAGCTTTCACCACAATACTTAATTAAAAATAGGCCTAAATATTAAGTTTGGCCTCGGAATAATAACCACAATGAAAGTTCCTTTCTTGAAATATTAAGCCCTAACCTAGTATTAAGTCCATAGGTAAGATAAGGTTTTTTGTATCAAGAAGGGAGAGCAAACAGGCGGCGTTGCAGGCGGTGGAAGCCTCAAATAATCGCATGGCTTTTCAGCTGCCAGCCAAGGATAGGGCAGTGGGGAACAGAAAAAGCAAAGGGAAAAATAAAGAAAGAAATTGAATATAGACAATGGGGAATGCTGGCCTGGTCGTTTTATTGGCTCCGAAAGCGGGGACTCCCTATAGGCGGTATAATGGTCACTACACACCCAAATTGAACCTACCAAAAATAGAAAATCGATTGAAATAGTCATTGACTAACGGCCCAATGTTTTGGAGAGAATTAAAGCCTGGGGATGATGGATACTCTATGAGAAGAAGGCAGACAAAATAGGTCGTAGCAAACAGCAAGCAAACGGAGGCCTTTAAGCCTAGACATGCATGTCTAATAAGTACATGATCTTCGAATATTAGCCAATGATAGGCGTGATACAAAATGACAAGTTCGAGTGAGAATGGCTGAGTGGGCTCAGTAATTGATCATGTGATAAAGAAACGATCCCCTTGAAGTCGGAATGAAATTCCTCGATACATGTCGCTGGAAAGCAAGATTTCACAATCTCCGTTACTCTGCCAAAACTGTGTCACTCTAATTTAAATACTAAATTTTAATATAAGTTTTCTCTTTAGTTTTCACAATAAATTAACCAGATCATGTTTAATATAATACGTACGAATTAAGGCCTTAAAGTTACAAAAAAGGAGGTAGATTTCAGGAAGAATTCGGATGAAATTAAATGTTGCACGAAGAGGTAAAAGGGGCAGTGAAACAGTTATATAGGGGAAATTAGCCTTATAATGCAGTTATGGCATAATACATGGTATTTGTATTTGCGTAAAGGGAGTAGTTTTATTGGGGTTGCCTCACAATGCCCGTAGCCTCACGTGATATCTACACCGACATTAGTGAGGGCCTCTTCCTCCTACAACTGCCTCACGAGAGTCAGTTGCTTGCCTCTGCGGGTAGCTCGTCATCTCTCACGCAGTCAAGTCTTGATTTTGTCCCTCCCGCCTTCCCTCTGTATATAGAATCCACTACAATACAGACATATTGCCTCCCTACAAGGGAGCGCGAACGGGCCCTATCTGACGCTACGGTCTACGACCGCAGCGACAGGTGACCCGTTATGGCCAAACTACACTCTTCTTGCTCCTCTTGACTGCGTGAGGTCACCAATAAAACACGTCTTGATAGTCGTATAGGAATATTGATACACTAGACGTATCCCAAACATAGACTAGTGTGTCTACGCTTAGGGGATGGCAAACCGCGTGCTCGTCCCTTCCGTATTCACTGTCATACTTGATAGAAGGAGTCCGTGAGTTGTACTCTTGATAGATACAAAATCCACCCCAAGACTCCAATTCTCCGCTCTAATTTTAACATCTTCAAGAATCTGCTCCGGAAGATCCTTTTCAACATTGCTGCTGTTCAGGCCTTCCGATCAATATGTCAATTGAAGATACGTTGACCTCGAATGGCTCACACAAAAACATCGGATGCAGTGGCGAGCGGACAGATTCTTTCACCTCGTTCCAGACTCTGAGCTCCTCTGAAAGCTCATCTCGAACTTTTGCCAACGAACGTCTTGAATATCTGAAATCCCTCGCCGGATTATTGTCACGAGGATTATACCTCTTTCCTTCAGACAGCTTATGCACTCGCCTGGCGTTCTCCGAGTGGCTACTTAGCTGGAGGGCTTGAACCAGTACAGGCAATTGGCGAGCCGCCCGCTCGAGCTTGTCCATAGCCATAATCCATTTGGAGAGTTCTAGATTATAATCAAGGGCTTTGAGAACTTTGCCTTTTACTGAATTGGCCTGGGTGGCTTTGATCTGAAATAGTGTAGTCCAGACCGAACCGCCTCCCAATATTAAGATATGATTCTCTGGTAACATCGCTATGTGATTTTGTCCTATTAATAGAAGCTCGGTGATATCCGTTTGCCTTGCGGTCTTTATGCACGTACCAACACAGGTAAGCATGAAACTTCCATGGACTGCCTCCATAAACGTTAACTGAAGACAATCGTTTTGATCTTCGCAACACCTCAGTCTGACTCGTTCCATCAAACGAGCCCAGAAATGCGTCAGGTAACTATTCCAATAATTTTGGATTGCAAGACATTCCACAATGTGAAAATACGCTCTCCTTCTCACTTCGATCGTTGTTTTCCGGATAGACCGTTTCCCTAGAAACCATCGATCCCAAGTTAACTATAATAATTGGCAAGGATCAGTGTTTTTACGCGGATGCTGGTCATTGGGACATACCTCAGCTACTCCCCTAGCTATGGTCCTATGAGCACGCTTCGCAAGTTGAGTAGACATTTATTTTCCAGCTTTCATCTGAAAAATTGAGATCTGATCACGCACGAATCCTTCGATGCGTTAGGTGTTAGTTTATGGCATCCAGTCTAGTGGCCTAATTTAGATTCATCTGTGTCGGTTTAAGTAAAAATGACTTTTAGATTTGGTAGATACAGCGACTTGAATTACTGTAATCTTACATTCACATCATTGGTTCTCCAGGTAGCCTACATTCTCCCGATCATATGAATGCTTGACAGATTAGCCCCGTGGTGTTTCGAGGATACCGCGGTTTTTTTTAGCTCATCTCTCAATGTCTTTGGGCCAGGGCTTTCTGCGCTGTTAAAGCCAGAGATGATGGAGGTCTGGCCTGATCTCATTTATAGGGGTAATGACGAGCAAATCGAGACTGTCTTAGTAGGTACATCACGGCGGGCTTGGGATCAATTAGATCTAGGGCATTTAACGTATTTCTCTGAGACAGTGCTATCACGTGTACAGCCTATTATTAAGATTCAGGTGCGGTAAAACAGTACGAGAGAATTAGGCATATCAACGGCCTATTTTGAACTCACTACAGCCTAAGCTAAGGCGTAGATCTTCTATAAACCAACAAAGATCCTAAAATACCGATGCAGAAGCCAATCTTAAAAAAAGGGTGAAATTCTCGGGTTTTGACGCACTTATAGGAGCACATGTTCTAATACCCTCATTTTCATAGCCTCGGAACTCTTCATCCTCGGCGTTTGATAGCGACTATAACAGTATTGACCAAAGAGTACTAGCTTGCTACACCACTGTGACCACTCGGTGTTGGATGAATACAAGCCATAGTCAATATAGCTAAGAAATTCAATCTCCACGCTATGAATCCACTCTGTGGGGAACCTGGACACTTCTGCCCATGTCCTGTTGCTGTGAGGAATGTCATCTATGACTATGGTGAGTCAGCATTATTAATAGCAACGGCCGACCCATGCGGACAGGCTGACAGTAATCCGTCCACTTGGCTACCGTAAAACTCACATTTATTGCCGAGCATCAAAGCAACGGTCAGAATCATGACTTCAGTTCCCGCCCTACCACCCATCCCTGGATGGGATGTCCTGAGCTTGTGGATAAACTGTAAGGCTAGAAAAATGACGTTTATGCTAACTCGTGTAGCTGACAAAGCGCTGATCACCCATTTCAGAAACTGACCATCAAGGGTCGCCTTCTCATCGATCTGAAGTGGGGTCTCCTTATCATCTCTCTGGAGCCTAGCCTCAATGGCTTGCAAAGTTGAGGTCTTTTCAAACCAGAGTAGGTGGGCCACCTGCTTTATTAGTTCAACCTATTGACCAACGTACAGTCGGAATGCTTACTTGAGCTACAAACTCGGGGAGTGGTATTGCCAGTCTTCTGCGTTTGGCCGCTGAAGGGGAGTTCTGCAATCGCAGTCCGTTGTCATTTCGCTCCATTTTAGATCGTTTGTGACTTTGTGATTCGTTGGCGATGGCCACTGATGTCGACTCAGACTCATGGCACCCTCGATTTTGGCGGTACGAATGGATCTCGTTTGATTTTAGGCCCATGATCGTAGTAGACTTTATAGCCATAGGACTACGGCTTGTGAATCTTGGTCTAGTTTAAGCACTTTGTAATTTGGAGCCCTGTCTTAGGTCAGAGGCGCTGACAAGACCGAGGAGAAGCCGTAATTGATGGGAAATACTGGAGCGAAAGGGAGAGGGCAAAGGGTGGTGTTTTATAGCATTCCTTTTCGATGTGCATCAAAGCCAATACTAAATTCATTTTCACATTGTGAGACACTAAATGCCCCTCTCTAGGCCACTGTTGAAGGAGTAGAAAGAAATAGAAAATACTCAACCTATGGTGAATTTCCTTCACTAGCTTCTAGGTTTACCGAAGGGTAATTGGCCCAAGGGAGTTCCTCCCAAATGCATTACAGCCTATCAAGTTGGTCAGATGGCCCCCTTGAGAATTATCTTCATAGGTTTGTAAGAGGCCTACAGGTCGTAGATTACCAACTAACCTGAGCGGAATTATCAGTGGGCAATTACTTCTTATATATATTGCGTAGGCTGAGGATTGGGAAGACATATGAGGAGGTAGTTGAATATCCTATGCGATCCGCTGGTAAACTCAAGTTGTCCCTCGTTTCCATATTTGCTCTATATTCCCTCGACTGAAAATCCTGCGGCTAGGATGGGCTCCTAATAGATGATGTAACTACATCGCATTTCGTACTCGCCTAAGCTTGCTTGAATGGAGAGACTATCTTCCGCAGTTAGAAAAGTGGGGATGAGATCAACATGCCAATGGGCGTATAAAAGCGCTGGAGGTGGACCTGTCGTAGTTACATGCTAAACATACCCTTTCTGTCATTTAAATTCCTACTAACTTCATTGGGAAACCCATGTTATGTACCTCATATGTATCTAAAAATAACCATTTGGGGCGAGGGATTTGTATCTCTCAACAGAGATCACCAATCACCCACGGCTCCAGATGGGACCTGTGGCGTGCTACTGGCAGTACTGCCTTAGGCCCATTTATTTCAGGATTCTCATTACCGATGTGGAGGGTTTAAAGAATTGACTAGAGGAAATAAATAGTGGGGGTAGACTGATCGCAAGACAGTAACGAGGTACACAACAAAGTTCGTCTATATGTTTATTCTCCCTGCTATTCGCACTTGGTAGGGCACTCCAGAAGTAGCTACAGCAATTTCACAGACTAGTCTGAGTTAGATAACGTTATCATCGGATTGCCTCTGGGACTGTCATTTGCGGTTCAATTTATACGTGATAACCAAGTCTTTGGTCAAATTGGTACGCCTGGCGATATCGATAGAAGTGGTTTCACGTGCATCGATGGGAAGTGGCGCATCACTCTCGTTGACATGATCAGCAGTTTCCGTAGATGTCGAGAGCTGATCCCCCCGCTTGGCAATGTCCACATTCAATGCATTCGGATCTTCCAAGTTGATCGACGCCAAAGGAAAGGCCGAGGCAGCCATGGCCAGGCTGATAAAGACTGCGCGGAGTTGCATTCTGGACTTGAGAAAGGGAGATCAATAAGCACGGATTGGCGCAAAGTCTCGAGGGAGAAGCACGCACTATACGAATTGAGGTAAAAGGGAAGTGAAGGGATGCTTGAGTAATGGAAGACTGTGACCGAGTGATGGAAAAGGAGGGCTACGGATGGGAAACCTCGTGGTTATATGCGCTTTCTCAAGGTAGACCACGAAAAATTGAAATGACATATTCAGCCGTATTTTCTTTCGAGTAGTACATTCCATGACATCATTATGGGTCGGTAAACTGATTGTACAGTCCTCTGCTGGGCAGTCCATAGTGGTTTTGAGACAAGGAGCCATTTCTCTTTGTCCTTTTCAGGCTTGCGGAATCGTCGGGCTGAATCTCTGCCTATCATCCCGTCATGGGGCCATAAAAGTACTCGCTCAAAGGGGCAGTTGGGATCATAAAATATTTCCCTTTAATTTCAAGCCCGTAGTAGTGTGGACCGTTCATCAAATCCATGACTCTACATCCCTTTTTGTCAAGTATCGACTACAGCAAGTTAAAACTCGACTACATTACTTGCGTTCACTATCACGCCCTCTGAACTTGACTATGAATCCTCCACAGGTCTTCCAGCCCTTCTTAGGGGGGATGCTTTCCAACCAGGGCGACCCTGCATATAGCGGCCTAGAACGGGAATCAGATGAAGAGTCAGAGGAAGACTATGAGAACAACACGTCCTCATCAAAGCTGCTTATTCAAGCGTTGTCTCTGAATGTTTGGCTCCTCGCAACGATCGTATTCTTGATTTTATTCTTTGGCAAATTCGGGCAGTTGCGATGTGATACTGGCATCAACATATGGAACATGCCCGATTCAGGTACGTGCTTATAGATTCTACGCTGCCGAGGGCGAGTATCATGCAGAAAAGACCTGACAGCTCGAGTTTGTGATAGATATGGCAGCACCATTGTTGAAATTCGAGAAAAGACGATTCACTCATGCGGTCAGAGACGATTCTGATGGCACACTTTACGCCTCTATCAATCCAAAGGAGCTGCAGTATGCCGGCCGTCCCAGCCACAAGATTGATGAAAACTGGAATGAGCTCATTGTCGGTAGGCACTTCCTCTGTCATTGATTCGAGTGCATCGCTGATTTGTCTCTAGGTCGGTATTTTCGATTAGAAGACTCTGAAGTATCACGGCTCAACCGAGATCCCGAGCTTCCAGCACTGACGGAAATGCCTGTTAGTGAGCGGATATCTCAAGAGGGATTCTACGGAGGCCCCGACGTACTTCATAGTCTACACTGCTTGAACGCTATCCGGAAGCATTTAGACCCGGAATACTACGGCAACTCTATGACTCTCCCGCCAGAACTTCGTCGGATGCACATTGACCATTGTATTGATCATCTTCGACAATCAGTACTTTGCCATGGCGATCTCACACCGGTCACTATGAAGCCCGTCACCGCGAATACTTCCTTGCCGTACCCGGTCACATTTTATCTTGGGCAGACTGAGCGTGAACATACCTGCCGAAGTACGGAAGCCATACGGAACTGGGTCACTGCCCGTGGGCAACGTACGGGACGTATTGAGCCTCACCACGATATCGGACCATGATAGAAGAACTGGAAGAATCCTGCTGCTACGTCTGTCTCTCTCTCGCGTCTCACTACCCCACTCTCTGCCTTCCCCACCGACTTCCGGTCTTCCTCGCTCGATGGTCTTCTTTGACCCGGTCTAGGGCGTCCCGGTGCTGTCCCATCTGTCTGCTTGTCTTTGTCCCCGTTTCGACCCCCCCCCCGGTCGTCCTCACCCAGCAATTTCTCCCTCTTAATTCAGCACGATCCACAGCCGTGTCTCTCTACTAAGGATGTTCATTTGGAATCTTTGATGATTTTGATACTGTTCAGAATAAGAACTGGTCTGGAGCGCACCGAGGTGCTTCGATCCGTGTTCTGCTTTGTAGGGAAAAGTATGTTATTTGGATATACACTATTGTGACGCCAGAGAAAACTTTAGTAATATAGACAAACAGTACCTATGTTTCGATCTATTAACTTGGAGACACAAAAGTAAAATGTACAGATATATTATAGACTTCTATGATCGTGGACGGCGAGAAGATTTGCTTCACTACGACGAGGATTCCTTTGACTACACCATTTCCAAAAAGGTGCAAAGCTAAATTTTACTAAACGACTGCCACAATAACTATCACTGCTGCCTTTCCCCTGCCGAAAGAATCATGTTATCTCAGCCATGGCACCTCGCATACCTTCTTGCACTCTGTCCTCACCACAAGGTGATGTCCAATGGGTCAAATGCCAGGCTCCCAAAGCAGTACTTTGGACCAAAATACGCACTGTGAACCACACAAGCAGGGTCACCGACTCTGCGCACTTTTGCATCTCCCGCGTTCCACCGCTGAATCCTAAATCCGCTACTTTCAAGCGCCTTCCGTCCAGCGCGACTAAATGCATTGAAGCTCCATCCTGGCAATGTGTTCGTAAACGCACACTTACTTACACGCCCAAACAGGTCTTCTGGACATAAGCAAAAAATATGGTCATTTCTCCAGAAATTCATGAGCGCCGAAGCACCGATGAAATGGACATATAGTTGCTCGACCTTCCCCGTGTATGTCACCACAACTTGCACATAGCGTGACTTAGCTATATCTGCCGATTTGCTAAACCGATAGACCTGCACATTGTTACTAGGAACTCTGGAAAGCCTCGGATCGTACCTTGCAGCAGTGGAAATCCCACATGAGTGGCTCAAGCACAAACTCATACAGCTCTTGCGTCCGCAGGTACTCTAAAAGTCGGCACGCATCGACGTTCCTGACGCATATTTCGACGTTTCGTACAACCTCCGCGACATCCGGCAGTAAGAACTTATGAACCGGGGCTCCAGACAATATTGCGCTGCTCGATCGAAGGATATCGAGTAGAACGTCGACCTGATCAAACCACTGCTTCAGGTCTTTCCCAAAGACACGCAAGCGATAATCTTTTTCCATCTGGGAAACAATGTGAGCTCGTTTCGAGCAGCACCCGAGGGATTGAACATCCCTGATTGACAACTGGAATGATAAACTTGCCCAGATTGGCCATCTAAAGATAAGCTGTTCAAAACTGACTGCCTGACGCTGCGATGGTAGCATTTCCGGTAACTTATAACACGGACTAAGAAACAAAACGTGCGTTTCAAGGAAAGCTAGTTGCGAATTTCCTCCACTGCTGTCTCGCTGCAACGGCATATAGTGTAACTAGATAACAGCCCCACGTGGAATTCGGCGGATGCGTCTGTTCAGGGGGCTTTTGCCTTTCTTTCCCCATCACCTTCTTATTTTCGTTATTTAATTTCCTTTACTCTTTGTCTGTCTCTGAAAAGCCGGAACCCAAATCCGTTAGTATTTAATTTGCCTCTTTTGGATTTTTCTTATTTTTTTCTCCCATTTTCCTTTCTTTGTTTTCCTATAATTTTATGATTTTATAATTTCACTTTTTTTCCTAACCCGAATTTTGAATCTTTACCCCTCGCCTTGCTATGTAGAGTTTGTATACAAAAGGGCAGTGGACTCGCTTCTGTCGAGATGCACCCCCAGGTCTCCGGAACGACAGATGTGAGGCATGTCCTTAGTAACAGCGAAAATGTCCCTTATGGATCGCCAGCATCTCTTGTCCGTGATTTGTTCGCCGAAGGACTATCTTCACTGTGAGATATAAAATCCGTGCATGACACCTTGACACTTCCTGATGTTATCAAGTTACGACGCGGACTCACAGAAACGAGTCGGATGCTCTGATCCTCACCCTCTATGCGGTATTTGCGGTCTATCACTGCCTCAATAGAGGGAAGGTTTATCGACGGCCTCACAAAGGTATAATTAAAGCAAATCTCAGGATGACGTGAGCTAACGTACCCCAGCCCTAAAACCACACATAGTTTCCGGTACTCTTGAGCTTATCATGTACTACAGTGACTTGCAATGTTCCTTAGCAGCAGTCGTCGCATGTCTTGTACATTCTGTCACATCCCTCATATTGGTGGACAAGCTGCCGAATGGGCACCCTCGGTATACACGTGAGACCCCACGATGAGTAAAGCTCTTCCTAGGAACGACATTAATCACACAGCAATAGGCCCCTCCTATCAAGCTGGCTCGTACATGCGGATCGCACTCATATTTCGAGCCTACATCAGAAAAGGTCCGATGGATTACCATGATGCTATGATGCCGCTGCACGGTTTCATCTATACCCGAGTCATCCTGTTTGTCATCGGCATAATGGGACCATCTGATTTTCTGAAGGATAATATCAATGACCCCATGGCCTACACTTTAGCGGTGTTCGGTGCTGCAACCATCTCCGTCAGTCACATGAGCAGTCCTTGGGCGGTTACCTGGTACCTAGGAACATTCACCCTAATCGGGATCAAGAACCGTTGGAGCTCAGAACCGTATGTCTAGGCCTACGTCTTCCATTCATTGCTAACAGCAGGCGGTAGATTCATCGAAAAACAGCTTATAAAGTCTGCGCCAACTCAACTTCAAGCTAGCCGGATGAAGGAGAAAGCTTCTGAAATCGGAAATCTGCCTGCAGACCGGCTCGGACACCTCGTGATGAAGGTTCTAGCCTGCCTTGGCGTACTTTACCTCAGGCTGATGAGATATAACTCAAATTGGTATCCAGGGGCGGTATCAATGTCGCTCACTCATAACTCACTGGCTTCAAGTTTGGTACCGTCACTTGTATCGCGTGGGGTGCTATATAATACACAAAGCGTGAAGATATAGTGGGCATGATTCATCGACATGATACATGTTATTCACCCTGTACTTAGGTCAGCACAAAGCTATGATGGTCTTCTATCTCTCAATCAGTGACTCGTCGCCGGCGTTTTAGGAATCTCTTACGCCGGATACCTCGAGTGTTTATAACTATAAATTCCAACTCTCACGCCTACTTCACTTTCAATGTTGATTAGTAAAATCCAGCTTAATCAGTAGTAGCATATTTCCACTCGAGGTCAACGTGCATCGGGCTCAATATAATGGGAGAAAATCAATTGTACGAAATTATTTCCTACAAGAGGGCAATATTAGAAATACGAATCATGATGTGAGGTAGAGCCACTCCACCCTTGAGAGATCCCCCGTCTGTCTATGCGTGTATATCCCTGTAGGCTCATATCCTTTGGTGATGCCCGTGCAATTGCAACCAACGGATGCTTTAAGCACCGAAGTCCCATAACAGAATATATACAAAACTGGCAAAACCGACTTTACGACTCCCACTGAGATCCGACGTTTGAATCTTATTGAAAGACCCACTATGTCAAAGAAAGTAAGGAAAACGATATTTTATTATCTTCTTTTTTGGAACTCTATTAACTATACCCTACAATATGAATGTGGAAGATTCTGTGACCAAACTTGGAAGCGGCTCTGTACTGAAACCGACCACAGTAAAACAATTCTTTCCAAGTCGGGCGACAATATATAAGGAGTCAATCTCCACCATAGAATCACGTCCCCCATTTTGATCTGATCCCCACGGTAAACTTTTCTCTATGCTGTCGCTTGAATGCTTTCGTTTTTGCCATCGGCATGGGCAAGTGCCGCGAATTGCTAGTACGATTTTGCCCCCGACTCTCAAGCATTGACGAACAAGTCTCAGGACTTTGATAATGAAGGCGTCCTCCATATATCGTCTCTCAAGCAGAGCGATTGCCTTCGGAATGACGACGGCCAACTTCTATTATGTTCCAGACCATTCCTGCTGGTCTTCCTACCTTGATTGAGCCAATCGTTAACTTCTTGACATATAAAGCGGAGGAGCAGCCTGTACACATTGCTTCGTACAAGCTGGCGCAACTGAGTAAATTGATGGGGTGATATATACGGGGCCTTCGCGGCCCTTGAACTACCTTAAATGCTCGTGCCTCAATAAATCTGGGAGCACGAAGGCAGCCTCGATTGGATTGGGTGATTAGAAACCTAAATCACGTATATTTTCGGTTATTGTTCTGACCGTCACCTAGTCTCGGTACTTACAACCATATCTTCCTACAGTCTAGCTTGTGGTCGCACCACGGCGACTGTTTCGATATCGACCCCCGCCCCAGCGAGGTCTTCGGCAACTCCTACATCGGCAAGACGTGCCTAGTTCCTTTATTATACCAAGGTAGCCCCATGAAAATGGGCTGTGCAATGGCCTATATACAAGGAGCGTAATACGCAAATTTCCTCTGGCTCGGTCAGTCTAAGGGTCAGTTATAACAAAAGGACGAGGTGATAGGCTATATAACTAATGTCATGAGCCGGTTCTCTACGTGAATGCCGTGGGTACTGCTAGTCGTAGGTCCTTTGACGTCTCTCGCGGTTTGGCTTTCGTTTCCTAGGCTTGTCTACATAACGTGATCCTTGCAATTCTGATAAGGTGTACGTGTATCTAAGTGGATTACAATGCTCTAAACGGTATGTCAGGCGAGTGTGGGCAACTACATACACATTGGAAACTGCATAACTAAGATAGATACCACTAGGTTATAAATAGAACGCTTGACTGACATCTTGCATTGCACCTTGTCGAGAAAGTAGATACCTATATATTCTTTTTCTAAGTCTCCAGCCTATATGATTTTAAATGATTCAAGTTCCAGCTGCTTATCTAGTATAGGCAACCGCAATAGATAAAGCCTTGTTACGCTTAACGACCCGATCTAAGTTGATTATGTCTTTCTCCTTACATATTTGGTCCAGTTCTTTCTGCTGAAGTAGATGACTCCCAAGCCGATCCTAGATGATCCAGATCGATATAGAGGTAGACATAAAGAGACAGAAATCGGAAAGGAAGGAAGGAAGGGAAAGGCCCAGATCAGAGCTGATCTGTGTTCAGGACGACGGTTGGGTATCACAGTTTACCGAAACCGAGTCGGGGACAGGCACAGTCATACGTGTATGTGTGTACAAGGGCAGGTATTGTGACTCGGATCGAGATACCGTTTTGCCGAAAGACGGGAGTGCGGAGGGATGGCGCTTAGTAGGCGATCTTCTCCTCATGGATGGGGGGCTGGCCCTTGTCCATGTTCCAGCTGATCTTGCAGTTCTCGTCGAGCCAGGAGTCCTCGTCCGTGATGGGGATGACGCGCATTGTGTGGGCGACTTCCTGGCTGCTGACGCCGAGGGCGTCACGAGGAATCCAGAGGAGAGGAGGCTGGGCGGTGATGGAGGGGTGTCTGTAGGCATCACGCTCGGCCTCGGCTGAGTACGTGGGCATGATCTCCGTGGTGGGGACCAGCTTGCGCATTTCGTGGTAGCTGTTGTACCGGTCTGGGCGGAGGAACTTGGTGAAGATGTTGGCCTTGGGCGTGGTGGATGGGGCCGCCTCTTCTTCGACCTCGAGGTTCTTTGGCAGGTAGTTGAGAAGAGGCTCCATGGCGCCGTTCATCGAGATGTGGTACAGGATGACGAAGACAAGGAAGATGATCTCCAGGATCAGAGGAGCAATAGCAATCTGGTTGAAACCGGAAACCATGGCAAACAGACCGATCAGGCAGATCATCAGCAGGTAACAGCCAACGGTGAGATGCTGCAGACCACGGATGTAACATCTGCCCTGGGTGTCGATGTTTGCGTTCGACACGTACAGGAGGTTGTACCGGTAGGCGAAGTAGAAGAGGTATAGACCGATAGTACCGAAGCCCATGACCAATGGGGCAATGCAAGAGTAGGTAATGCCTATGAGCAAGTCAGAATTGCATCAAAACAAATTGTACAAGGGCAAACTTACCAACAACCGCCAACAGGGTGACCCCAGGGTAGACGGTACCCCATCCAATGCCAGCCAAATTCGACCAACGAGTGTACATCTTACGGGGAGTGCTGTCCAGGAACTTGCCTAGAATCTTCCCGAGGACCAGAGGAACAATTTGGAGCAAAGCACTGGAACTGAACGACAATCCTTGGAGGATAATGTAGGAAACGTAGAAGTTGGCAGAGAGAGGAATCTTACTGGCCAGCAGCGAGACAGCCGAGGACGGGTTGTTGATGATGGAAGTCACAACACTAGTGGCTGCGGAGGCGAGCGTAATGACCAGGAAGACCTGCACAACCTGGAAAGCGAAGAACCAGTTCTGAACGGTCAATTCGACGGAGGCAGCACTGGGATCACCACCCCACTTGGCCATCCGGCGAAAAATGATAGGAACCAGAGAAATGAGAATAGACATCAGGACAACGGGCAAAAGCCCAGTAATAACACCCTTGATCCATGAGGGGACACTGTTAATGAAGCTCAAGAAATGAACCTTCTCAATCAAAGCGTTAATGTTGGAGATGGCACCAACAGCAGCAGTTGGGATGGCCCAGAAAATGATCAAAACACAGACAAAAGCAATGGTAGCGGCATGACGACCGAGACGCTCCCACCACTTGATGCGGAGGTTAGCCCAGATAACCTGAGTAGGGTCCAAGCCAATATAGCGAGGGCTCATGTGCAGAGGGAGATTGTGAGCGACAGACTGGTAAGAAGCCTGGGCATCGGCCTGGTGGTAGAATTCAACAAAGATCGAAGAGACCAACCTAACGTCGCCAGCACGGTGCTTAGCCTGCAGTTCCTCGATTTCAGGGGTGAGACGCTGAATTTCGGCACGAGCCCAGTTGATAGTATCGACCTTCTTGCCGATCAGCCCCACGAGGCGGTGAGCGGGACGGTCCTTGGCCTGGACCCAGCGAGCAGCGACAGAGCCAGTCTCATCATCGAACTGGCTATCACCAATCTTCATATCGGGGAGTTCAGCCGAGCCCTGCTTCTTGAGGACCTTGTTGCGGGCCTTGTTAGCCGTAACAATGAGCTTGGTCTCGGCACCCTCGAGCTTCATCGCGGCGCTATCACGCTCCTTGACCTTCTCCTCGAGCTCCTTGGTATCCGCAGCGACCCAGACATTCTTTACCTTATCGCTGCCGAACATGGTGCGGACCCTCTCCTTGCTCAGAAGATCAGGAGTCACCGCAGTGAACAAAACAGTGCGGGACGAAATGCGATTGGCATAGGCAGGAGACAACAGGTAAGCTTGGCGCAAGTTGACATAGAAGATGTGCTCGCGGGTAACCATGAAAAAGATGAACGCAACGAAGATGCAGGAGATAAAGCAGTGCGCAAAGTAGTGCGCATACGAATTCTCGCCAATGTTGGAAATAGACAGCAGGTTCAACTGGGTCTGACCACCACCACCGGTAGCATTGACGGGCCACAGCACAGGGAAAGTCATGCAGCAGCCAACAAACAGCAGGACAGAGCACATCTTTAGGAATCGGAGCAGCAGATAGGCATCCATCGAATGGTGCTGCAGAACGTATGTATCGGGAAGCTTGTACATAGCCTTGATCCAGTCCACCAAGCCGGTCGGGGTATCAGGGGTGCGCTCCCAGCCTCGCAGGTATCCAATGTAGGTTCGGGGCATGTACATCCTGCGATGGGTCCTTCGCAGGATGATGAATAGAATTACCATCACGGCGAAAGCAACTAAGGAAGGAACGAGAGTTGTCACCAATCCTGACGCCGAGGGCGACACAGTCGACGGGTCTTCCTAGTTACCAGTCAGTAAAGCATCAGCTTTGGCGACCAGACACACTTGCCACGCGAACCGTCAACCGGTGAAGACCGACGTCGGCCATTGTGAAGAATCAGATGTTACAGTAGACGGTGTGGATTGTATATTCGAGAAGTCAATTCCGTGTATGTCGAATGGTTTGAGTTTTGAGTCTCCCCATGAGTATGGAGAAGGGAAAGAAAAAGACGAAGCGTAAGGTTGCCAGAGAGGTATGTTTTACAATAGATCTGAACCTACGTAATTGGAGCACCTCTCTAAGGAGATGTGCCCCATTAGGAGGTTCCTGGGTACGGGTATGGGAGGTAGGGTCATCGACTTCAGCGTATACAATATGTGACGGTATTGTAGAAGTGAGCGCTGGTCTTTGTTTAAACAAGCAGGAACTTCTAACGTTAACGTACATGATGGACCGAATATTACTTTATCAGATGAATAGAAAAGAACTTTTCAATTTAATCAAATTAAAGAATTGGAGCGATAATTCTCCATATATCTCAACGGTTTCTTGGATAGCCCAAATAAAGACTTGCTTAAAAACCACATCCATGGACTGATTTGATATAGTATCTTCCTTGCTCAGGGCGTTTGCTGGTGTGGGCTACGGACTATTCTCACCATAGTTCTTCTGACCTATGTCCTTCCCACCACACTTTCTCTGCAGCCCATCCAAAAGAACGGCCAACAGGGAATGCAACTTCGAGCCTGGACCACCGGCCGATACCCATTATTGTCAGTCCAAGGAGGGTATCCGATGTCCTCCATTGACCAATGCTTCATCCCAAGGCCCGAGAACGTCCTCCGACCAAATACAATACACTGTGACGCCAGGATTTATCAACTTAAACCCTCTCCAGTTCTGGCTCGTGTACAATATTTTCGTGTTTCCCGAGCCACGGCCAAATACCCAACGAGACTGGGCCGTAAAAATCCCAGGATAGTGCTATGACCCGTGTAACAATGCGATGGAGGCGGCTGTGTCAAGCACCAAGACCCAGGAGCTATGCTCTCCGACTTCTCCATTCCTCGTGTCACACTGCGCTTGCGAATCCTGTGTAGAGTTGGACTCGGGAGTGCGCACTTTGAGTTCCGCTCTTCCGGAATTCAACAATTTCTTTTATTGTGAAAGATCAACCAATGTTACGTCGACACTCCAACTGCACTCGGCTACATATGGCCATAGGAGGAGCTTTTCGTCTGTGTCTCCCGCCTTTTTAATTTGACTTTGTTTTACTATTCAAAGTTCGAGAGAATTTTGATACCATTCTCTTACTTAGGAACCAAAGTCCGCCCACTCACGCCTCGTACGTCGTTTCAATGAGAGTGAATTAATAAATCTCTTTACGCCTTTCACAAGTTGTCTTCTATACTATAACTTCTCAATGTAAGAGCCATTATGCAGTTCATGCGATCAAACAATATGTCGACAGGACGAGTTGTCCATGTTGAGGCAGGATTCTATCAGAGACTCAGAGTAGTAGGTTCTGCAGCAGTGCGTCAGACACACTGTGTCTTACTAAAGTGGCCCATATAAATTAGTGGAGACTTTCACGACTCTAGGCCCTATTTCGGGTTTTATTGTATTTTCAATAATTTTATTGCCGTTTCCAATATTTCTACCTGTATTTTCTATTTCCAATTTTTCTTTTCTTTTTTTTTTCTTTTTGTATTTCATTTTTCTATTTCTTTTTCATTGTTATTCTTCATTTTCCTGTTTCATATATTTTTTACCTTTTATTTTCTTCTCTCTTTTTCTACTACTGTATTTCTATTATTTCTTTTTCTTTGGCTTGTTATATATTTGGTTTTTTTTTTTTTTTTTTTTTTTGATTTTATAAGCTTCCACGGTTAGAGAAACAAAGGCTTGTTGTTACCATATAAAGACACAACCGTTGCCTATTATTGATTTTACATCAATCTCCGCAGCGCATCACATTGTAGTTCTATATCAATTGAACATGTCAAAGCTTTTGACTGTTATCGGTGCCACTGGAACCCAGGGTGGCTCTGTTGTTTCTGCGGCTTTAACATCCGGAAACTACAAGATCCGTGGTGTGACTCGTGATATCAACAGCGATGCATCAAATGCATTAATATCGAAGGGTGTCGAGATGGTTGCAGCGGATTGGAATGACGAACAAAGTCTTGTCGAAGCCTTCGAATTAAGTCACCTGGTGCACTCTTTACATCAAACGGACTGGCTAATTTTCAACAACAGGGATCATACGCGATCTATGCCGTAACTGATTTCTGGGCTAGCTTTGCGATACAAGACATCAAAAATCCTATCGAACTAGAAGCTAAGCAGGGAATAAATATGGCTGAGGCCGCTGCTAAGACTGCATCCCTCAACCACTTTATCTGGAGTACCATTCCAGACAATGTTCGGATTTCAGGAGGAAAGCACTCTGTGGCACACTTTGAGGGCAAGCTCAAGGTTGACCAATACATCAGAGATAAAGATTTGCTGAGCAAAACAACATTCCTGTGGGTCGGTTATTACGCCACAAACATCGTTTTGCCTATGATTACTCCCAATCTCCTTGTCAGTATTACTCTTCCCCAATTGGCACATCTTTCATAGATATTGAGTTGCGCAACTACACTTCAGAAAACATCTGGAAAATATCTCCAGCTTCTACCAGTCCCGGAGGATTGCCCCATCACCACCGTGGGTGATCCTAGAATCAACCCTGGTATCTACGCACTGGCTATCTTGAGCCAGCCCGAGCTCACACTACCTGGCAAAATTGTTCTGGCAGAGACTGAGACTAGAACAGTCCGAGATATACTGAACATTTGGGCAGAGGTTTCAGAAAAACCTGCCGCGTACGCAGAAATATCGATTGAGCACTACGATAACCTGTGGCCAAAATGGGGTCGTGAAATTGGGAAGATGCTCCAGTTCTGGAATGAAGCGCGCGAGAAGAGCTGGACCTCAGATCATCCTGTGTTGACCAAACATGACCTACGAGTGTCTGGCTTGGTCGGTATGAAGGAAGTCTTTGCTGGGTTTGATTGGTCTTCCTAAGCCTTAAGCCTGCTTTGGCCCGAGGAGTGGTATGGGCCAATGTAATGTATAAGCAGGTCTTCCGCGTGGCGGTACCTCTTGTATAGTTTGTTACAGTGGAATTGAAAAGTGTAAAACGAGTGACTAAATTGAGCTTTTCAGTGCGAGTATATAGCAAGTTCCCGAGGAGGACGATATTAAATCCACGACACCTCCTCAATCGCACGAATACCTGCTGTGTTCAAGCTTACCAGGCTCTGTGAGCTACACAAACTGCCGTAACGCAATGTGCCACAAGGCGGCTTCCTCTCCGTCTCAAAGCCGAAAAATAAAGAACGAGACAAAAGGAGCGAGAAAAGAAAGCGCAAAGCATGAGGCCAAAGTGGCAATGTCACTCCCTCCAATCGTGCGGTGCAGCGTATTTTGAGAAAGTTGTATCCATGCGCAACGGGAGCGTCTACGCATAGAAGTGCCAAGAACTACCCTATGGGTTGTACATGGTTCCTGAAAAACTGGATGTCCGTACCAACAAGATTGTCACCGACATCTCCTGCAATGAACATGGGTCCGGCAGCAACAAGAAGGCGATCATTCAGTGTGTGGATGGCGAGAACTTCATGGCAGATCACGTTGTGTTTCCAGCTCCGCTGAAAAAGCAAAGCATCAACTTCCGGCCTCCTCTCCCAGACTGGAAACGTGGCCAGGGGTGGCATCGAGAAGTTCCCAAAGGCGTGCTTCATTTTCTGAAAAGGTTTCTCGGAGATAGTTTCGCTCAACCTCATCATAACCAGATGCTTCTAGTGCCTTATCTAGTTCTGTAGGTTCCGTGTTTGTTTTTGATCCCAGGAATAGTGAGTAACCGCTAGCTTTGTTTGAAAAAACGTACTGATCCACAGAGGGGTGTTTGGTAAGAGTTAAAGTATTGGTGGTACGGTACAATACTTAGGGCAAAAATGGTTGCCGGGTTGTTATACTTGGTCATTGGGGGTTTCATTATCGCGTCGGGAAAATAAAGAAGGGGGCGGTTTTAGCTGGGACAGCACGTGTCCAGCACGTGTCCAGCACGTGACACAAACAGTTGGATAGTGTTTGGTTCCGTACCATAGTCGCTTACCACAATTTGCCACGGTGACCTTGGTGCGGAACAGAAGGCTTTGCGATGGAATATGCCAAAGGGTATACTTAATTTTGTAATTGGACTTGGATTATGCAGGCTAGAGATATTATAATATTATTGAAATTTTATTGTATTGGTCTGCTACTAGGTGATTCATTATCATGGCATTGTCTTTCAAACTATCTTAATTATGAGCGGGCGTGGTGGGAAACGGTTGTGATAGGATGCACGCTATTTTTCTAGTTCGAATTTCCCTCCTTTTCCCTCATTTTATTTTATTTTATTTTATTTTATTGTCTTTTATCATTAATGCCTTCTTTTTCTTATTTTTGTTTTTTGAAGTCATAGATGAATCTTTCTTGAATTGCTCCGTATGAAACTTATCTCTGTGGACTTTCCCAGACCAGTAGCTAGAGCGTGCTTTCTGATTTATTGTTCTGATGTTCAAGGCTTTGCATGGTAAGATAGTTAATTCTTTTCAATGTTATGGGTTACTATCGCTGGATATGTACCGTGAAATTGAATAGTAGTTCAGCCACCGTTCAACATTCTTCTCATTGCAGGTTTCACGTAACCTACAATTCTGACACAACAAAAAGCGCGCGATGCTTTTGATCTCACCCCAGTCCGCTTGACGATGTAAGTCTTTTATGGCAAGTATCTCAGTGAAAGCCGTAGTGCGGTCCACTAACGACACATCCGTATGGCAAGCGTTCCCATTGGAAGTGACATTGATACATCGGAGCCGACCGCGAGGATCACCCATTGCTTTAATACAATCCGAAGGTAATTTAATCATGACTAAGCCCACGGAGAAGTTCGAAGAAGAGTATGGTCGTAGTAATTGGAAATTGGAAGATGGAACGATGATACCATAATATAGTGCTCCCGCGTTCTCGGACCTGCGACTTTGAAGGTCTTATCACGTTCCTAGGCCATTTAGTAACCTTAGTAGCTGCAACTTACAAAAGAACCAAAGCGGCTCTTCTCTAAATCTAGAAATTGAAAAGGTAAATGGGCATGTAGAGCACGTGACAAGTGTCATACAATACACGCTACCCTAAATTAGCACTCCAGAAAGGAACTAGTGCAACCAAACACGGGTATAAAATGATTTGGACAAAGCAAGCCTTTTAAGTGGAATTTAGGCTCGAACTTTTACCATTTTCGGAAGGTCTCTGTCATAAATATTTCACTACAGTATCAGGGCAACTTGCACTGTGTTAACAGGGTTGAACAAGACGTTGATAATTGTAGGCATTTGTTGCTTATTACAAGAGTAGGTTTAGTCAAGTGTGTAGCGCTTCCCTAAAGCCAGAGGGGGCGTGCAGTCCTCAGGGCCTTGCCGAGGAAATTCCCACACGGTGGCTTCTGTCAACGTATCATCAAAGGCGATCACAGTATGTTTACCCGCCAAGGCAATGCCGTGCCAACCCTCGTATTTTTCTCCGAGTCGGTAACTTCTGACCAACCTGCCCGCCTTTGACCAGAAATTTACAAGTTCCTGTCCGGTGGTCACAATATAGGTGTCCATGACAATGGCAGCGTCGGAATCCGTGCGCCAGATAGACTTGGCCACCTTGCAGTGATAGAACTCACGTTGTTTTGCTCCGTTCGCGATGATCGTATACTTGCTAGCAAATCCCCCAGGGACCTGCTCCTGAGTTCGAGTCACATATGTTCCGTCTGAAAACGGCCCAATCCGGGCCACATCGGACTCTTGATCTTTTGAATGGGTTTCAGTATATCCGAAAAACTTGCTCCGTTGGTCGTTTGTAATCAGGTGAATTCCATTAAGAGTGGGTCGATCTAGGTAAGCCACATCCTGGACGGAATATATGTGGAGCTTGTGGATGATAGGCCCCTGAGGTTTCCTCCACGTAAGACCCTTCCACACGTAGATCTTAAAGTCAGTGAAGAGTGCGATGACCATATTTCCGGCTGGTGATGTTATTAAATCCTTGACCATTCCACCGCTTGGTGAACCTGGCATACTGCGAGACTCCCGAAGAAGAGTATCCCACACCTGAAAGGTCATCTCTCGGCGAGACAAATGGATTACTAGACTGCCTGAGATATGCCACTCGGGCTCCAATGGATACTTCGGGTCCCCTATATGACAAAGCCGTGTGAGTCTAGACGGACGTTGACCTATTAATGACCAGTCCGAGACTTGACGCACAACAACGTTATAATTTTCGATCGACCCCGTGCATCTCTCGTAACCGAAACAGAAATTTCCATCGGTGAAGAGGATCGGTTTTAGAAGCTGTGGCTTACGATGGAAAGTCGGTCCGCTCGGCCATCTCGTAGCCGACATCGTTGCTTGCGCCTCGTTACTGCGTAAGGTATCGTAGTGAAATGCGAGGTATTGGCCATTCGGTGCTATAGTCAGAGTGGAAGGACGACACCCTTTGAGTCTATGTTTTACTGGGACTGGCACGCCCTTTTGGAGCACCGAAAAGTCGGGATATATGGTTATGGAATTACGCTGCACTGGTGGACTCGCGAGATGAGACAAAACGGTTTCATCCAGGCATTTAGCGGCGCGTTCGTGAGTTGCTAAGCCGTTACCGTAGGACCTCGGTTTTAGAGGGCGCCTGCCAGAACCATGTTTCTGAACACGACTGTCGATACCTCCCACCTGCGGCTGAAGAGGCATTAGGGTAGGCACAGAGAGAACTTTAGATGGTTTCGGCTGTTAAGGCAGCGGCAGCGAAGATGCGATGGAAACAACACTCAATATTTATAAATGATCTGTAATTGGGAGTAATTTTGTGGCTTTTGATCCGTGGCCGATATATATTTAGAAGCGCGTGAGAGCCGGAAAAGGCTTGGTGGACGGTTCACGTGGAATTCCTTCACCTACATAACTATTAGGCACAGTACTAGTAAATAAAACATACGTTGCTAGCCGACGATATCTCTGGGTTTTAGATGAGTCCGAAGACTAAGCTACAGGCTGATCCTGTTCACCATCTGGGTCATCCCGGGCTGCGTCCCAATAGGATGAACAAGGAGGCGAAATGAGGCACGAGCTTGGGCAACATAAAATTAGCGCTAGCACCACCATACCCTAAAATATTCTGTCGCTTAAATGTCGCTACTAAAGAGTCAATGTCCCTGTGAGATGGATATCTCGGGCGCTTTTTCCGACAGAGAGAGAATACGGGCTTGGCTGCAGCACCTAATTCTGTGCCTCCACATCCCAGCACACTGAGATCTCGACGTGTGAACTCAAAACCAACGTCGGCGCGCTTCCCTGGCTGTACGAGCTGCCTGGTGAAGCCACGTAGAACCTTGGCTGGCCCTCCAGGGATCCCGAAGTAAAGCTGGGGTACCTCGGCTCCTGGTGTTTTCAATGGTCAAGTGACTGTGGCGACCACGTTCCAAAGTGAGGGTAAGCCGCCCTCGACTTGTGCTAGGAGCGAGATATTCCCGGCGGTCCTTCCTGCGCTGTGACCCGTTGATTGAAATAGTCAAAAGTGGTGTAAGTGAGCCCGTAGCCGAACTCGTAGCGCGGAGTGAAGTCGGCCGCCTCAAAGGCTTTGTAATGGATCAGGATCCCCTCGGAGAAGTCAGCCTGTGGGTAATAGGCGTTCTTCTCACCCACATGGACGGCTGGGTGGAGGAGTAGGCCGTAGTCGGTTTCCTTCACAGCAACGGTACACGGGGGGCGACCGGACGGGGACTGCCTCCCATACATCACCTCAGTCAAGGCACCACCGGTGTCCCAGGGGGAGGTGATCCACCAGCGGTCAACAAGACGGCATTACGAATCACAACCATGGCATTGTTGCATTGGTCCGCGACGTTCTGAATCAGTTGATCGGAGTACGCATCGCCCTGGGAGGACCGGTCCCAGCCTTCGGACGACTGTTCGTTCACGAAGACGCCACAGACTTCGCTCGCAGGGTTCACGTGCGGGGCGGCAGATGCAAGGTCCCACGCCAAAAACGTCCCGTCACGTCGAGTCTGTCGCTGGAAAGCATCGAACGGCGCATCGATATAGGACGGAGTGTTCGAGCAAGAACCTCCACCGGAAAACAGAGTCCCAGGCCACCCCGGGGCCCCGGTCGCTAGGCTGACGGCTGGTAGACGAAGTTCGACATCAGACCGGCGTCATCGATCGCCGACCAGTCCGGATACCCAGACTGTTGTCAAGGCCTGTCTACCAGAGGCTTAATGAGGTGATCCGGAGTGTGACGCGGCGCGGCCACCAAATCGTACCCAAAGAGAGAGACGAACTTGGGCTTGCTGAGCAGTACAGCACCGGACTTCTTCACCAGCACGTGGCCTTCAACGGCACTCTGGAAGCGGGTCTTTTTCGATGCCGGATCCCGAGCCTCTATCGACTGATATGGCTCGAGCAGGTTGACCGGCATGCCTGACTCGGGGTGTTCTAGCTCGGCATAGTTATACCAGGCCGCAAGGATCCTCGTGGCAATGTCGTCCAACCGAGTCAAGGAGAGTGATCCGTTACTAAGGCCCGCAGCCAACAAACCGGGGGCCCAGTACATTGAGTCCGGCATGACCATATTCAATCCAGCGGTGGTACTCGATATACCGCTATCCGTGTACCAGTCAGAACCAACAAACCCCTTGGAACCCTAGTTCACCCTTTAGAAGGCTGTTTTGACATCCATAGCTATTGTTGATTCGGTTATAGCTACACATCACGGACCCAACTCCAGCTTTCACGGCATCCTAAAAGGGCCAGAAATAGAGTTTGTGTAGCGTTTTATCGTCCACGTTCGATGACACCGACTGATTGAGCGCACTCGGGGCGAATAAAGGCGAGTTGCGACCAGTCTCTTATTCGTTGCGGATGAAGTGCTTGGCATACGCTATCACGAACTCTTATAGTACATGGATGATATCTCTATTTTGTGATACGGATATTGATCTTAACTTTGATCGGAGTAAATCATTCTAGCTTAAGGTGACGCGTAGGAGATCACAAATACATGTCACATATGGCGCCTATCTCTCTAGTGGCCATACCCGTTTTCAACGAGATAGAGTAGCACCGCATAGCCTGCGGCAACAACTGCGGCAAATCCCAACGTAGCAATAGCACACAACCAAAGATCCTGAGGCCAGAACAGCAGGCATATACCTATATTTCGGAAACATGAGGTACTACTCGTGTAACATGCTCTACTTGGACCGTGCGAATTAGTGGATGCTACTTTGTATAAGGGGCTGTTATCACGTACTGAAGCATGTTGCGGATATCAACATCGGACCCATATCCCCGATCGGCGTTCAAGAGTGGTATAACTGAGAGTAAAAACGAAAAACAGGCTAGAAAGACAAGCATGACCGCCGGCATAAGCTCATAGAGCAGAGAAGACCGGGGCTCCACGTGGAGAACCCATGGTAGAGTAAAAAAGCTGGTTACGTTAGACGAGTGCCAAAGAGAAGGGATCTATCAACCGTGCCTGATTTCTAATAGTAAAGGACATATCACGCGAATTATAGGTATCAAATACTTATATTTTTCGCGGGCTCCTTCGTGGCTGGAAAAGGCGTGAGATGGCAAGGCCGACGGCATGTATGGAGAAAAGGGCGTGTGGTTCAGGTTTACGAGTTACACGGAAATTATCTAGAACTCGAACTATGAAGAATCACTGTACGCACGTCCCTCAGTAACGGCTTTCCACCAACTGCGCCCGATTTTACGCATTCATAATGAAAAATCAAGGGAATCACTAAATAGCCATAGTACACTTACTTATGAGAGTTTAGCCGAATTCAGTAAGCATGTCTAAATTAGCAAGAAATTTGAATAAAAGCAGCGCAAAATTGTATCAATTTTGTTAGTAAACCGAATTGAATTCACCTGGATACGTCTAATATCGGCGCTCAATATGACGCCATAGCTCTGCCCCTCGTAGACCTTGCTGGCGCCTAATTGGGGATGCCATGGTGCTATTCCCGTAGCCGTATCGGGTGGGAGACAAAGTCCAATCCGGCGGTGGCGCCCAGTAAGCGCGAGGGTGGATACGATGCTATTCATAGAGGTCTAGGACCCCCGGACGGCATCGGCAGTGCTATTTGCAGCCGGTGAGGCTATTCGCACAGCTATAGGATGCACGATATTGGTGATACGGGAGGTACTTCATTTGACTAAGTGGCTACATAGTAAATGGAAGTACCTTACGCACTGATCTTCAGAGCGCCAAACCTGTATTTTTACTATACTCAATGTAGTAGGAATAACCTCATTACAGCTGTTTAGTGATTTCCATGGCTGTGTAGTAACGCCCAAAATCAAACAATACCGTGTAATAGTGACTTTGTTCAATCTATGCTAGACAATACGCCCTCGGCAATTCCACTACATCAAAATGCAACGCCGATCCCCGTTAAACTGACTGAAAGAAACGGAACGTCTAAATTGACCACTCTAAGAATGCGACTAGTTTACTCGACACTTTAGAGCAAACTATAGAAATAAATTTAGAAAATCCAATTTAAAAAACCCAAGTTAGAAAACCCAATTTAGAAAACCCAAGTTAGAAAACCCAATTTAGAAAACCCAAGTTAGAAAACCCAATTTAGAAACCCCAATTTAGAAACCCCAATTTAGAAAACCCAATTTAGAAAACCCAATTTAGAAAACCCAATTTAGAAAACCCAATTTAGAAAACCCAATTTAGGAAAGTGAGTTCGGAAAATCAGGCGGGGAAAATAGGACCCTGCTCCTAATTAGTAACAGTCTATCATTGTATTACATCGCGTGCCCTAGAAGACAAGTGCGAGTACGATTGACAGGCGAGAGGGAGTCGACCCGCTCCTGGAGTAGAGTTTCGGAATCGTGTCATGACGGTTCATAACCATGTGACAGTCGTGGCCCAGTATTTGATCACATGATAAAGAAACAATCCCTAATCCCTAGATACGGTAATGTCGCAGGAAAAGAAATTTCCAAAATCTCCTATCGCTCTACCGAAAAAAATACTTTACTAATTCGTGAGCAAGTCACGCACCCGGCCGAAATGCTTGGGCCCAGAGCTCGCGAAGGTTATGAAGAAAGAAACCCTTAGGTCTTCTCTCTTTACAGTACCCGCCGATATCATTCAATCAATCCTAGTCTACGTCCCGTGTCAATACTTTCAAAATATCGAACGGACTTGCTAAGAGCTTAGAGAGCTCACGATCCCTATATGCTGAATTATTTACGCGGATGAGCCAGCGCCTTGTATTCCTAGCACGAGCAAATATTAGCGAAAATTTGCAGTTCAACATGAGATTTGTTGTAGTACCGACGATAGTCTCAAAGATACCACGATTAACGCCCTTTTAGTATTTTACTTCGATTCTCCTCCCGATCGTGACAGTCTGAGGATGATATATTATCTCTGCCACAACCCCTAAGCTCATCCGAGGGGCATTAAAGCGATTGTTATGGCTCTCGTCATCTAGAATCGTCGTCGGGGACCTCATGCTTTTCTCCTAAGATATGGCGACTCTAATACCATGTCTCCTACAACGAAAGCCTTGCCCTAAGCACGCTTCACTTTGATTTTTCAGTCAGTTGGTCTACCTGCCCTTTAGAAGTTTTGGAACCATGCCTCGTTGTTACTGTACAGCTACTCGTGGCAATAATGAACCGTTTATCCAGCTCAAGCGACTTCTGCTTAAGATTTGCAAAGACGTGAAAGTCCATGAGACAGCCGAGGCAGCTCTTCCGTCCGGTATGGTAGGAATTCTATAGGAGATATTAAGCAGCCTTGAAGTCGACTCTCATGCCTTGCTAATAGTATATTTAAAATAAGCAGTGGGTTACGGAAGCGTAAATGCTCCTCGGTTCCTACTCAAACTTGAACCCAGCACGGTAGAAGATGCTACGAACTTTCCGTACGCTGTACTGTAACAGCCCAATTGCTTGGTCTATTTCCATATGACTTAGTTTTCTATACCGCGCGGTGCGAGATACTGGAATTTGTAGTCACATAGGAATCTCCTTGACATCAAATGCTATGCTTCTATTCAGCACGGATTATTCTAATATCATTCCCCAATTTCAACCGTCTTTGACCGCGCATATATTGCATATATCTACTGGACCAGCTTTGATAATGGCGATAACAGCTTTGGTTCGCTCAAATGCAATGAGCAGAAAGGTCTCAATGTCAAAGATTTCATAAATCCGGAAGTACCAGGCAATAAGCCAGACATGACATACAACTATAGAAGGGATAATTAGGCGCCAAAGGATCCACTGCATCCGATTGTTGCCGGTGTTTGATAAATGATAGGTTCTATTCGGGACTGTTGCGTGAGAGCCCCTTGCGTCGGGCCCACGATATCCCGTGCTGGACATCGCACACAAATATCGCCTGGCCTTCCCCTCCCTCGAAAAGAACATCGCCGTTTCGAGGGAGAGCCGGGCTCTCTCCGCGACGGTTTCTTCAATAGTTCCTTTTACAATGGTGCGTCATAGTTCGGTGGCCCCCAGTCTAACCCCTGGGGGACAGACCACCCTGGGCTCCTCGATCTATCCACCAGAGTACATATGGAATTCCCTCTCCGACTCCCAGCAGGACTCATTCATCTCTACTGTGTCCGCGTCCCTTGTTGCGGGCGACGGGCAGCGCAAGCGCCCACGTTTAGACCTCACTGCGGAAGAGGATGCTGACGACGTGGAATGGTTCTCTTCCACCGCCGCATTTGTGACCTTGCTAGGGCATATAAATGGCAGGACTGTATCCTGCAAATGGCCCTGGACCACCACCAGATGGTCGTCGATAAAGGCGACCTCACCGTTTCTCTTAGCGATTGGGAAATTGGGAAAGCCCTCGAAAGCTCCTACCTTCGCCCGGACAACGTGCTCCCAGCAAAGACAGCGCCGGCTACCCCAACCACACGGTCAACGCGCTCTACCGCTGCCCCAAATAATGACACTGTCATTTGTGAAAAATTCAACTCTTCTGCTGGCTGCCACTGGCGAACATGCCACCGAAGACACGTCTGCTCTAAGTGCGGCAACGACCATTCCGTGACAAGCTGCAAAGTAAAACCAGTGAGTTAGGAGCACGCCGGGGTCGGCCCTGGTATAGGTCAAACCTTGTCGCCACCAACTAGCTGGCCAGCCCCGCGTCCCAACACTTCTATTCAGTTTGAGGTCTTCGACCCTTCCCTCCCGCCTCTGCGTGATTCCGCTTCTCCCTTCATTGCTTCGGCGTGGAAAACCCTCCTCGAACGCTATCCTGGCAACCTAGGGACTATCTGCAGCGGCATCCTTACATTCGGCTGCCGCCTCGGTTGTACGATCCAGCCAAGATACCGTCGAACTCCTAATCACCGCATCGAGGAACACTCTCTTATCACCCAGAAGCTCTCTGATGACCTATTATGTCGTCGGGTGCAACCATCTACTGGCCCCGTCGTTGTTTCCCCACTAGGGCTGGTGCCTAAACACGACGGGAGCTGGCGCCGTATCCATGATCTTTCCTACCCGCCGGGTCGCAGTGTCAACGAGTCCATCCCCGACGCTGCTTCTACTATACAATACATATCTATGGATAACATCTTCGATCTCATACGCACGTCTGGACGAGGATGCTATATCATCAAACGCGACATCAAGGATGCCTTCCGTAATATCCCAGTCGCCCCCGCTGACCGGCACCTCCTAGCCTTCTCATGGGATAGCAAGACATACATGGAGTGCTGCCTCCCATTCGGCCTTTCAACGGCACCCTTCATCTTTAACCTTTTTGCTGAGGGCCTTAACTGGCTCCTAACCGCTTACTTGCCTTTGGCCTCTATCGCTCATTACCTTGACGATTTCATCGTTATTTTTCCTTCCTCCGTGGGAGGTCTCTCTAAAGCCCTTACCGCTTTCAATAGCGCATATATTCCTCTCACGGATGCGTTAGGCATCCCACGGAATGACTCGAAAGACGCCGCGGGTACCGTGGTCAGTGTCCTTGGGGTCGAAATCGACACGACACTTCTGCAGGCCCGTATGCCTCGCGATAAGCTAGCACGCGCATCTTCCGAAGCCGCGTCGCTACTACAGCTAGATCGTGTCTCGCATAAAGCTTTGCAACGTGTAGTCGGTTTCCTCCAACACTGCTCAATAGTTATCCGTCTCGGCAGAGCCCGCCTTCAGTCGCTCTACAGCGATCTCGCATCCTTCCCGCCTCACCAGCGCTCCGTCCGCCGCCTATCCCATGATAGCCGCGGGGATCTCGCGTGGTGGAGGGACACTCTCCCGTTATTTAACGGCATCCATTTCTTCGAGAAGAGCCGCCCCCTAGTTGCCCTCTACACAGACGCGTGCGACTCAGGTCTGGGCCTCTTCTTCTTCTATGCGCCCTCATGGGACTCCGCCAGGGACTGGATGTCTGCAGCGCCTCACCTGCCTTCCACCCATGCGGCTATTGTGGACGCCTCCTCCGCCTGCGGCGACGTGGCCCACATTAACATTAAGGAGGTCTCTGCGATCCTGCAGGCCTTCCTCATACACAGCCCCCATTGGGCTCATCATCGTGTCCTCGCTTTCACGGACAGCGCCGTCGCGTTTCATGGCCTGTCTAAGCAGGCACTCCGTGGGCCGGCTCATCGCTCTCTGCTCATGCTTTTCAGCATAGCAGCCGCCCTTGACATCGAAGTCCAGCCACACTGGCTTCCTTCATCGGAGAACCTACTAGCTGATGCACTGTCCCGTTCCGATTATAGGATCATCGCTGATATTTGCCCACAGTTGACGAGCTCCTTTCCCTTGCTCCGCCAGCCTGGTTCTCTCGACAGCCTATTTTCGTGAATGCTGGCCATGCAAAGTTGGTCTGGAATGGCCTTGCAGAGGGAACCAGAAGAGGCTATCGCTCTGCGCAGCGCTCGTACACCCGTAGCTGCGCTATTATCGGAGTGCAGCCCTGGCCAGCCACTGCCCCGTCGATCTGCACTTGGCTTACGGAACGCCTGCTGGGCGCGGGTAGTTCCCCACCTGTGAAGCCCGATTCAGCTATGTCTGAGCTCTCGGCTCTCCGCGCGTATCACATCGATAACGGTCACCTGACACAATTTTTGACCTCCACGCAAAGCATTTTCGTCGCATGATCGATGGCGCTCGTCGGCTGCAACCGCCCCGCCAAAAGCGGATTCGCAACCCAATCTCACGCGCCTCAGTCATAACCCTTTCAGGGAATATCTCACATATCCCTGCCCAACCGCTGGGGCTCTCAGCGGCCCAGAAAAATGACCTTAATCTTGCCGTGGCCGCCCGCGTTGCCTTCGCTGGATTCCTTCGGGTCGGGGAATTTACATACTCAGCTGCCGACCTTAGAAACACTCAAGTCTTCGCTGCTACTAAGTTAACCCGGGCGGATATCAGGTTCTCCCCCACCATGGACCACGTCCTCCTTACCTTGAAGAGAAGCAAGACCGACCGAAACCACGAAGGTGTCAATGTTGTCCTTGCAGCAACAAACGACGCAGCCTGCCCCGTCGAAGGCCTTTCTAAGCTATTCCTCCACGACTCACAGCCTATGTCTGCCCCCTTGTTTACGCTCTCCTCTGGCCCCTTCACCTCATCCGCCTTCCAACGTGCGGTTATCTCTAAGCTCAACCGCGCCGGGGAAGATACCACGGGACTTAAGGGTCACAGTTTCAGAAAAGGGGCAGCACAGCACGCCCACAACGCAGGCTTAAGAAATGACCACATCCAAGCCCTCGGGAGATGGTCATCCGAAGCCTTCCGCCTTTACTTCACAACACCTACGACAACACTGTACGCCTGGAACCGTCAATTCCAGACCGGTCATCCAACGCCGGTCTCATCTTCCATACCACCAGCCCCTCCACCATCCTCTTTTGGCCCACCGGGTCATTTGGGCCCGCCTGCAGCCCTCACGGCGCTGTAGCCCTCCGTCAACGAGGCCTACATCGCCAGTGTTCAGACCGCAGGTGCCCCGTGCGGGCCAAAATATCTCATCCGTCTCCATTTGTGCCAGTGTAGCAATGGTTAGAATAGATGATAGGTTCTATTCGGGACTGTTGCGTGAGAGCCCCTTGCGTCGGGCCCACGATATCCCGTGCTGGACATCGCACACAAATATCGCCTGGCCTTCCCCTCCCTCGAAAAGAACATCGCCGTTTCGAGGGAGAGCCGGGCTCTCTCCGCGACGGTTTCTTCCCGCCCACCGCGGAACCCCCTCATGTATATACCACGTATGCTCTCGCATAGCTATTTTTCCTCCTAGAATATACGGAGTGCCACGGGCCCGCCTGCAGCCCTCACGGCGCTGTAGCCCTCCGTCAACGAGGCCTACATCGCCAGTGTTCAGACCGCAGGTGCCCCGTGCGGGCCAAAATATCTCATCCGTCTCCATTTGTGCCAGTGTAGCAATGGTTAGAATAGAACAGCCTTCACGTGTCGGTCGATTAGATGAATTAGTCGTGGATCCTCAAGGACATGCCAAATGATCTCTGGTTCCGGCCCACGGACTAGTTTAGTTTCATCATTTCCACGGCTCACGGTCCACGTTTTGTCACCACGCAGCATATTGATTATATGAAGATACTCAAACACCTCAAGGTAGATTGCTATTCCTTTATAACAGCGTGGGTATCTTTTTAATATAGCATATTAATTTGATTTATTTATGGACCGTTATTCTGTGGGCTTACGCTCATTAATAGATCAGTTACACTAAGTATAGAATATGACCCCATTCTCTTCAGAAACGCGACAGTACGGGACTAAATCCTATGTTTGGTGCCGCTTTGATTGGAACCAATCACCATTTACGATTACATTCTATTTTGAGTTTCCAAGGCGGGCCTGGGCTTATTTAATTTAAAAATTTTAGATCTCGTAGTCTCCTCTAGCAAGTTCATCAAAGCTATGACTATCTGGAGAATTTGCTATCGAAATAAACATGTCCGAACTTTCTCTACAGCTACCCGGAAAGAGACATTAGACCAACCTAAACAAGACGGCAAAAGTAAGCTGCCTGAGCATTTGGCACGTACACAGGGGGCCACACTCGAGTCATCAACGTGAGCTGGGCCGGGGGAATTGGCAAATCTCCGTGATCCATCCTTTTCACCGTTTGTTTTGTTCATTTTGAATAACTCCCTAACATCAAGGACCAACGTGACACCCGTGGGCACAAATGACACAACGGGCGCAGTTTTTTCTAAGCCAATTCTCCGGTTTATTTTCTCAAACAAGACCTACAATGAACTGAATTGTAAGGGCACAAGAAGCCTTCAATCTGTACCTCTTGCTTGCCTACTAAATATCCGCATCCTCGACGCTTTGTTCAGTGCGCTAGTCCGCTAGTCCGCCTACAGAGCCATCTGCATATAGCTACATATCAATCAGATTCATCTATCAATCACAAAACTATCCGCCTAAACGCCAGATGGCTAGTTAGAGCACCCTATCCCCTGATAAATTTCAGGCAGCCCAACCAAATTAAACGAATAGTCCATCTCAAGGTTCTCTAGTGTGTAATACCGTAAATCTTCACCGTGCAGCCACCAGGAGCCTTCGGTGTCGAGGGCTGTGCTTTCAGTATCCTCGAACGAAGGCTCCAAGTTCTTGCTTATAGGTGAACTGAGGACTTTTAGTTCCGTCGAGGCTTCCTTCATCACAGGAGATTGCTTTCGGGGTTTTCGAGGTGAAAACCGATAGTCTGGGTGCGCTTCAGCATGACGGTGACGCTCGATATCGGCCAGCATTTTATATTTCTGCTTGACATCAGGCGTTTCCATGTTCCAGCTCCGCCCTGCGATAATGGATTTAACGGCTTGGCTTTTATTTCCCTGGAGCAGATTCTTGATGCGCGGTGCATAGGCCGACTTATACAGGATGAAGCAGTTCCTTGGCCGTAACACTTTGCCATGTTTGTCTTCCTCTCTCTTGCGCTCGTCAGGCGATCGATGTACCCATGTGGTCATATCTTCAATGGGAATGTCCGTCATGTTACTGCTCAGCGGTAGCCCTGAATGCCAGGCTGCGAGATTGGGCATATTCCCGTACCAAGGGGCTCGCTTTTGAGTAGACATGCGAACTCCTTCCTCTGTTTCCTCTGAACATTGAGGCCAGTGGTCCGGGAATGGGAAAATTGTCTTTTGCTTGGGTTTCTTCGTAGATATCGTCATCATCGTCGTAGCTTAGCCTGCTGTGGATTTCGCTCCAACTTTTAGCATCACGTAACATCAGATAAGCCGAGAACTCACTTGAGACAGACTTTTAAAGTAACACAAACAGAAGGTCAGGTGCAGTCACGAACTATGACTTCGAGGTTATTAGTGGTCATAGCATATTGTATTACCTGGAACTCACAGATGATATACCGGCTGCCCGCATCAATTGGTTGTTTCCGCATAGGTAGGAAAGAAGGAGAAGGAAAGAAGAAAAACGATCTTTACACTGCTTATAAATTTGCAATGGTCCCCACTAACATACGCTACGATGATGATTCTACCCTCTAGGGTTAGTTCACACTGTTCTAGCGTGAAGTGGCTACTGCCCTTCTATTGGTCGGATGTTGGCGACAATGTATAATGTAGCAGGTGTTCGATCCCGTTATATTCCGACTTGCAATGTAGTAGCATGCAGTTACGCAACCCTTAGGCTAAAACTAACGCGCTCAGTTCGCATCTAGGATAAGGATCAGTGAAAATAAAAGACTGCAAATACAAGCAAATTATTTCGCGGTGCGCATCAAATGACACACTAACTCATATTCGATGTAAGGGGTGATGTGTCTTATTCCACTGCCTACTACTTGATGCTCAACACTCAAACCGCCACGCAGTTTTCCTGATACACCAGAAATTAGGGGGTGCGAGTCCTACATATTTGAAGAAAAGTGCGGCGTTTCTGGCGTGATCGGTGCATTCGATGCGTTCTATGGGCTCCACACCCTTGGGACCCGGGTTTTGCTTCAACTGAAGTACGCAATGCTGCTAAGGGTGACCCCCAGCTCTGGTTGTCGGCGGGCGTACCACCGCTCCTTGGGCGAGGAGCTTGCAGGATTCCAAATGCAAGTCTCGTCGTCAGTGGCCGGAGTGATGGGGCGAGAAATACCACGTGGCCGGGCTTATAAGATCCAGGAATACTATAATTCAGTCAAACAAGGTCGTTTACTACCAAGTAGAAGCAGCGCCGGAATTGACACACCATGAAAGCCAGGTGAGGACGCACAGGCCTAGAACGCTATGACCTCCCAGGATGCGCCGCCAGAGGCGTCTTCAGGACATCGAGATAAATTATTTTATCCCATGCTCATGGAGTATCCAGGAATTCAAGCCCGGGAAGAAACGGATTCTGTTATTTAACGTACCGCATTGATGAATGAGCAGCGCAACTGAATGTCCATGCGATGTTTTTACGTACAAAGGGTTTTACTGACTGAAACTTTTGTTCACATCAGGTTCATTCTGAAGCAGGGGCATCTGTTCAAATTGGGTTAATTCACAGGCTCCCACTTAAATTAAATATGCTGGCGCTAGAGCCAACCAAACTATCAAGTACCTTAAATCTGCATCCACTAATCAAACCTATTAATAGCCATAACATCGGGTAAAATTAAACATCAAAAACACATATATGGATGTCATGTGTATATATTTAAGCTGGGTTCTCTCTTCAATCGCAAACTGGAAGAATGCCTTGCACGACCTACCTTTTACAGAAAGGATTTCTCTACTTCAGTCCTATTTTAATTGAATGCTTTGTACGTCCCTCTTCACACGCTTTTTACTACGAATTATATATCATCCACATATTTTGTAGCTTTGTATACCTGTCAATCCGTTCACTTTATGTTGAGCTAGTGCAGCAATCATCCTAATAATTCTACCTATCGTTCGCCACTGTCCCACAATACTCGATTCTTCCCGCTAAGAATCTTCATATGCATCATTGGAGAAGGTCATCCTTTTTTTTTATGTTTTTGCTCTTGTGTCCTCTCGAATGGAAAGAATCCCTCATTGTCCAAGAGCTGTACATGATCGTGAGGTACAAATTTACTGTAGCGTTGAATAAGGTACAAAGAAGCCAGAAACAGGTAAATTTAATGAGACTGGTACAGAGAAGTGCAAAACCAGCTTCACCAATTTGTACTCTTTTGTTAGTCCTGCGCCCCACAGCTAAGACTCTAGCCTGAAAAATGGGTGCTGTTTAGTGGGGTATGCTATGTACCCTTTTTTCTGCTGGCGTAGAACCTTCAAGATGTAGTCACTGACTCAGCCATCTAGAAATGTGGCAAACCACAACAGAATAGGCTGTATGGGATCTGGAACCTCGTGGAACATAATGGCACGTTCTATTACTACTATATGGTGATATAAATTCTTGCTTTTCTCCCAGGCCCTTCTTTTATAAAGAGATAAGAAAATAGAGGAAGGAATGAAAACGGAAATCATTGACGCCTGCTATGGACGAAATCGTAGAAAAGAAACCCGCCCTGATGCGTGTCCCAAGGCAACTGAATTCCCATTAATCGCGGAACAGCTAGGTCGAAAGTCAGGAGGAAGCCATAGTACATTTTTGCCGTTCAGGTTAATCCACTGTCCTTGCTCAATGAAGATCGCCAAATTTCTATAGGTTGAACTAGAAGCATGATTTACCTGCTCGGACGGAATATGGAGGGTGCCTAGATTGGTGATTAGATATGTACCATCTAGAGAAAATTCGAGTTCTTGGATCATTGTCTCGGTGTCCAAAGTTTCCTGCAAGGCGCCCGTCGCCGTGTCCCAGAGCCGCACTGTGTTATCACGAGAACCAGACGCCAGCAGCCGGCCGTCGGGCGAGAAGGCCACCGACAGAACCCATTCCGTATGGCCCTCGAGAGTCTGTTGCAGGGCGCCCGTCGCTGTGTCCCAGAGCCGCACTGTGTTATCATTAGAACCAGACGCCAGCAGCCGGCCGTCGGGCGAGAAGGCCACCGACAGAACCGAGTCTGCATGGCCCTCGAGAGTCTGCAATTCTGCGCTCCAGCTTTCTGGAACTTGTGGGAATTGGCAGATCCAACTAGGAAGGTCTGGTTTGAACTCCCTATGGATTATCGTCCTTTGGGGTGCAAATACCAGTCCTGCGCAATAAATCTGAAGCGGTGCTTCATCGGCTATCTGGTGATTCTTAAGAAGAAAGCGCTTTCCATCATGCAGAAAATCTGCCATAACGGAATTGTCGTCGCCCTTTATCTATTAGTGTAAATAAAAAATGGCTATCTACCTATTTCACTTACTGGTAGAGTCGTATGGAGGAGATCAAGCATACCCACCGCCTCCGATATAAGGCCCAGCAGGCTCATCGCTTCCACCCAGTGCAGAAAATGCTTCTGGAGAAATATTCGCACATCTTCCATCTCGGAAGATAAAGCCTGACTTTGGTCGAGATGGTGTATCCAGTAGCGACAAGAATATTGTAATTCTGGTGGAAGATACTGGCGAATATGTTGAGGGTCGATGTCTCCCCTACGCGTTCCTGGGCTTGCTAAATTGCAGATATCTTTCTGTAGACGACTCCGCATGGTTTTGAGACACGACTTAGCAATGTCTTTATGCTTTCTTGGCTCATCCACATAAAACTTGGTCCTAGGCTGGACTAAAAAATCCCGAAATGATAGATGTAGAATCCTAAGAGGCCGATCTCGGTCATCGGGAATGCTTAAAACCGATCGGAACGAATCCAATCGATTGCTGATCTGGTCTGCTCCTATCCCAAGAAATAGCGACAGTGCATTTATAGAAAGCGGAACAGCAAGAAGGATGATGACACCGACTATGTCCTGGAACTCCTGCAAGAGCTGCTGCTGCTCCGATTCATCAGATTTATCACTCTCTTGATCCTCCAGTAGTCGGGTCAGAATTGGCAGGTAAGTCTTATCCATTCTTGATACGTATTTGGCTTGGTTCGTTAGAAGCTCTGCGAGGCGCAATTTGGGTTCCCATTTTGAATTTTCAATGTAACGGCAAACAGTGGCAGCCGAAATAAACAGTGGAACGGACATCGTGACCAATTCTTGGATGACGTCATCGCCGGGCCAGTCTTGGGAAATATTTCTGTCGTATTTGATCTTCGCAAAGCGGTCCTGTAGGAATAGATGTATGTCGTGTTCTGTCACTTCTTCGGGTATATCATGAAGAGCTAGGTTCTGATATTCATGATCCGTGATCGTTGAAAAGCCGAGGCTAATTGGGACTTCAGGCCTGCTAGTCAAGAAGATCCGAAGGCGAACCGCTTTAACCTTCTGTAGAAGAGGCAGTAATTGAATTATGGTTCGAATATCTTGATCATTTTCACATTCGTCTAAAGCGTCGATCACAAACACAGCGGTTTGAGGTTGTCGTCCGACTTGGTCAACGTTGAGTAAAGGTTGAAGGAGTAGTTTCTCGAACTGTTCCTTGAGCGATTTTGAGGCAACATCGGGGTCATCGTGGAGTGCCTCTTGTATGCCAGACCTCAGCTCAGAAATCCTCAGCATTAGTTGCCTTATAAGTGTCGGAAAAAACTTCTTCGCGTTCCTTCGGTCCCCTTCACCCCTCTTAAAGAAAAAGCTGGCGCCGAGATAATTGGTGTTCTTGAACGACCTTGCCACAGTCCGAGATACGGTGGATTTTCCTGTCCCAGCCATTCCCTTTAACCAAAAAATACACTTCCCGTGCGGCGACATCGCCCATTCTGTAATCTCGTTGAGAAGCACTGTTCTAGTGCCTAGAAGACATTCATCCTCATTTTGGTTCTCAAAGGAGTCAACTACTGCCTCTTGAACAGTCGGCAACTTCTCCCAATCAATCTTTTGGCCCAAACATTCTACCGTCGTCAGAACCGTTCTATTCAAAGTTAGCGATAGTGCACTTGACTATACCCAACCGAATTGCACGCTACTTTTGCGTCCTGTTGAGACTAATCAACACCTGACTAACTAGACACTGTCAGCACACTGTCGCGAGTGAAATTCAGGATAAAATTGAAAGTCACACTAGAATATACATTTTATATTCTATTGGGCCACGAGAGAACCACATGAGCCTATAAAATCAAAATGGAGGGCTCTAACCTTGTTGAAGTTCCTGAGCTACTCGCTCGGCCCAAGGGGGCATGGCATCCACACGTTGCGGCCGTAGAACCAGGAGTAGCTCTCGTGCATACGTAGCAGCAGCGAGCGCAGCATATTTGTGCCAGACGTCATTCTTATGCGAGTCACAATAATCGCAGATTCCACGAATTATCAGACATGGTACATTGTTCATGAGACCCGCAGCTTCCATCTCAAAGCACAGAATGTTCAGCTCTGGGTCTTTCGCATATGTATCCCGCACAATGGCATCCTTGAGTACAGAGTTTCCTGACGCGATATTTCCGTAGTGAACATGGAGTGTACGGTGGCTCCGGCGCTCTGGGCGATCCACTGCCGAGTGTGAATCACATTCGTCGCAATTGTCTCCATCCACATGTGGATAGTCTGCGGCATAAAGCCGATCAACGGCTGGTTGTTGATAATCTTCCATATCATCAAGACGCTGGAGATGTTCCGCTAGTCTGTCTGGCTTCTTTTTATCGCTATACAGTCTGCGTATCTCAGGAATAACTCCTAGAAGTTTCTCAGGCGGCGCGTTTAGTTGACCTGTCTTCTGAAACCGACCATCTTTTAACTTTCCCAGATCATATTGTATCACTCCGCCGAATCCATCTTTTGGTTGGCTCACGACAACATCCCCCAATCGGATGTCATTTCGGGTAGTTGGTGCGCCGCCTCCGATGCCCACCATTAATGCGAACCGCACGTGTGGAAAGGTCCGGACCATATCTCGAGCAACACGGGCAGCTGAATTGGTGCCATACCGACCGGCTGGAAGACAACCAATGACCACATGATGCTTCGCAATACGACCGTAGACGTATGTGTTATCGTCGTTGTCTTCGCTTATCTCCGGCCCGGTGAATTCTTCGTCAAGCATACGGCATGCACAGAAGTACTCTTCTTCTAGGGCACAGATCCATGCTACCGTGTAGGAGTCCGTTGAATCTGGGTCCCGTTGCTCAGGTCGATTCATTGGATCAGTAGAGGGAGGAGCTACTGTTTTCACGTTGTCGGTTGTGTTTCGATATTTTTTGGAAGATTTGCTGTCTGGAGAAACAGGAAATGCTTCAGCTTGAGGGGAAAGAGAGGCAGGCACCAAAACGGGTGAGGCTGTGTGAGGATGCGTTTCTATTGGTGCTCGAAACCAGCTGATCATTTTGTAATATTGATGCCCAATAACTAGACGATTCGCTATTAATAAATTTGGCATCAATTAACCTTACCTGAATGAGGGCACAACAGCCAAAACCATACGATAAGTCAGGGATTTTATCTTGGGCTGCAAAAGCTTCACGTCAATGTCACCAAAAGGTTGGGCTTTTCTGGCGAGATAAAGAGGGGTAAGTTGTCGGCTCGACTATCGGCCCGAACCGACCCAGAGCCATCTCGTAGCCCTGCGCCCCTGGCCACCTCAGCTTCTTCGGTTAACAGCGCGACAAGGACCATTATGGCGCCCCGACTTGCACCCTCCCAGCTTGTGATGATCCGCGATATGATCAGCAGCAAATCGCTGACTACTTCTCAGATGGCCGAAGCGGCTGGCTGCAGCAAACGATCAATCATAACCATCAGTTCCAACCTCCGAATGTTTGGCGACGTCCGCGCACCCCTGATTCCGGGTGGCCGTCCCCGTGTTATCACGGCTGTCATGCTCGAAGCGCTATGTGACCATTTGCTAGAGAAACCAGAATTATACCTGGACGAGATGGCAGAATTCTTATACGATGAATTCGAGCTGCTCGTATCCACGTACACCATCGGTCGGGCTCTTCGATCGCGTGGTTGGACTAAGAAAGTGGCTCGACGGATAGCACAAGAAAGAAATGCGGATCTGAGAGATTACTATCTGTATCAGCTGTCAGATTTCCACTCGTATCACCTAGTCTACATAGATGAATCAGGCTGTGACAAACGGGCTGGCTTCAGGAGGACAGGCTGGTCTCCTCGCGGGGTGGCGCCTGTCCAGGTTTCCCGTTTCCAGCGAGATCAGCGGTATCAGATTCTCCCCGCGTATTGCCAGGATGGCATTTTGATGTCACGAGTCTTCCAAGGATCGACTGATGCTAGCATGTTCGAAGACTTCATTGAACAGCTTCTCCATCATTGTGGTAGATGGCCAGAGCCAAAGTCTGTCCTAATTATGGACAACGCGTCTTTCCACCATACTGATCGAATCAGAGAGCTATGCTCCAATGCCGGTGTCAAGTTGTTGTACTTACCACCGTACTCCCCTGATCTAAATCCGGTCGAAGAGTTCTTTGCAGAGCTCAAAGCATTTGTGAGACGAAATTGGCAGAAACACACGGGAGAGGGTTTTAAAGATTTTCTTGAATGGAGCCTAGATGTCGTAGGGGCTAGAGGAGAAAGTGCACAAGGTCATTTTCGACATGCGAACGTGGAGATTGAAGAGAAATGAAAACAGGTGTACTGTATATTGCTGAGGAAGCTTTTGACGAATTTTTTTTTTTTTTTTAAGATTAGCTCCACAAAGCTTCTCCATTCCAATGTTTTTTGTAGGCTAAGAGACCGGTAGGCCAATATGGAATTTTGGAAAAATATTGTCTCTAGTGACTTCACGCATTTTGTTGAGATGTACGATTGGACTAGCTGAATTGCTGCAAACAAGCATCCGAATCACGAGATTGTTTAAGTCTGAACCCCAATATCAAGTACTTCTCCACCTATTTATAGTGATAAAATACAGTAACCGAGGGTTCAGTGGAGTATGCAATTGTTAATAATGATGAAAGGTCCACCACTGCCCTAGCTTGCCCTTGCACATGAATTCTGAATGTGATATGCCTGAGGCACGAATGCTGATATCACAACACATTTCTATCCGACAATCCATGGCCATGTGAAGCAGAGTGCTTATGACATAATGTATAAGGTCCATTTAGATCTACCCATTTCTCAAGCTAGCGTCTTGGCGGTGGGGCCTAGAATTAAGAGAATAGTATGAAACGGTGAAGCTGGTTTTGCACTTCCCTGTATCGATTTTGGCTATCTAGCCAAGAATTTTGTGCAATGTCAAAAATTAGGATACTAAGGAAACGAGCTAGAACGGGCAACTTTATACTACTTCGCGAGACATACAGTTTGCTCGCGCAAAGTAGACATTTCGACCTTGTCATAACTTCCATCAAACTCACTCAGTCCCAATGTTCGGTACACTTTCATTGAAGCTGTGGAAGCTATTTTTTTCCCTTTTTCTCAAATTTAGTGACAAATTAAGATATCACTGGAACTTGAACCTTCCGTCTTTGAAGTGTATTCCTATGAGACACTAAGCGGCAAAGTAGGATTTCAAAACTGATTTTTTGAGCTTTCTTGGCGATGAAGACAAATCTAGACACGGAGACACAAGATGCCTTCTTTATACCTGAAGAATCCATGAAAAATCATTTTCCTCGGATAAGCCTTCAAGAGAGCCCTTTTACTTCCATTTTACAGACCTGGGAAAGAGCCGCATCCATTCGTATGAAATTTGTAGCTAGCCCAAATAACTTTAGTACGTACTCAGCCCTTGGCAGGCCTTGGTATCTCTACACAGTTTGTGCGTCTGTCGCAGGTCCGAGAACGTGAGACCTTGTCTGGATCACGTGATGTACTACCAGTAGTAGAACTGAGCCTTAATTAGTTCTCTGTCTCTTTGTCTCCTCTGTCCTTGATCCGTCCGTCGTCCCTGTTCAGCCAATATCATTGCTCGATGCTTCTCTCTATCCACGATCTTTATAGACCTATATTTTCTGTTCCGTGGTCTATCTTTCAACTCCTGGCCGCTGTCTTCCCATCTACCAATTTTATAATATCTGCGACCATACCCTTCTTCGAGGCTTTTCGTGGGTTAAGATATGACAGCACTACACTCCGATCAGCTTGAAGCAATTTATCTTTGTGCAATAGGTGATCCTCGACTTCGTCCGCAATGTATTAGAGTCACTCCAGGTGGACGAGCTTGCCTCAATGACGTGTCGTTAGACAGTCGCACCATGGCTAGCAGTGAAATACTTGCCATGGAAGCCGATGGTTATCAACCTTTTTGGTGGGATATCTTGAGGATCGCTTCTTTTTTGTTGTGTCAGGATTGCAGGTCATGTGAAACCTGCGATCAAAAGAATGTAACACGGTGGCTGGCTGAGAAGCCACGAATATCACGCCCTCTTTTGTCCTTGTGGCAACCGACTATACCAAGGCTTTCCGTGAAATAAGAAAGAATCCCCTCCAGTCGCAAAATTCGGCATCTCAAATTCAAATCCTGTTGGGTTGGTTGAACTTCACGGCTAAGCCACATGGACAGAAAGTCTATCTAGTCTAGTGCTTTCCATAAGTTTTGATTGTGATCTTTCCCGGGACTCTCCTCCCCCTCCTATGGTTCCTGATATAGAGACAGCTTTTGAGTTGTAAATCTAAATCTCTACCGTTGTGAAGTAATGATTTATTATTGTTCAAATTTAGCATTTTACTCATAGCATCTCTTGATCCCAAAAAGCGTTGTGAAACAACGAAAGGTCTCAAATGTAGGTTACACTCCGCGGTACAAGTCCTCGAATTACTATTCCATGTAGCGATAGATATCTAGCGATGGTGGCCCACGAAATGAGAGAGGACTGTTAAACCCTGCAACTACTCAAATATCTGAATATTGAATTAGAATACGCGCTCTAGGTGCTCACCCACTAGAGTCTGAAGGATAATTTCCTCTAACAGTGTACCTTAAGAGCAAATCATCTACTGTTTCAAAAGAATGAAGAAGCGAAAACCAAAACACTAATAAAAAAGAAAACAACAAAAGAAAATCACAAAAGAACGCAAAAAAAAAAAAAAAAAAAAAAAAAAAATTAAACATAGAAAAAAATACAGAAAAAAAAAACAAAAAAAGAATATAGAAAAAAAAATCCATTTGCTTAAATTAAATTGAAAGATTAGACTGCTCGATGCTCAAAATTATCCATTCAAATGCTCTCACGACTGTTCTAAAAAGCCCCAAATCGTTCATCGACGATAGCTCTGTATAAATTGACAAGGAAGGCTATTCTAAGAGGCGGTCTATCAGAGGATAGATCAGGTGTATATTCTGTTCATTAAATTAGAAGACATACGCAAGCGCCTCGATGACGTAAGGGAACTATTTAGGTCCCAGGATCAATATTCTAGGCCTACGAGGCGGCATGAAAATCCTAAATCATCTCGCGGTAAAGTCAAAGCGCCATAGTAATCACCACTTGTCCCAAAATATGGCGTCCCCTTTACCAAAAGCATACTTCCCACTGGTTCTCTCTCGAAGACTCTTTTCTGGTTAGACGTACCTGTATATCCAATCGGGTTCTAAGGTTCAAAGGTGATCGACCGGTCATCGATTCGAGTATGGTCTTTCTAGTAGCTTCCCACGGATGAAGATACCATTCTGTCTATTTAAAATGAGTTAAGAGTCCCACCCCTCGAGTAAATATACATGCTGCCAGGTAGATTTCGCGGTCAAAATTCGTCCTCAAGTTCTCCTTCTACACCATCAATCAGATCACATCCAACAATGGGAGCGTCGAAGCACAACAATCTGAATAAAGTCAAGGTTTTGATGCTTCATGGTAGCGTGTCCTTGGGGGGTTGTGCAAAATCCCTACTATGGCTAACCCGGTCTTGTAGGACACAACCAATCCGGGCTTTTCTTCCGATATAAAACTGGATATCTAGAGAAGATCCTAAAGAAGAGGCTTCAAAGTTCCTCTGCCTTCTCAGATCAACTCGCCGTAGAGTTTGAATATCCCTCGGGTCCGTTACACGCGGATCCTGACTGTCCCCTGGAAGGAAGCAGTGACCGATGGGCATGGGGGCACGGAGACCACCAAACTGATCGAATCAAGGGCATAGAAAACTCAATTCGCTATATTCTCCAGTATCTTCATGAGAAGGGGCCATTTATTGGGATAATGGGGTTTTCCTCGGGAGCTGCTCTCGCTGCCATCGTGACCTCACTGCTAGAGCGAAGAAATACTATCACTGGGATGGATCTACAGGTATAATCCCTAGTCATCCGTTGAAGAGAAATACTAACTTTTGATTAGATCAATCATCCATCACTCTCCTTCCTAGTCTGCTTTAGTGGATTCAAGCTTAACCATGCGTTTTACAAAACGGTTTATCGTGAGAAGATTCAAACACCGACACTCATTGTCATTGGGGAAGTTGACACTATGATCTTTCCCAGTGAAACTCTTCAACTTATGCAACAGTGTGAGAATGCTCAGGCATTTTTGTTTTGGGGGGCGCATCAGATTCCGCGTAACAGTGTCAATTTTCCGTCTTTTTGGGGCGAATTTGTTCAAAGTTCTCTTCAAGGGAAAAAGAAACTGGATAAAGACGATAAAAGTGTCTGGGTTGATGAATATTTTCCCTATTTCTGTTTTAAGTACAATAGCTTCAGGTCTTGAATCTCGATTTCGATTTGTATAAAGTACGCTTCTGAATTGATTTGAGAATTCGCCGCATTCCACGTTTTTTCTTTGGTTAGCAATCTAAAAGACGGGTTATGTTGTATCCCTTATTAGAGTTAACCTGGTTGGTTGTTTCGGGAGGTCGAAGTTCGTTATATGATAAGCTGTCTATTTGTCTGAGGATTGATCAGGAAAGCGCGACTCTACGATCCCGACGGTCAACCATTGAAACCTTTGACCGTACAATCTAACAAACTAGCGAAGAAGGCATTATGGCGAGGTACCTCATCTTCTGTACAGGACCGAGTTCTCTGGGGCATTTTGGGAAACTTGTTTTGCCCAAACTTTTTCAGTCTGACACCCGAGGCAAACATGCCACGTCAGGAATCTAGGCATCAAGCATGATTGCATTCATGTTATCATATCTGAGGCTACCCACGTACCTACTGTATTGTCCTAGGCCAGGAGCGACATGATCGCTTTCGTTAGGCGAGGCGGCCGGTCTGGTCCTGAGCTCGGTTATCGGAGCTCTGGGCATGGAAGGGCTTGAGCTCCTACTCCAGAATTCTTACCCCGAAACCCTGATCAAGACCGCCCGCCAAAATGTCTCTATCTCGGCGGGTTCCTATGAAAATGTAACCTTGAGCAGAGACAGCTACCAAAAGACATGCTATCGTGATTGTAGAAATTTCCTTTCTTTGAAAACTAGACTATGAAGGCAGGTTGTAAGCGGACCGCTAGCACTGGTCATATGACGATTTGGCGGGAACATAATCATAACGAGTAAATATAGGATTTTCTGCAAGCCGACACGAAAAATCAAAAGCCCTCCATTCTTTTAAATCGCCTTTTCACATATGAGTGGAGCGATATTGGAAGCCTGCCGGGTTCCCCTGTGAATGCTGGGACTGAGGACCGCCGGGGGGCATACCACTCGATGCAGGTTGCTGACCATGAAAAAGGGTCTTCGCTACTTCACGAGACACAGCATCCCGTATACTGAGGTCGTGCTACAAGGCGTATTAGCATGTGTCCTTCTAAAAATTGATATGGCTACGCAAACCTCATACAAATGAGCGCCATATGAGATGACAAGCTCATATGAGATAATTCGGTCATAAGGAATTTGGTTCTCCTCGCCGGTGTGATTGAGGAACTGAGAGTAGCTGAAATTTGGATTGGAGCCGATGCCTCCCTCTGATTGTGGAGCATAGTATGAAGGAAACCCGGCATCGTGACCATAGCTAGAGTGCTGTTGAAGGTTCGAGGCAGATGGGTTCGGGACAGACGGGTTCGGGGCAGATGGGTTCGGGGCAGATAGATTCGGGGCAGATGGATTCGAGTTCGAGACAGATGGGTCCGAGGCAGCTGGGTTCGAGACAGAGGGAGCGCCGGAGGTGCCTGTGGGCGTGTGATCATACGACGTCGTGTTGCTCTGAGTCTGATCCATTGCAACGTTGAGACTTCTCTTGGATTGAAGTGCTTGGTCGGATTTCCACTGGGACTCTGCGGCTTTTAACTACTGCCCGGTCGCACTTCATTTCCTTTTTAGGTTTATAGAAAAGGAATGGAGCGCTCGTAAGCTATACCAAGTTGGCTATCATGCCGAGAATTTATGATCTGGAACAGTTAGCGTTATTACCGGGGATTAGAGATGGGCCAGTTCCACTTTATACATCCATGTTCTCGCAATAGTGGGTCAAATAACAAGGCTCGAAACTGGATGACTGGGTCTTTTGACCTACCATAATATTATCCACTAGCTCTCTCTCTCTGATATACTCGCAGGTTAGATACAGAATCACAGTTGATTGTACAAAGTGCGCCGAATTGGAGAAGGGGAGCCACATTGTCTCCAACTGATCGTAGCTTTCTAGTCCGTTCCAGCCACGCTAGATTTGATATAGTATGTACTCTGACGATCAGTAACGTTAAGTCTCCATATAGCGTGTGCTTGGCGTACGGGCCTGCTCTCTACGGACCAAACGTCAGCCAGTAACAACCGATGACGTTTCTAGCCATACCTTAGAACGGCATGTATCTAAAGATACAACCGGGGCATAGGGTTTCGCCAGAGGATTCGAGACCCTCACCCGGCCTTGAGCCACTGGCGCAATATTTGGTTTGTTTAAACCGATGGGAAAAATGAGGTAAGGGCATGTGTGGGTATTCAAGAGATATTGAATATACTATTGCACGATACAGCTTTGGAAAGCTTGCGGAGACAAAAGCTCCATCATTATACTATTTTTATTTCGCGATACTGTAGCCAACATGAGGGATATACCATTGATCTATGCCTCTGGGCCATCGGGCGACTCAAGTAGTGCCTTCAGTCAGGGATTTTGTCCAAATGCAACGCTATGCAGGGGCCTCATCTCCAAAAACGATACTACAACCGACTTCAAAATATTAGCGTCTTTCAGGGGGCGAGGAACGAGACTGCCCTTAGTTGTAGACTGAAATTTGTCATTGCAAGTGTCTTCTATCCACTCAAATTATCATTGAGCTGTACTGTTCTGCCAATTGGCTCTAAGCTGTAGGCCAGGACATGCAAAATTGTGATGTACGGCCCGTGGCTCGCTGCATATCTCCAAGCCCTAATCGAAACTAAGGGAATAATATTGGTCATGACTTCTTTCACATGTTAATATTTCTTTGTCCATTTGAGACCCCACGTAGTGGGTGAATAGATTTCGCGACTAGCTGGCAGCTCTTTACAAGGACTAGTACATACACTAGTAAGCGAGAGCCCATCCCATCACAGCGTCTCTAACGTAGAACTTTCGGTAGGGAACAGAGTACAGAGTACGATATGTGCATGTTCTAGGATCAGTAAAGTATAGCTCCACCTCTGTGCATATAATTTGAAATTTAATATGTGCTATCCGGAAGCAGGTCCCCGCTACATGTACGACCACAACGTCGCCGACTAGCCAGAGCGCGATGCTATAATATTCAACTTTGCCGTATCTGACATCAGTAAACACTTAGGATAGGCTCTTGAGATCACGGCTTTTACATCGCAGGTTCGAGGTCGGATTATCTTTGCTCAGTACACATGATCTACTTCATTTTCACGTGCATATGAAACTTTTAGGGCTCCATCTTATGTATGCGGTATTTTCTGGGTAGAATACGATTTGCAAATGATAAATTAGGTCAAGAAGGGCCAAAAGTAAAATGAAAATTGCGACAAGAGAAAACCTTCGATGGCGTGGTTGGTGGAAAGGAAAATGAACAGGGGTAACTTGACGGGGGAGTTCCGACATTACATGTACATCGATAGGGCGGCTGGAGCTCCACCTCGCGCTTCCTCTCATTAGCCGACCACGGGAACGGAGGTGGACATATGTCATCCATCAGAATTTGACCTCGGAATCGCCTCTCGGGGCCACGTTCCTTCTTGCCTGCTACCAGTAGATCTTCATATTCAAAACTAATGCTGTATAGCGGCAGAGTCTATGGGAAAAACCTATCAATATTCGCCCAAATACTAGTGACGCCTGGATAGTAGCAAGCGTGCTACAATAAACCCCCGGCTGAGTATATACTGTCATTCATACGGGAAAGCGAGATAGAAAAGGCAGACACAACGAGAAGTGGATATAAAGGCTGGAGCTATCGGACCCACATTCGCGCTTGAAACAGATCCTACCGTTCGCAAACGCCACCAACAATCGAGATGTCGAGACGGACACTGGCGCGCCCATTTTCACCCCACATGGGGATATACTCATTTAAGGCCGTGCCGGGTGGGAACAACTGCTTATAGAGGCTACTCACAGCAACCTGCGGAAAATAAGGGCTGGGTCACCTCGTTTTGTATTGCAGGAAATTCCACATACCTTTTTCCCAGTAGCGGGTAACAAACAGAGTTCGGCCATGTACGTATAGCATTTCACGACAAAAACCCCCCAACGGGCCAAAAGGTCAGAGCTTCTTAGATTCAGGGGCCCGAGTCACTCGGCTTTATAAGGTCGGAGACCGGTGGCGGCATGGGAAGTTCGTGACTGAGTATGTGGTAGTCGTCACTTTTAACTGCGCCATTTGACTAGATCCACTTTTTTTCGCCCTGAGATGAGGTATTGTACGCGGTATTACCTGTGGTTTAGACGCGTAGAGTGTGTGTCCTCCTCTTTCAGCGGTGAAAAAGGATACAATCTCTGTATGCGCCACGAAAAGTAAATGACTGGTTCATCACGCAAATCCTGGTAAGCTCTTGATCGGATTGGAGGCTTCTTCTCCACTTCCGCTTAAGCCGGCTATGTCCGGGGTGGCTAGAGTTGGTTGGAGCTCAGGCGGGAGATTTGCAGAAGCACAGGGCAGCGTATAGTGGTCTGAGATGTAGATGTAGTTGGTATGTTCGATCTTGAATTGCTAGATGTACAATCTGTACCCGGGATATAAGCGCTCCTTTTCTATGCAGGTCCATTAAGGGAAACAAAAGACCATCTCAGACGCGAATGCAATTGTCCTGGCCTAAAAGTTAGCCCCAGTCGGCTGTCGTGCCTAAGATTGAATTTTTGACAGTGACGGTGTGGGAAAAATTGGAATGATGTTTTTAATAGCCCATTATTTACTACTTTTTTATCCTATGAGTCGACCAATTAACGTATCCGTGAACATCATTTCTGGGTCAGTCATGTGACCATCGAGTCACCATCGAGTCTCTATTCGCATCATAATTGTTTAGGCGATCTTACTTATATACATTTATTGTCTGTGTATATGACATCATGCTCCTTCCAAGGTCCCCTTACAGCGAGGATCCACTTTCAACGATAAAGCTCGACGATTTGGAATCATGCTTATCACACAGAACATCCTTTCCAGCCCCGGGTCTATTCCACTGCAGCCAGTACACAGCATATTATGCTAGATCACTGGCGCATTGTTATGGTAACTTTCATTGGCCTGGAACTTGGAACTGACTGGCGGCTTGTGATGCACCCACTTTTGTTATAATGCCTCCAGCAATACACTCAACTTGATCCGGCCGAAGCTAGCGCGAGGAGGCATTAGTACAGGTCGTTTCAAATAGGATTATGACATATAAATACATTTTTAACGATGATCGCACCCAATTGCTGTACAAACGGTGTGCTGGGCTGCAGGGGGAACGTGGTATGAGACCCAGAGCTACCAAGCATGCTGGCCTGCGGGGGCAACGTGATATGAGACCCAGAGCTACCAAGCATGCTAGCAAACTCCTGGGATTGATGGTATCCGCCAGGCCCAGAGCCATCATAAGACTGCTGTGCAAAATTTTGATACGGAGGTGGTGGCCGGAATTCTTGGCCATGGGGGTGCTGGGGAATGCGTTGATGGCCAGGGACGGTGTAAGTTGTCGGGTTGAAAGTAGGGCTCGTGTGTGCCACATTGGGTGACGTACGGGGAGGGAGCGTGGACTCAAATGAAGCGGTGTTGAGCTCAGGCTGGGTCATAATGATGGCAACAGGAGGATGTCACGCTCAGTACTTTTAGAAGATATACGACCAATATCGACCCTGCTGGAACACCGGGCCTTTTAAACCATTGCTCGGCCGAGAATGTCTTCTGTTCGCACACGGTCTATACCCGTAGACTCAATACTAAAGTTTGTGGACGTGTGCCCGTGTGCCCGTGCGTTAGCGTCGTGGGAATGCAAATGAATACTCTACCAATCATTACGCATCTACAATTGTTGGTCGGTTTCACCCGAATAACACTTGGCGCTCAAATTTTCTTTGTTTCCACATACAGTCGATCTATCTGTACATCTGCTGTACTAAATAGGATACTACACCGAGAAAGACCGTTGCTTAGTGTTAGGTCTAGACTGCCTATAGGCGGCTTTGTGGATGCCATATCCTACCCTACCCAATAGGTCCCTATGACTGCTGTCGGTACGAGCTAATTATGTTCCAACGTTACGTGATGGGGTGATCGATCCCGTTCCCGCTCTTGTAGCCCGGGGGTAATACGAGACATACTATGCGTCCGCAACCTGGATCTCCATCAAAATCCAATCTCTAGGCCACATGGAATATCAGGAGTTGGGGCTTATGAATGATTTAGATTTTATCTTCTGTTGATTTCAGATCATATAGATTGGCATAGTGTGTATCTAACGAGACAGTCATCCAAAATGTATCTTGGTGGTACAGTATAGCATGTTCGGAAGTGCGCGGCCCGTAAAACGGGTCTTTGTGGAGATATGAGTTCCATTAAAGGCTTCTTCCTATTCGCGATTGTATCTGCCAATCCCTTTTACTATCTAGTCATGCTAAATTAAATGAAAGAGCCATGTAAGTCTCACTTTATCAGAATCATCTGCCTCCTAACTAAGTGTAATACAAATAAAACGACGAGTGGGTTCAAGAACGATGTGACTACAATTAAGGATAAAGTGAGAAAGATGCTCACATTCGCTTCAAATATCTTCTAGCTTGCAGTCAATCCGTTCTATATTATGTATGCTAGAGCCTAATGGATTTTAGGTCTCAAATATTTCGTGCGCTAGGACGCTTTTCTCCTCGGCAAATCTCCGAACCCTGATCAAGGTACTAGGAACTGACTCACTTCACAGCTCACACCTAACCAAACATTAATTGTAGATGGACGATCACAACTTTACGGAGTAATAGCCGCTTACAAACATGGTCGCGACGCTGCTGGTTAAAGAATACCCTAGGTGGTCCGTTCTGGTCGTCTCGAAACACTGCGGAGAGATCCGCGATTGGTCAATGCCCCTTCAGTGGTTGGGTTATCTACCAGGCTATTACGGTATAAGGATAATGACACGTTCTCCAGACTACGATCAACGTCGGCCCGTGCACATGAAAGAAGGAACGAATCTTGAAAAGTGGGTTAACCGGCGAGTATGTCTGAAAACAGGACTCCCGCTCTGATCAAACGTTCGCCGATCTCGCCGCCGATCGACGGTTCTCGCCCACTCGATTGCGCTGTTGGAGACGACTATTAACACATCACTGCATCAGTGATGAACTTGAGCTTTAATGTTATAATTTTTTTTTTTTTTTTTTTGCTAGCGTCAAGTGTTCCATATGGCAGTTCGCAGAACTCATGTGGCTAGATCATGTGATCGAATCGGCATGTGGGCTATATAACCGTTGCGCAGTAACCTGCATATATGCCCCACCCCACCTTCTAGAGCTGGATTTGCCGCGGCTGCTGGCACTAGACCTGTCCTCTAATTGCTCTCGTTATGGATCTGCTAGACGTCACAATGCCCTCATATAAATGTACTTCCCGTTGGCTCCGAGAATGTAAGACCTTGCTAAACAAAACTGATGTTGATTGGTACGGGCCGAACAAATTATGGCCGGATGACTAACAAAATAGGGGGTAGGAACGGGGCTCCGCGATGGGTCGGGGGAGCTGGGAGCCGGGGTTCTGGTCCCACTTCGCGCCGCAATGTATTAGCCGCCTGAGTTTGTACGGAAATTAACTAGCTATTTGGAATACAGCACATGTAGATCACCTCATTTCGTCCATGATCTTCATATGTTCTCAATATTGGCTACCGGCCCGGCACCGCCGTCAAGTCCATCGCCGTCAACTGGTGGCGCTTGATTAATATTTTGAGTGGCTGGCTTAACGTGGAATACCGAAAAAGCGTGCTAGCATCAACCCCTAGTCGAGTATTTGCTGTCACAGTCAAGTGAAACCGGAGGTAAATGCTACACCCGATGAGACAGAAGGTGACCTCCACTCTCGGTTTAAAATCCAAGTAGGCACGATCACGTTCAAATCCGATCTAACGTATGCTGTATTTTTAACGTCGAGGGGTCGCAACAGAACCTTAACCCACTCTTCTTGTGAAGTATTACAGCGTGCTATTGGAAGTGAATCGTTTTTTTGATGGGCAAGCCTGCCAAGATAATTTCATTTACAATGATGCTATACTTAGATTGTTATTCCTTATCGATAATCGTACCTTCATTCGTCAGTTGTGGATATTCCATTCGCCTACCCTACCCTTCTCTTCCCTCCGTGCGTTGTACGATTGTATCTCCGTCCCAAAGACTGGATTAATGCTTGGAAGCCGTGGGTGTGGATATGCAGAAGTATCGCTTCGTTGGCCTCGTACTTGACAAGGCGTTACTGCCTCGTTGTCATACATTGGGTTTGCAGACATGCTACCAGCAGTGCTCATTGAACCTGTTCGCACTAGATCCGAGTGCATTGCCCGCACTTGGTGCAGTGGCATACGCATTTCCATCGCTATTCCGTTCCACATTTTCTCAAGGTGTCTAATATAGAAATAGGTTAGTGGCGTATGTCCGAAACTCCGCTAGTTCTGAACGTACCGGTTATAGGATCGAGCAAGGTCTCGCAGCAGGGCCTTCTGATCCTTTGGAGAATATCTAGACCAATATGACGTGTTGTGTCTGGCTGTTTGCTGTGGAGGTTGTGTTGGATTGGGGATATGATAGGCCGCAGCCGGACGGCATGGCCAACGTGACGATGGTGGCTCGGGTCTTTTGACCGTCGGTTGTGTTTGGAATGAATGCGAGGTGGTCTCCCACGATTGGTTTAGGGAATAGCCTTCCTCGAATTGACTTTGGTTTTGGGCCATTCAGAAATTTTCTAGATAAAGAATTGGGGCATTACAAAAGATTGAGCAAGAAGGAAATCGACGGTTCTTATAATTGCGTAGCTGGCTAACATAAATGCCTCCTAGAGGCATGGTCTGGTGGAGACGAGGTTAAATGCAGATGGGAATCGCATTTTCTTACCTCTGCATCATATAGTTGGCCATCTATATGTGGATACAGGCCCTGGTAGTAAGTAAAGAGTTTACGAATTTACCTGGTCCCGATTTGCTTAAGTATACACTGGGGGTTTTTGTATATATAGTTAGGGGGGTATCACGGATTTCCAGGTAGATCACCAAAAAAAAAAAAAAAAAAAAAAAGGAATAGGGCAAAGCAAAGCAAAACAGACAAGAAAAAGAGCCAGACGGTTAATGTTCCAAACTAGTGATGGTGGTTTATGAAAAGACTGTAATGTACAGTGGGAGTATCTATGGGAAGGACGTATTGATCTCCATACTCCGTACACTCGTGGGAAATATCCTGTGGACGGGTAGGAACGTCATTGCTAACTCTGGCGAGGGTAAAGTCCAATCAATTCGGTGTTTGCATCAATATTTTTAGCAAAAATTAAAGCCAAAGACCATTAGTGATTGATGATAGCAGGTGGATCAAGCAATTTCGGTTGGTTTTTTTTTTTTTTTTTTTTTTTTTTTTTCCCCCTTTGTTCTCTCTTGCTTTTCCTTTGATTTTCTTTTGATTTTTTCCTTTTTTTACCTCCACCCCCCTACCCCCACGCAACCCAACCACCTAGACCCCCGAGTGAAATTTTACAGGATTGATCGGCATACATTGATACAGTACGATATTTCACGCTGCTCTTCCATAGATCCTCGTACCCAATTAGAGGGCGAGAAGACGGTCTGGTGGATATACATACCGCTTAATACATGTATAGTACATGTAATGTCATATATCCCCACGAAGGATACCTACCCTTGACACTGTCTAGGCTGGGCTAGGCAACAACTGAATGAGGCCACAATACTACTAATTGTTCGTGGATTTCCAAGGGCTCCTGTTTGAGTAACAGGCCCATTCCCATACCGGAGATGATCGTTAGACCACTGTAGTATTGGCATTTCAATGTGCTTAGTCCATGTACACATATCGCCGTTTGCAGATCTAGGGGCTAGAACGTCGTTCGCAGATACAGGAGGTTAGATCAAGTGATCCACATAAGGTGATCGACTCGGGATTCAGGTTACGCAGTCAACTTGCATAATAGATGTACTGCGTGCTCCACCTTCCGTTCGACCCGGCTTCGCTTGCGTCTTTAGCCTCAAAACGTACTACTGTAATCTCCCAGATCTGCCCTTCGGATGGCGGCTAACGGAATCAACTTCAAAGCGCGAAGTGGGTCAAACAGCTCGGACCCCTTCCACGAGAGTTCCGCACCGTGCGTACCCCTTTCTCACCTGCCCAATCCATGAAACCCGACGTCCAATGTACGAACCATGATTCTATGTTCCTCTGTTCCGCTTTATGTCTATAGAGTGAACGATCCTCTACTAACTATAGTTGATCCCGATTGTGAGTGATTGTGGTTAGAGTCACGTTCAGATGTACATGTAGACCTTAAGTGGAGAAAGAGCTAGGAAGTGTGCCACGATGAACCCCTGGATATCTTAGGTAATTGCCCGAAGTCTAGAATATGGTGATAGATTGAGGGATACGATAATTCATTGTTCTGCAGCTAGCCCTTCCTTCCTCCGGCGTCGTAGTACGAAGACGTGATTTTTAGGTATCATATGACTAGCAGTTGAAGAAGCGGAATGGGAAGAAAGTTTCCCATATTAACGTCGGTCTTTCATTTAGTCGTAGTCCTCGATCTAGTTGCGCTCAAGGGCTTAGGGCATATCTCAACAGGAAAGGAGCAAAGACCGATCATCTGCTTTCATTCCATGCTAAGGAAGGCGGACGCGGAGAGAGACAGGGGGCTATTTAATCCTGTGGACAGCCAACATATGTACCCCCCATAGGACAGCCTCTATCCTATCCTTCCAGTCTGGCTCGTCCCAACAATTGTGTCCATTCTATCCTTTAATCAGTGCTATAGTTCCTCAAATCCATGTTTCCTCCTTGATTTCAATGCTCAGGGTGTCCGGCTAATACCCTACAAGGCCCTCGGTTTCGACTGAGCCGGTAGTCCTTCGACGCCCACAGCATTTGCCCATAGCCGTCATTGCTTATATTCTCCGCTGAGTTGGCCGGTATTTCGGGGCTTCCTGCGAAGTGCGGCGTTCATACTCTCTTGGCGAATGCATGGCACCCATTCAAACCGTATCGGCATGCACTCGTAGGTGCCTGACCAACAGGGTGCATGCAGTGCCTAGCAGGGTTAAGCCTCGACCACAGAAGCCGCAATCACCGTCGACGTTCGCTCGTCGGCCTGACGGCATCCCTTCGCGTATTGGTGGATCTCCTTGCCTTTTGATGGCTTTCGTCGCCGTGTCTTGTATCGTCTCCTCTTCCTAATCAGGCTTGCAACTCGCTTTGTGAGTGTCTGCTTTGATCATCTTTGCAGCTCCTCGACGGCCATTGCCACACCAATCATTTCCATGGCTGGTATCTCGGCCATAGCTGGCGGGCCTTCTTGTCGGATTGAGCACTTGAGACGTTCTTATTAACGTAGTCAGCGATCTTGGCGTTCAAGGGAGGGTCTTGCGCAATTGGTCGTACTGCTCGTGAGTTATCTTACCGGGGGTCAGCTCGCCTAGCTTCTCTTCAGCATATCTGACCTTCAAAATGTCCTGACGGAGCTGGTCGATCATTGTGATAAGCGAGCTGAAAATGACGACTGTGCTTCCGTAAGATATTGCATTGACTCCGATAACGTTGAAATACGGAGGTTTAGTCCTTTGGCCCTAACATATTCTCGAGAACAATGTTCTCGGCTCGATTGTTCCCGAGTACGCTGGACATCATCGCCTGGTAGGGGGCTTCAGCTGACCGAGGAGAATGTGAATACCGTCATCAAGGCTGGTCCACAGAAAGGCACCGACCGAGATAGCCAAAGGTCCATTATTCGTAGTTCGGGTTGTCTGCGGCTAGTCAGGGGAGATCGCTCCAGGTCTTCCAGTCGATTGAGGCCAACGTTGACAGGTTCGTTTCCTGTTCCCACAGTGATCGGTTAAAGTGATAGCTTAGCGGTTCGGGAAGTTTTTTACCGTAACGGCTGGACCCAAAGTGCCTGTGTTTGTGCTCATGTTGTTTGGGACGAAGGAATCAGGGCCCACGGGTCCACGGGTCCACGGGTCCCCAGGTGTTCCTTTACCTTCACGGGTCAGGTGACCTGCGGGTCAAGCTTCCTTTCTTTCTTGTACTGTATTCATAGCTTCCGTTCTCCGTGCAGCCACCTCCCCCAACAGTTAAATCTTTGAATTCATTCCAAGGTTTACATGTGTTTCTATCCAGTACCCAGACGAGTTACTGGACCAATTTTCGGTTGTTTTAATGGATTCGTGAGATGATTGGTGATGATGGCCTGGCTCACCAGCAGCCGAGGCCGAGTCGTAGGTCCGTTAAGGATGAAGGGTCGATCAGTCAATCTGACGATTTAGCGGGATCTCGGCAGTGCGGGCCCAGTGAGTGAGCGGCAGGAAGGCGACGATAGGAACCTCCAGAAGCTGAAGGGCTCATAACCTCTCGAATTATGCTAAAGGGGGCCCGGACGGACAGAGACGGGAGGGAATTATGTAATCTTACAAAGCCAGGCGGTGAGCGGGCTCGCCAACAGCTTTGGTATATCCCGCATATATGGATGCAACTTTTTGGCCTAAGAGGATTTTGCTCGAGTTTCTACTTGTGATTAATAGAGTTATAGAACAGCGCGTACCGGGCCGGGGTTATGAGAGGTGAGTGATTGGCCCAATAATCAAAATGAATTCTACAGTATGCGATCGCTTCCTAAGTGTACACGCTTCTGTAGCAGCTCAAGGTGATGCTGACCTGAAGATAATGAGATTGGCTAGGCAGAAAAGATAGAACTGGGCATTTCTTTGTATCAGCAAATCAGCCGTAACTTGGTAGCCTGCCCAACATGCGTTTCAATTGTCGGCAGATAACAACGGCCGTCGTAAGACACATCTATAGATTGTTTCGCACCACGTGATACCGGTTTTCCGTGCTCTCACGTGCTCCGTCGTGCCTTGCACCGGTGCCCTGCGGTACATAGGGTTCCCTGCTCTGGTGTTCTCCGCCTGCTCGCCGCCTGTAGGGTTAACCCATGTAACTATGCTGCCCAATATCTCATGCGTGTGTTTGCGCGTCTGGCCCGTCGCCTTCCCTCCTCTTTCTCCAGAGTCTGTGCACCGACGTGCCGCCACGTCCCTCTCGCTGTGGTGTGGGAGATGTCCACCATGCCTCCCTTCTACCATCACTCTGGCCTTCGATGGCGTCCGTGTCGGAGGATCGCGTGTTGTGCTCTCAATGCGCCCGTCCTTGGCAGTCCAGTCGATATAGAACCTGCTCTCGCTGCCGGGTCCTGGCACGTAACCGCCTTGCCAGATCCAGATTGCTTCCTACCATGGTGCCGCCGTCCCTGCCTGCTGCCCCCGCCCGTTCTTCATCTCTGCCGTTCGCGGGCCTGTCTGGACAGCGTGTGCTCTGTTCACGCTGTGCACGAGCTTGGCAGTCGCCTCGGTACAGGGTCTGTGATGACTGCCGCCATAAGGCTCGCATGATGCGGCGGCGACGGCGTCCGGTACCTGTAGCTGCTTCTGTGGACCCGGCCGCGCAAGTGCTGCCCGTTCTTCCTTACATCCGTGGACCGTCTATTATTCCAGTGCAACCTCTATGGTGGACACGCCTTACCCAGGCCGCAGTCCGGCCCTTCTCTCAGGACTGGTCAAAGGACTGCTCCTTCTGCGGTATTCCCCTTCTTTCTACTGAGGCTGATGGCTGGTGCTGTCGGCGAGGCCGCAGACGCTTACCTCACCTACCACCATTCACGCCAGCTGTGCAGTCTCTCCTGCACCGGTATCAAGGCCGTGTATCTGCCATGAGCCGTCGGCTCAATAACCTGTTTGCCTTTTCCGCCATCGGCACCACTGGCCAATTCGTTCGATTCCAAGGTCAGGCGAACGTGGTCCTAGAAGGCCATATCTACCACCGTTTGCTGGATGTCGCGGATACGGGTCACAGCATGCACTGGTTTCTTTATGACGAGTCCGAACGAGGTCTACGGGCAAGGGATCATGACATCCCTAATGACATTCTACATGGAATTCGCGATTTTCTCAGCCTGGTTAATCCCTATGTGCGGACCTTGCGGCACGCCGTCAGTCAGGTCCCGGACCAAACAGTCGCCCTCGCTGTTGAGCTCTCTATCCCGCCTGCGGGTGGTGAGCTCGCTGCAGTTATCACTACAGAAAATCTCCGCCGCGTGGCCCCGCGACAGGTCGTCTTTTACAGAAAAGGTGGCCAGCAGCCACGGTTCGTTCCGATCCTGTCTTGCCAGTACGAGCCGCTGCAATATCCACTTCTCTTTCCACATGGCACGCGAGGTTGGGGCTTTCTCGACGAGTCCCGGAAAAACATACCCTGCACGCAGATCCAATGGTACCGCCACCTGTTCCTGGGCAAGCCACGCATGCGGATCTATGGCCGTTTGGCGTGTGAATATGCTGTGGACATGGTCTCGCGGACGGAGGAGGAGCGCTTGCACTATCTCAAACGGGGCCGACGCATGCAAGCTGCTGCCATGGATGAGGCTCCAAATCCTGACATCCCCGATCTCGTCGAGAACAGAATCCCTGCCGGTTTCATGGGGTCCCGGGCCTGGGCTTCGGACCAGGTGGCTGACTCCCTCGCGATCGCGCGACAGCTGGCCAAGCCGTCACTGTTCCTCACCATGACGACCAACCCTAACTGGCCCGAGATTCAGTCCCAGTTGCTCCCACGCCAACATTTCACAGACATCCCTGCGGTGGTGTGCCGTGCATTCCACGGACGACTCTGTGGGCTGAAGGCCTTTATGAGGGAGAAATTTGGAGGCCTCCTGTACGAGATATGCGTTACAGAGTTCCAGAAACGGGGTCTACCACACGCGCATCTGGTCGTTAAGCTCCAACATGAATTACCTTTGAGCAAACTAGATGGCTTCATCTGCGCCGAGTTACCAGATCCGGACGAGGTCCCTGCCCTACATGCAGCGATCGGCAGATTCCACATGCACTCACAGAACCACTTGGACCGGTCCACGTCACGCTGCAACCGAGACGGCCGCTGCATTTACGAGTACCCTCAACCTATTAATAACCAGACTTACATGGATGATCTTGGTCGTGCCCATTACCGCCGACGCAAGCAGGAAGATCGATGGGTGACTCCTCATGTACCCGCCCTAATGCACCTGCTCGACTGCCATATCTATGCGGACGTGTGCTCTACAGCGACGATCTTCCTTTACCTGTTTAAGTACCTCTTCAAAGGACCCGATCGGGCGCGCTTTGGTATTCGGGCCCTCCACGATGCCCGGGCAGACGGTGAGGGCGACCAAATAGATGAGTTCAGAGACTATATGAACGCCCGTTACCTCTCTTCGTCCGAGGCTGTCTACCGCATCCTCAACTTCCATACTGTCTCCAAACGTCCTGGCGTCCGCTGCCTCTCTGTCCATCTGGAAGGCAAGAACTTAGGGAGGATGCACGATCGAAACCAACCGGGTTACTCCGAGATGAGCGACCTGTTGTGGTACTTCAAACGCCCATCCACAGAAACCTTCTCAGGCTTGAAGTATACCGAGTTCTTCAGCCTTTACTACCTAGAGACGGTGCCCCTGGATGTTCCACTACACCGAGGTCAGACCCTCATTGCTACTGTCACCACCGAAAAGGGACCATGCCAAAAGGTGTTGCGCCGTCGAGTCCGCCAGCCTATTGTCACCCGACTTCAGACCGTCCCACTTCGTCTGAAGGAAACGTTTTACCTACGCGCACTGCTCCAGGTGCGGCCTGCGAACAGCTTCGAAGATGTCCGCACTATCCGGGGTCACTGCTATCCCACATACCAGGAGGCTGCCACTGAGTTAGGACTCTTCCAGGATAACCACGAGGCCGTGTACGCGATGAATGAAGCGATCACAGCCTACAGCGCCCGTCCCAGCTCCGCTTTCTCTTTGCCCAGCTTCTGTCTAACCTTCCATTTCCAGCTGTGGAACTATGGTCCCGCTTCCAGGGCGATCTCAATGCTGACTATAGACTACGTCACCCTACAGCCCACGCCACAGACCTTGCCTTGCAGGACCTGGCACGCTATTTCTCAGCACAGGGATCGTCCTTGGCACAGTGTGGCCTACCGGAGCCCGTTCAACGTTGCGCGGAGGTGGATTTGGAACTTGCCTTCTTCCAGACCCAATAGTTATCTATCCGCGGGAGGCATAAGGAGGCCTACTGTAGGATGAACTCGGATCAGAAAGGCATCTTCGATCATCTCCTAGACCAATCGGACATTGGCGGCTGCTACTTCATCGACGGGCGTGCGGGTCGCGTCAAGACTTTTTTGATGAGCGCCATGTGTGATCGCATTAGGGCAGACGAGCGCATCGTATGCGTGACTGGAACCACCGCCCTCAGTGTGATCCATTACGAGCGGGGTCGGACGGCCCACTCGGCCTTTGGCATTCCTGTTCAGGAGTCTGACATGGGCTTGGTGTCTAAGGTCAGTCCCCAGTCAGGTCGTGCAGAGCTCCTACGCCAGGCCTCGCTCCTGATCTGGGAGGAGCTGCCGATGGCGAAGAAGGCGGTCGTGGAGTGTGCAGACCAGCTCCTTCAAGATATCATGAGGAATGACCTGCCATTTGGAGGAAAACTCTTCATTGGACTAGGGGACTTTCGTCAGGTGGCACCAGTCGTCCGCGGAAGTTCTGGGCCTACAGCAACTCTCAACAGCTCTATCCGCACCTCCACTCTCTGGAACCACTTTAAGGTCCTGCGGCTGACTACCCCGGTCCGACAGGCCGGGGATCCGGTATACGCAAGATGGGTGGACCAGGTAGGAGATGGTGTACGCCCCTATGAGACAAGTGTGCCACTGCATCACTTGCAGCATCTTGACGACCTTGACGCTGCGGCAGACTTCCTCTTCCCACAAGATTCCGTCTCTACCTCCGCCGCTGCCGTCCAGCACGCATTCCTTAGCCCGTTTAACGCGCGCGTTGATCTTTTTAATAAGCTCATCTTAGAACGGTTACCGGGGCGTGCAGGTATTCCGATTTTTGCTAATGACTATTCCCTGTAACATGATTCTAATCGCTTGACGCAACTCACCCTTCACGCTCCTCTGGCTAACCTTGCACTGCGCCAGAAACCTATTACAGTCATGATACGATTAAAGAACTAGACGATTCCACCTTCAATCTCCCCACGGGTACAGAGGCGGGTCTTCTCTCGGTATTGAACGAGCCCGGAATACCCCCGCATGAGCTCTCACTCGAAATTGGCGCCGTTGCTAGCGTGATGCGGAATCTCTCCATCGAGAAAAACTTGGTCAAAAACGTGAGGGTCCAGGTGGTTAACCTGCTACCAAATGTCGTGCAGGTACGGTTACTGCAACGAGCATGCACGCCTGACACCGAGTCGCCGACGTTCTACCTGCCACGGATCACATTCGAGTTTCGGCCTCACCGCGCGAATTGGACGGTGCAACGGCGGCAATTTCCGCTGCGTCTAGCTTATGCCACCACTTTCAACAGCTGCCAGGGACTCACGCTGGACCGGGTTGTGCTAGATCTCACCCTGCCCGTCTTCGCCCATGGCCAACTTTACACTAGCTTATCCCGCGTCCGCTCTGCCGTAGACATCCGTATTCTCCGAGACCCAAATGACATAGAGCAAGACACCATTAATGTCGTTTATCACGAATTGCTACTGCCTCTGTGACAGCAGATAATGGGGCGAGATTCGACCTTTATGCAGCCACCATGCCAACGTTCGAGATTCACATATATAGAACCTACGTTGAGAATTTTTATTTGGTCCCATAACATCGATATTTCAAGAATGAAACTCCCTACCATCCTACTCGCCGCGCCCCGTAGCAGCGGCCGAAGGCCGCGGCCAACGCGACTCGTATGGTGTAGTAAATCAAATCGATGGCAACTGCCCTTGTGCAAGATCTCAATATCCCGGGATTTTCCCGTCAAGCTATGTAGAAGAAGAAGATAGGTCGAAAGAGATCTGATAGAGATCTATTTTGGCATTTTCCCTGAGACTTTGACCGTTGACCGACTTGGGTGCCAATCTATTTACTACGCAGAAATATCGACGAGTCCGAATGTGGTTTATGATCAAAATATACTTGTTCAAGGAATGGTGCGATAGATCGACGTTTAGTGATGCAATATGGACAGCTTCGCGACTATCATGGGAACCCCATATGTAAAATATCGATCGGTACTCGCAAATTTTGAGAGGTGCCAAACTGAACAGCGAGCATAGTCTTAATCTACCTTGGCATCTACAATCGCCAGCACCTCATTGGCTAAAATAGTCAGATAAATCATAACGAGCTATCCTTTATATTATCTTTCCCCGTAAGCTGCCGACATAGTCAGCGCTGCAGGCATCTATCATGATGGTGCCACTGAAGTCAAGTCTTGAGCGCCCTCTGCTCAGGCTAAGTCCAGATCATATGAACATATACCACTCCTTTGTCGAAAGACCTTCGAAGTCATCCATCCACGATAGAGCGGCACTTTGTCTTTCACCGGTTACCAAGGAATAGATGATGTATTGTTACCATTCTGTAAGGGTTTAACCACTTGCGGGAATCTTCTTTCTTGAAGGCAACCCGGTGTGCGGTGGAGATATATATTTTCAATGCGCTGTTCTCTACAATCTACTCTACTATATGGTTTATTATAGATCTAATTTTTATAGTTTATTACTAGTTGAATATCCTATAATAATGACCAATATCAAATTGTAAAATTTCACCAATTGCTGAGTTTCATGAGATAGCAGAAACAGCATACATGTATGAAAATGCTTCTGTTGATTTCGATCGCTATCGTTATGGTCGAGTGATACTGTAACGTGTTTAATCGTGTGCATGAGTTGTCATGGGTTCGAATCTGCGTATGCTCCCATTTTTTGAGCTTTACTAAATTTACTAAATGGACCTCCATTTCACAAGTCCGACCCTCTGCTGGAGCTTTTATTAGATTTTACTATACGGCGTTTACGCTGCTCCTGACTAGGAAATGCGTGTAAGTTCTGAGCAAATCTGTATTGGGCTTTAGCACTGTGACCATCTATCAAACCTCGGCGATATGGTGTACCACGATTCTTCATCGGACAACCGAAAGAACGTGAACATGATGATCTGTTTTCGATCTCGCTGTTCTGTACCCTTGATGGTGCCTGTCGGTCCTCCTTCGAATCTACCCGCTATCAGCATCTTCTCGTCTTCTCGAAGATGCCGACCTCTCTAAGAGAAGACGCCAGTGACCGCCGCAGACATCAAAACCAAGTCCAACAACAAAAAGAAATCGGGTAGTGGCATTGCTAATACACCCGCAAAAGAACTCACAAATTCATTACCGAGAGTGAGCGCTGAAGCTACTGTATCCCAGCAGATATGATTTCTTGTTAGATTTTGCGTTCTTACTGAGCTGTTCTTAAACCCTTTGACCATTAAATTTAATTTTGCAATATAGTCAGCTACGTTTGGGGAAGCGTTCATCCATTGTTCCGGCCTGGATCGGTATGCTTCTGTTATTCGCAGCGAATGGTCGAGTACAGCGGCAGCCGCAGCCAGGTAACCTTGTCAACCCGAGGCGTCCGGCCCGAGGCAGCCACTCTGGTCAAGAGCAATACTTCAACGTTGCTGGGAAGGTGGAAAAGTAAGAGTTGCGGTTGCAAATGCTGAGGGGGCTGGTAATCAAAACGTTTATTTACCAGATCGCATGGGAGGGAGGACAGTGGTGACTCATTGGGGTAGTTCGTTCCAGCGGTCAATTATCTTCTAGCCAAACAAACATTTCATCGTACTTGTTCTGTCGGTCTGGCCTGACCGTCGTGCTACCAGTGCCTCCAGAACTTGCCAAGGGTCTTGAGTAACGCAGGGGTCGGTAAGTCTTTCCGAGTTGATAATGGTTTTTGCCCTGCTTTCTAAGGACAACTGTGGTTTAACACTAGAAATTCGCTGGGTTGTAGCCAGTGTTTACGCACACTTACCCAACCGACCGGCAATCAATGCGCGAGCTAATCATTCGCACAATAATAAAGATGTCATCCAATCTTCATCCTTGGAAGCTCACGCTTCTCCACTATATGGATCCTTTCAAATACAAAATGTTTCAAGTTATTGATTGCTTGTAAGGAGCAAGGAGAAATGGAATAATATGACGACCACGACTACCACTACCGCATTTTCGCTCACGCAACATCCCTTCCAGTAAAAGATGATTTGGCCTTCTGACAAGCTGGCTCGCCTATGGCCTGTTGCTATGCACTGTGCCGAGTAGAGTACGTCTCATTCAAAACTGTCATGGCATGCGCATCCTCCAAGTTGAAGTGGTCCTTGTGGAACTCTAGGTCTCCGTTGGTATTGACAAGAGCCCAGAAATTCTGTCCAAATGCCAACTTTATAGAGCAGGACTATGACAGTCAGTAATGTCAGTACTTAATGAAGGGTGGGTAGCCTTACAATGAAGTCAAGCTCATGTCCCTGATTAGGTAGAGGTCTTGCTAACGCAAAGTTGTCACCGCGGTGATGGCCAATGAATTTAAGTTTGTTGCGTTTAGCTCCCCCGCAACATCCAACTAATGGAGGGCCTGTTACACCGCGGAGCCACCAACAGCCAAACAATCCTAGGAGCTATGCATTAGCCCCGAGTCACGTGCAACACCCGTCACCTGGCCTCCCTTTGGGGAAGAGCTCCTTCTCCGCTTATCGAAGAATCATCATCAATCTGTCTTTCTTCTCACTACTTACCACCTGAGGATTCAGCCATGTCTGCTCAAGATATCCTTGAGAAGGAACCTTCTGGCCGGAGTGAAACCCCTCCCCGGTACCAAGACAGATGCTCTCCTTGATTCACCGCTTGGAAGAACTCGACGACGACCAACAGTTGCGACAACTTCTTGATCACTCTTTCTCCGATGATTGGGACATTCGTCATCTCTCCGGGGTGATGATTGATGCTATCAGGTCAAACAAAATCTGGCTTGTTCGGGAGCTACTCCGTCGTAACTTGCCTATGTCACCAATTTATGTCCTCGAAGCAGTCAAGGCCAAGGCGAAAGACATTCTGTCAACCTTCTTCGCAAAAGCCTGGGATATCAACAAGCCAATGGGTAGAATGGACCCGCCCCTCCTTCCGTGAACAAAACTGTTCCCTTTTAGGATTACCACTTAACTGACCTTATTTACTTCTAGCAATGCGCTCGAGGACTGGGAGATGACCATATGGCTCCTTGATCGTGGAGCGGATCCAAATGTACGTTGCGATATTGATTACTCACCTCTTTCTTACGCCGTCAAATACGCCGATCTGCCAACCATTGATCTTCTCCTGCGCCGTGGCGGTGATGTCAGGAAAGGTCAGCTTGTGCATAATGCTATTTACCGAGAGACTGAAACCCTTGAAGTGGTTAAAATCCTCATAGGTAAAGGTGCTCCTTTCAATTCGCTCATGTACCAGGACCATCAAGCTTCTTGGGACATGTTCCCTTTCATGAGGGAAACTCCCTTGCACACGGCATTGGCTCTCAAAAGAGATGACGTTGTTCAATACCTTATCCGCAAAGGAGCGAACGTGAACATTGAAAATTACAAAGGGCAGACAGTTATGCAGTGTGCAGATGAGGACACCAGAAGACGAATTGTGCAAGAGATACAAATTCGCAGCGGGCTGTCCGCGTCTTTGTGACCTTCCTCTCCCCCCTGGGCGACGGGTTCATCCGTGTTGCAATAAAGTATTCATCATCAATTAACTCAAGTCGCCATATTGATAATATTTGCTTGGTCGTGTACTCTTTGCCCTTGTCTCTTGTCACCGTTTACAATGATGTAAGGGTTGGACTAGTGCCAGATATTAAAACCTACAAGCTCTGGAAGAGTCATAATACAATGGACAGCGAAGTCCGGTATTTTCTGTTCAGCAAAGGCCTTGTGTTCCCTTCCGATACATTGTCGTGGTATCAACCTACTTGATGTATTGTACCCCTGAGCTCCAGTTTTCGCCCGCATCCCATCACATATCGCTTTTCCGGGACGCATACCCCAGCGGCCCTTACGTGCGCGGAATTGACTAAACCCATTTTTTTATACATGCATATGGGTGCCAGGCATTGTTCTCCCTATATTCGCATTCGCTAGCCAATACGCTGCGGGCGGGTCATCCGCTCGACAGGTGAGCTGCAGCGCTCCTTCGCGACGACGTCTCGGCCACACCCTCATGCTTCGCCACCTGGCCAAAGCCTCGTCGAGCCTGTGACTCTTCCCTCCTCCTGTTCTGAGACAAGTACCTGCGGGCCCAAAACATGGCCTGGCATTGTGGGAGGCAGTTTCTTGGTCACTCGCAATCATGTCGCCCAGTCAGCTAGAGGCTTCCGCATGCAAGCGCCCATAGCTCATGGCCCCCATGCGTGTCTCACTGGCCAGGACCTGTTGTTGTGGCCTGACCTTGTCCTTTTCAGCTTGCCTCCGTCCTTATACAGTTGGATGCAGTAAATATGAATCTATCTGGGGGTTGTTAGGTAATAGCGCTAGTCCTGTATGGCAACTGACAAGGTTGCGCCCTTTGTCCGACAGTGATACACCCGCCTATCTGGCAGCGTAGTGCGCTTCCCTCCGCATCATGGCATCCCACACTACCCTCGACAGCCCCGACTACTCTGAACTCGCCTTGATCGCTACTCTTCCCATCGAGCGGGCCCTGCAGAAGCGATGCTCGATGAGGAACATGCAGCTCCAACGGGTTTCACTGGACCCCAAACCGACGCGAACGTTTATATGTGGGGTCACGTGGGAGAGCACAACATCGTCATTGCCTCTCTCGCTTCTGGAGTCTACGGGACCACCTCGGCTGCGACCACGGCCTGCTTGCCTCTCTGCCATCCATTCTCGTTGATTTTTTGGTCGGCATAGGCGGCGGCATCGCTCGACCGGACGACGACCACGATATCCGGCTAGGTGACGTTGTCGTGAGCCAGCCCTGTGGGACCACGGGCGGCGTCTCTCAGTACGACTTGATCAAGGCAAAGTCTGGTGACAAGCGTGAGCGCAACGGTCCTCAATGCGCTTAGCAGAATCCAGGCCTACCACGAGCGGAAAGACTCCATGGTTCCCTTCTCATTTCAAAAATTGCTGGAGAAGAACCCGAAGATGGGCAAGAGATCCAAGCAAAAGTCCTGGCTATACTCACTAGGGCTTCGACAACGACCGCCTCTTCAAAGCTCCATGCGACCACATCCCCGGCCCGGACTGTCGGGGCTGTGACACGGCTGATGAGATTCAACGCGATACTCAAGACACCATCGATCCCGATATCCACTATGGGACTATCGTATCCGGCAACATACTCGCCAAAGACGCTGCTGCTCGCGATCGGATTGTTGCTGACCTCGACGAGGATTGCATCTGCTTTGAGATGGAAGCAGCCGGGCTGATGAACCACTTTCCCTGTCTTGTGGTCCGAGGGATCTGCGACTACACCGATTCTCACAAGAACGATCGATGGCAACGCTACGCCTCGGCGACCGCCGCTGCGTATACAAAGGAGCTTCTGACGTACGTGCCGGCTGCAGAGGTCAAAGAGACCAAGAGAGCACTGGAAGTGCTTCAGCTAGGTTAGATCTTGTTTCATTCACTAGCTAGACTAGCAAGTACACGAGACCGCATTACATTGAGATTGGCATACGTCCTGACTGCGAGTAGTTAAACGACATATTAATAGCGTGCAGCAGACGGCAGTTGCAACGAAAGCTGTAACTGATTCCATCAGGTCTGACCTTCGCACCGATGAGATCGGGCGCTGGCTTTGTCAGCCGGATCCGCCTATAAATGCCAACCACGCGAGGACACTCCGCCATGAGGGGACTGGCGCGGTGGATCCTGGAAAAACCCGTCTTCAAGGCGTGGCACTCGCGGTCGCGTCGACATTTATGGCTGCACGGGCTTGCGGAATGTGGAAAGACGGTTCTCAGTTCGACTGTGCTTGATCATGTCGCGAAGGAAACCAATGGTCTAATCATCAGTTTCTTCTTTGACTTTAGCAACTCTGCAAAGCAGACATTGGATAGCATGCTGCGGTCGCTTGCTTTCTAGCTTTACCAAGGCGGGGTCGGCTCTGCTATTCATCTTGACGCATTATTTGTAGCTTATGATCATGTATCGATACGGTGTTGTTGTTCGGTTTGAAAAATTGAGGCGATCATACGCAGCAGTCAGGAAATGGCGACTGGGAATTCAGGCTCTGGATTGATCGCACGCTGGTAACAAGGTGGGTCGTGAACAAACCCCAGTTACCGAACCTGTGAGGTCTTGACGGTGGTTTTCTGGGACATCAATTTTAGTGAGGCAAGGTGGACAGTGCATTTGCGCTGTATCCCGCGGCCGTCCCCCAGCTGCTCACGCAGGCTGCGTAGACATCTCGTCTGCAATAAAATTGGTGACCTTCAATTATGACAAGCCATTCAAGAGGTTCGGGCCCGCTTGCACCCTTCGTCATCTTCATGCTCATGTGCTCGTTTAACGTTTTGGTTGATAATATTATGTCTATTTGGAACATGAGGCGGAATATTTCTAACTGACAGTTCAGCAAAAATTCGTTCCTGGAAGGTCTCGAAGGGTCTGAACGGGATTTGCCTGCGTTCGATGGTAGGGAAATTTGTTTGGATTGTGGCAGCCGCTGGGTTGTCAAGCATTCTTAGAAAGTCGGAGGTGATTTGAGCCTCGTAAAGATGAATAAATTCTCGATCCATCGGGCTTGCTATGAGAAGACGGGACTTGTGTATGTGAGCCAGGGAAACAAAACGGTGAAACCTATGACAATTTCGACGGCAAGGAGCACTAACCGAATGACTTGTTGGCCTCGATGGCTTCAGACGGTGCTCCTGAAGTTGGGCAAGAGATAGCAGGACACACACAAAGTACGGATCTTCTTTCCATTCCTTTGGGGTGACACGAGCAAGCTTCTTCTTGGAAAGTGGCGAAACGGCGTAATCAACGCCTCCGTCATGATGGCGAGGCTGAAATTTGTGCCAACGAGTACCACTGACGTTTGTGTAGTTCAAATAGCCAATCACCGGTAGTGGTTCTTGAGAGACAGATCGGTCGGGTTGGTCGCGGCGATAAAACACGGTGTAATGAGGTCGATGAACAGGATGACCCGCGAAAGTGAAGTAAGGCCCTTTGCTATTCCCGTAATTTGTTAACGATAGATAATAGAAGCTATCCGTGAGCACCAAGTCGTATCTCACCTGCGTTTGTCGAAGATGCTTCCCTTGGATAGCAGAATGTTTGTGAGAGCGTTTAATTTCCCTTGGAGCGAGAAACTCCTGGCAAGTGACCGCGCTTCGGACTCCCCTTCATTAGGTTTCCCCTGGAAGGGCTGTTGGTCGTCGCGAGTGTCCTCCCTCGAAGGGGCATTGTAAACATGTTGAAATCGACATCCCATCAATTCCAAATGGCGGGAGGTCCAGAACAAAGGTTTAACCAAAAGTTCCTGATGACGGTGCATAAGGTCAGCGAGCGATATCACACCGTCGCTGGCTGACATGTTGGAACAAGTCATGGCATGGTGAACGAAAGTAAAGGGGTGGTTTGTAACGCTGACGCCTTATGAGCGTGTCGTGACCGCCCGTCCTGACCGCCTTCCGGTTGTAAATTTGCACGGTTTGTGGGGTTTCTTTGGCACCACATGTCTCCCCATTCGACACTCGCGAACGGGCAATTCATGCTAGTTTGGTTGATTCTACTGGGTCTTTACAGTATTACAAGAGAAACAGAGCACTGTATTCTTAATGTCGGACTAAGGATTCTTTTACTACTGACTCTGCCATCCCAACCTGTCGTGATTTGCCAAACCGCTCTTCACTACCTGTTGCAATAGTGAACTTTATAATTACCGTTTCCTCCACTTCATGCGCTAATTGATCACCGGCACCGAAAAACAAACTATCCCAACTAGGATGAGGCTCTTAGGCACCTACAATAACCAACCCCACCCACTCCTCTCCCTCTCCTTCTTTCCCCCCGCCGAACTTTGTAATCTCACCACTCTTCGACCTCGGAAGAGGTACGCAGGCACCTGCAAAATGACCAGCTCGTACTTTAGCACTATCACCAACGAATCGGCCTTTAAGGCACACTTTCAACAGGATCTTGGGAAAGTTTTTTCCGACGTCAATCTCGTCGCCGCGAGTGAATGGGGGCGTGATCATCTGTTCGCATGTCGTGTAATCCGGCGAGAGACGCAGCGCTCTGTTCTTCCGATTTTGTCTGAGTATACAAGGCCATCAGATTTGAAGTCCTCATCCGAAATCATCAACTTTGTGAACGGTCCACAGGACCCGATGTACATGGCTCAAAGCGAGCACCGACTCGTACGGAAGTTTGACTACGGGATGTCTCTTGGACAGATCTGGGCGGCGTTGGCGATGTTCAAAAGTGGCCAAGGGCGTCGCGGAAAAGAAATCCTCGCCGGCTCTGATGACGAAACGGATGAAGGAGAAGAAAGAGCAAAGCGGCCCAGACGAAGCACCCTCCAAGAAGATTACATGGATTCACGCACAATTCAAGTTGGTTCCAGCAGTCCACAGGAGATAAGCTCCCAAGAGACGTCTTCTGTCGGTTATGTCGACCCCGAATCACACAGGCTCCTGGCCTCACCGGAAGACGAAACCTTACGGCTTGCATCGTGCGTAATTCGACATATCTTGTACTTTGGTGCCCCTCAGGATTCTGTGGATTTGCGAACCGTTGTCGAATTCCGAGATGCGAAAGTGAGAATGGCTGCATATACCCCCATACTGAAGCGGAAGATAGTAGCCATCGATGACGGAGGCCTCTGCTTAAGGAAGGAATTAAACGGTTGTTTTTCACTCTTCAAAAATCACCTGGCGATCTTGGAGGGCAAAAGACAATTTCAATGTCTTGAGAATGGCCGGCCGGTCATATCGGATAACTGTCTCGCCCAGATGACTTGCGAAGCTCTGGTAGTCAGCATCGTCGATCCGTTCAACGAATTGCAGCCAAATGGGTATTACTTTCTTCTCTTATAACATCTAACCCTTTTGGAATCAAGGTAATACGCATACTGACAACATGGCAAAGAGTTATAGTAATTAATGCTACGCAGCACTATATGTGCTTCGTCCACTTCGAGATCAGTGAGGAATATCTTTTGGATCTTGAGTCGCCTTCGCCCAGCGCCTTTCTTTATGTGAATTCCACACCTTGGTTTGACCTTGATTCTCCGTCTGGGAGGAGGCAGGTGGTCTCCAACCTTTGTGGTTTGATGCGCAGGGAGCTCTATGCCTGATTGTTACCTTTTTTGCTCTCTCATTGTGGTTCTCACCTCCATATATCTTTATAGCTCTAACGAAACCCGCCTTTATATATTACTGCACGATTAAACACAAGCACAATGTAGTACGGCTGCTCTGGTCAAGAGCAACAATACAACATGACTGAAAGGTGGAAAGTAAGAGTTGCGGGCAGAAAATGCTGAAGGGCTGGTAGTCAAAAATGTTTATTAAGCAAATTGCATGGGAGGGAGGACGGTGGTGATTCAATTTAGTTTATAGACAAACAAATATTTTTTTCCCTCGGTCCGGCCTGACAATTCGATGTACCTATTCATATTTGAGATGCTATCCTCTTTGGGGTTCAAATTGAGCAATTACAAATAACTGTTTATTTCAAACCCTAATTGAGCAGATTGTTCATTTCGTTCAATCTACCACTCCACTCTCCTCGCCATTACTTGATTGCCTGTTTGCTCCCATTCAATTTTGCAGCCAGTACCTTCAACCATTCGCCCCATCCCCTAGGGTGATACGTTCAAGCTGTTATCAATTTTGCACTTCGAGCGCCTGGGTACACTGAGCAATGCAGTCGATATCATTGATTTGTCGGTTGCCGCCGAAATGGGTGATTGCGTAGCCGCCGATCACGGCATATCTGATGTTGTTGTCGTCGAGAGATAGGTGCAGGAGGATGGCTGCGTCGTTAAGGCGGCCGGTTAGCATGGTGGAGTGGATGAGTGGGGATATTGTAGATTAGATCTTGTTTGCTTGGGTTATCCAATTAGAGATGATGGAGAGTTGATGTTTGAATCAATGACAGGAAACATAATGGTTTTTATACTTGAGCAGCCCACGCTGATCAACACGTCCAGACAATGGCATTGTGTGATTCTTTCAACTCGGAAATTTCTTTCTCTCTTTTAAGTACTATATTTAAACCCAATGTCCGAGAACCAACGGGCCCAATCTTCCAGAAGACGCCTATTTTAACCTGGTTCTTTGAATGATCATTCAAGCAATACCTTTGTTCCCTTTTTTCAAACAGGCCAAATATGGATTGTGGGTATAACTCATGTCCCACATCCATGAATATGTCATCGGATCAATTTAAAGAAACATACGATGTAGATCATGAGAAGAACGATTAATCAGTCTCCTTAGTTATCTCTAGTTAAACATGACATTGGTGACATACAATTCCCTACTAACGCCAAAAGCGGTATGACTCTCCCACTTGCTATCAACCTTAGTTAATCAACTTCGACACACATCATATCAGCAACAACATTATAGCTACATCTCATCCAAGAAATCACCTCAACCCAAGTCTATGCCAACATCATCATCATGCTCATAAAGCTCGACGACCTCTCCTCCCCAGAAATCCACTCCCTTCTATCCCTCCATATCACAGACCTCCAAAGCAAAACCCCCTCCGAATCTTGCTACGTCCTCGACCTCACAGCCCTCAAACACCCCTCCATCTCCATCTACTCAACCTGGGAAGGCAATGAATTACTAGGGTGCGGCGCACTCAAAGATCTCTCGCCAACTACCGGCGAAATCAAATCCATGAATACGGCCACGGCACATCTTCGCAGGGGTGTTGGGCGGGCTATCGTTCAACATATTATTGATGAGGCGAAGAGCAGGGGATATGTTTCTCTGTATTTGGAGACGGGGACTGGTGAGGAGTTTAGAAGGGCGAGGGAGCTTTATGGGGGATTTGGGTTTGGGGACTGTGAGGCTTTTGGGGGGTATGTTGCTGGTGGTGATAATTGTTTTAGGACGTTGGTCTTGGTTTGAAAGGACCAGAGGCTGATTAGAACATTGTGTATAGGTCATACGAGGATGTAGAGGTAGAGGGGAGAAGCTATCAAGAATATCGAGCTACAACCAGGTATACCTACCCGCCTACCTGCCGCCTGCATACTCATTGCGCCACTAGTTCGTCTTGTACTCGTCAGTATGGAAGCCGATGATGTCGCTACCAAGAACACCATCAAGCAACTGCTTTTGAACAGGTAGGCCTCTCCAGAAGTCATCTGCTGGGAAGGGGGTGTGAAGAGAATAGCCTATAGGACACCTTTTGTTTTGCGCGCATAGGCGACCGCGCAGTAATTGTGGTAGCAGGAGTAGGTGATAATCGTGCACCCATATTAAGTCACCATCCGCCGCCTCCTCACTTATTCGATCAGCGAAGATGCTATTAACACGCTGGTACGCGTCCCACGTCTCGTTGTCGAAGGAAACTTCCGATTGATAATGTAGCGTAGGCCATAAAACACCATCTAAATATGCTTGGTCAGCAACTTGGTCGGTAGAGCCTAGAATATAGGAGACGTACTGGAGAATCCATTGTAATGATTCTGAGCCAAACTCTCGTCTAGATATACTGCAGCGGCATTTTCTTTGGCTAAGGCTTCATCGACACTACCTCTGTCCCGCTCATTGATTTCAACCCCTGGCCAGCCTAACCACAGGTAGTCGGCATAACTTAAACCCTTTAAGGCGGTCACCAAGCCCCCGCTTGACGGAATTGCCTCGTAAGTGCCGTTCTTGGGCTTCACGGAAAGTGGAAGGCGGTTTGAGGCAATTATGAGCTTCCGCTGGTTTTGAGCATTGGGCGTCATTGTTTTCATTTTCGATCAAAATATTAGCATACCTTGAATGAAGATTTTTGTTGCCCGGACGCATATGAGGATTTGTATTCAGTGCAAATGTGCAACCCCAAGCCTGCTTTGGAGCCAGCGCTTTGTAAAGCTTGGCATATGTCATAGACAAAGAATCAAATAATTCAAGCATATCTTTTATATGCAGTGAACCAATCTGAACAACCCAGAAACGCCGCCATCGAAACCTGCTCATGCCCACTGATGGCCCTTAGCCCTCTAGATAAGAATATTAGCTGGGTATAGACAGGCCACCTTCAATCTTGGCAAGGAATTATAATTGTGTTCAGTTCCTTGATAGGTTCTTTTGACAATCCCGTTGTTTCGGAAGCCAATATGACGTATGCTATTTGCCGTACATTCCGGTGCTCCGCAGGTGTCCCGCTCCAATGCATCGATGAGTGAGATTGCTTAGAAGGTTCGTCACAACCCGCAGCAAGCCCCTCCATCGCCAAGAATCAAAACAGTGGATCGGCTCAGGTCTTAATGCAGATCAGACAAAAGAGAACCCGATCCCGAAATCCAAACGGGTACTCATATTAGGCTTGCAAGCAACAACGTCTAATGCACATTTGTAATATGATCCCGAATCTAATGTAGGTCCCCACTGCCACACAGCCGCCTACTATGTTTAGCGCAGTTGAGCTCTACAAAGTTTATTCGCTCACCTCGGATAGGCATGAGAGGCTGTCGGCCTTGCTGGCGTGGACAGACTTATCCAATAAGGTTCCGAAAGCGAGATGAGGTTGCAAGATGTTAAGTGCGCTTGTCCTGCTTCCGCCCCACCGTTGTTTTCAACCCAGGTGTCACTAATTTTCGTAAGCCGTTTCTCCTACCGTTCAACACGCCCACAGAAACATCTAGTAGTAGGCACTACATCCAAGGCAGGTGGGGCGATAGTAGCGCATGAGTTTTGAGGCGCCAGAAGTGTTATCGATCAGCTCTTAGCAACTCATCTGGGGTTTGTGATCCATCCGCTAACGGGACAGTAACTGATACCAGGCTGAGGCAGCTTGATGGATACTGACGTATTATCGACTCAGATTGCGATAAGGGTGTTTCGCTAAATAGAGACGTGAGAATCGCATGTTACCCGCGGCCAATTATAGGACACTGATGTGTGAAGCAGGTGGAAGTGGGCGGATGTCCTGACTTGCGCGCTTCAGAATGGGCGGGAGACACGTCATTGTATTGGTAGGTAAATAAAACCTTGTTTTGTAGGAGACGTAATCAGGCATTGCCAGGTTCAATGAAGTGGGACCGTCGTAGAATAAAATGTTGATAACCATATAAGTAATCCTGTCCGCAGAGGGAAGCAAGCAGAAGAAATATAGCTAGTAGGCTCTACAACGCGTCTTGGGCCATTTTCGACTCGCTTGGCTTGATTTAAAGCGCCGCTTCACATCGGAACAGTACATCGCAATTGCGGTTACAACTCTGTCCCTCTATCCGTATACTGTTCGCTTCTGCTCAGCTATGTCGACTTCGGCGACGATTATCTCTACATCTGGTAAGCAGGCTTCTACCAATGACCAAGTGGATTTTCTAATTCAATTTCCTTATTAGCTATCCAACATCCGGGACCCTCAGTCCGTCTCCGAGAAGAATATGCCCGTCTGAAGAGTTTATTTACCATAGGACCTACCATGCTCAAACAGATAACTAAAAGATTTGTTCATGAACTTCACATCGGTATGTGATGGTCACCCTGCAGATGACCGCCTCCCTCATCAAGACCAATGTTGACATAGCATAGGCCTCAGTGACAACGGAAGTGATATAGTAAGCCCGCGTCGCACCACTCTGCCTGCGCCGAGACTAACCATTTGCTGTGCCTCTATAGCCTATGAATCCCACTTGGGTAATGGCCCTTCCGACTGGAAACGAGAGAGGGGTATTCCTCACCATGGACATGGGAGGCACAAATTTTCGAGTTTGCAAGGTTGAGCTTCTAGGCAGTGGTAAATACACCACTACGCAGATGGACGCAAAGATACCCGAGACAATAAAGTCTGGAACTGCTCAACAGTTGTGGCTCTTTATTATTCAATGTTTGCGGAAATTCGTGGATTACCATGAAATTCCGACTGATGAGCTACAGAAGATCCCTCTGGCATTCACATTTTCTTACCCAGTCACACAGACATCGGTCACAAACGGGATCCTCCAAAGATGGACAAAAGGTTTCGACATTAGTGGGGTCGAAGGACATGATGTTGCTGCTGAACTTCAGCGCGCTTTGTACGAAAATGCAAGTCTACCATGCACGTCTGTACAGGACTTACTGCTTACTCAAGTCTTATCTAGGGTTTGCCTCTTGAGATAGTAGCATTGGTTAATGACACAACTGGTACTCTCATGGCATCTTCGTACGTGGATAAGGACACCTAGCTTGGAAGTATTTTTGGGACTGGAAGCAACGCAGCATATATGGAACGGTGTTCGGAGATGCCAAAGCTTGCCGAGCATTGCTTTCCTCGTGGTGCCTGCATGGCTATCAACTGCGAATATGGTGCTTTCGATAACAGTGGCACTGTGCTGCCTTTCACCGAGTATGATGAAATTATTGACTCCTGTTCACCACGACCAAGACAGCAACGCTATGAGAAATTAGTCGCCGGGTTTTACCTTGGGGAAATATTCCGTCAGGTGCTTGTCGATATGAGTACCAAACGGAGAATGATATTTCAGAATCAGGACATCTCCCGACTGAAGGGACCATATACGTTGGATTCTTCCTTTCTTGCAAGGATAGAAACTGACGATAGCGACGACCTGCACGTCTCGAAGGCCTTAATCCAGCATGTACTTTCTATTTCCCCTTCGTCAGACGAATTGTACTTTTGTCGTCTGCTCGCTGAATTGATAGGAAAGCGCGCAGCCAGACTATACGCATGCGGTATAGCTGCAATCATGAAGAAGAGATCCCTGGGGAAATGTCATGTGGCGGTTGACGGCTCGATCTTCAACAAATATCGCGGTTTCCATGAAAGGGTAATGGACGCTCTTGGGGAGCTACTTGATTGGCCATGCAATCCTCATTCCGAAAGTGTCAAAATGATTCCGGCAGTGGATGGCTCGAGCGTGGGTGCTGCTGTTATATGCGCATTAACGTCCAGCTCATCGGGAACAGGGCCCAAATGACTCTATTTCTTTTCATCCTGCTGCGAACTTTCTCATTGTTCGTCGTTTATCTTTTGCTACTTGGCAAAGTATGGCTTTTGCAAAAGACAGCCTATTTCATGTGGCGCCATAGAATGAAGGAGAGCGTTTGTACTGTAGAGTCAAGAGTCACATAGTGGGGGTACCTGTATGGCGGGAGCGGTTACGTGTATCTACCGAAAATAAGAACAAATACAAAGGAAGCTGGCAGAATATGGTAATATGCCCTATGTATCATTCGCCATGGATTTCACATGCAAAGTAGGGAAAATTGGTGCTTACAGTAATACAAAATCCCGGAAAGAGAGCAAAATCAGCAAAAGGCAAGAAATGTCTGTTCTCTGTACTGTAGAGCATTGAGCCATAAGAAATGCTACTACCTCAGGGCTGATTTGAGGTATAAGGAGTGGGCTCCAAAGCGTGATCTCTGGTTCTTCAAATTTGGCACCACAGAATGTACGAAATCGGCGTTTGCTGAGGATAAGAGAGACTAACATAGCGGAGCCCCGGCGCTCCAGACAGTTGCGCAAAACTCCTATGGCGACAGAGCCAGCTATCTCAATGGGTTTTGACGAGTTACAGGGAGGTATTTGGCATTGGGGCCATTGGAATTGACATCCAACCATACTGGAAAAGAGCCATTTCAATGGCCAAAGGAGACCAGGAACCCGCATGAGCGTAGATGTCAGAGTGGCCCCGCATGGCCTTACCGCCCATCTTGTTGGGAAGAGCTTAATGCGTGGTGAGGCCGCAGTTGATTAGCCTGTAGAGACCGCCCTGGGGAGTTCGCGCGGGCTTTACGACACCCCAATGGGGCGGTCTCGACGCACTGTTTCCGATAGCAGATGTAAACACCACTCATGATCCAGGTCGAGGAATCTCGCTGGCCCCGGCCCAGCTGCTCCAATGAAGTTGTGGGGCGAGTTGGGGCCTGCCATGGACGAGGAGCGGCGGAAGGCCATGCGCTTCGCAGGTGAGTTGATCATCCCCCACCCCCGACACCTGAGAAGGGCTGGACAGCCCACCGTAGGACAGCAGGGCTCTCTCGCTGAGATGGCCTCTCCAGCGGAGAATTCAGTCAGGCCAACAGACTCTTGATTCCTACAGCGGGCATGCAATTGATACCTCACCGAGGGAGAGAATGCCGCCTGAGAAGGGGAGATGTGGAGGAGAGAAAGAGAGTGAGAAAGCCAATTGAGCGCTTCAGTGCAATTGAATGAGATAAGAAAGGTAAGCAAGTTGGAACGCTGGCTATAGTATAATGGAGTGGCATTGGCATGGGGCTCAATTCAATAGATGACGGACCGCCGCAATGCTATGTAATGGTAGCACCTCATCAAGTTGTGAAAACATGGACCGTCAACGTCCCGAGAAATTACACCTCCAGTTTTCTCGCCGATGCCGCAACCCATAAGATTGTTCCCAAGCGCTGTGTAGGTGCTTCTGATGGCTACAGGGCCTGTAATCTCCATACCGTCGCTCCGCCTCTCTCCTCTGTGTCTCCATGATCTCGAAACCGGATGAGTCTCATGGGTGGACTGAGACGATGCCTAGGATGCGGCTGGGGCCTTTATCGAGCCTTTGGATGCCCCGGCGTACGTGGCTCTCAGATACGGAGGAGCGGATCGATGGGGGGGTGTTTCCCGAGGGCTGTCGAGATGCCACTGTTGCTGCAAATCGCGGAGAGTGAGCGGCCGACCTTCCTCAATAGCTTGCTGAATGTTATGAATGAAGTACATCAAGGAGGTTCTTAGCTTGAGCATCAAATGAGCAGGTTCGTTGCAAGATATAACTATCTCTCCGAGGTGGAACAAGCGATTCACATAGTAGCGTAAGAAGGTAGTTCTCGTCGGCAAATCGATTTCTTTTCGTTGTAGGAAAGCAGTTCACCAAAGGGAAGCTCGCTGTACGTAAGGCAAGACTGGCAGTTGGTGCGCATCCCTCCGTGCCGGAAAGGTGGGATGAGGCCAGCGAGCCATTTATGGGGATGCGCGGGCCTTGACCGCCCGAACCTAGACGCATCTTCCTGTCGAAGTGGACACCAAGCCACCGTAGAGGCTGGCTGATAGCCTGCCCTCTCTGCTGTGGTGATCGGGTGAATGGTAAGGACGTCGTGGACCACCACAGGTCCGTGGGTTTCGCCCCGTCGGGTGACGTGCATCACCTCGATCGTCTCCGGGGCCCTGTAGTAGTAGTTCGGCTATATAGAGGAGGGCAGAAGCGGGGATAGGGACGATTCCTGGGTGGTACCACAAGTGACCGGGCCGTACCGTGACCCTATGGGTGCCAAGGCCACCGCGATGGTGCAGGCCTCGGCCACCATGGAGACGGTCTGACCCCATGGTAGATGTCCAGTACCTAAGAACCGTGACAGGGGTCATACTACAATCATAGGTCGCGTTATATCTACCTGGGACCGCAGAGTGGAGGGCTTCAGCTTTCTCCATGCTTCTCTCAATAGGGATTTCGTCAACAAGCAGGGGAGGAGCCAGAGACGTGGGGCGAGCTACGCCAGGTGATAATCTTGCAAAGCTCAAGGAAATATTTCACCGCATCAATGGCCGATCTCAACGATGATTCTCCAGGACATGCGCTCGGCAGTGCGCACTTCGGTGAGGAACGACCTCCGGGCCGCCTCCGTAGAAGCCCCTCGCTTATGGCAGCGTACCTTGACGTATTCTTTGGGCGAGGTTTGGCAATGGGGCGGGGCCATCAAGGTGGTGCATTCTTTCGCTTCTGTCTGACCTTCCAGCGGCTTCAATACGCGGCGGAAAACGCTTTCGAGCTTTTCCGCGAGGCATCGATCTGCTCCCCGTCCCGCTTCAAGGCCCCAGGTGTCCGGCAGCGAGGTAATTTCGTGATGAAAGAGGGCTGAAAAATGCGGAAGGGACTCCTCGGGGACTCGGTGGTGAAACTGGTGGAGGGGTTATCGCCTCAAGTCTCCGACGCTGTCCAAATGCGAACCTTCGCGACCTAGACCGCCTGGCGAGCTGCACACCTTCGCTTATACAACCTCATTGGCTGCGTCATGCTGAGCAGTACTGGCATTTCCTGTCTAGAAACCAGCCGAGGATCTAGGGCGAATTCCTGGGGTACATCGCCCAAATTGTCTCACACGGAAAAGAGAAAAAGAAAGGAAAAGCGCATAGGTAGTAAAACAAATAAAGGGAGGAAATATCCGACCAGACGCTACTTATCCACGGGACATTAGCCCTATTTGCACAAAAGAACTTGTACCTGAAGTACGGACCGTAGACGCGGCGATTTCATCCATATAGGTAGGTAGGGAGAGAAGCGTGGCAGAACCACCGTATTTCAAATCGGCTCCACCCCGCACCCATCTCCGAGGACACGTATAGAATACATGCCTACCCGGAAAAAGAAGTCTCCCTAAGTTAGTTCTCGTCTAGCATCATATCGAAGAGCTTCGGGGACTCCGATGCCTATGCCACTTGACCATTCTAGAGGTGTCGAGTCGGCAGGAGAATTCCTCTTGCGTATTATCTCTGGAACCTTGTGCGTGGGAAAATTGAGGCGTGGCCACTGGTTAGATCGAAGTCCGACTGGCAGAACAACCACCAAAATACCAAAATATAGCTAGGTACCTGAGTCGAACCATTGGCGGAGATAAAGCAGAGAGAGGTAGGCTTTAGGAAGTGGACCCCACTACATGGAAATATATGCATGCACCATGGAGAAGCACTGCGCAGTCGCAGTTCCAATCAAGCCAGTTCATTTTGATCGCAGGCGTATTGGCTAATTTCCTAAACAATGTTATGTGCGTACGTGTCTGTGTAAGAAGCCCGTTTGGGAAACGGAGGCCACGATCGGTATCCGGTGTCACGACCTGAGATGTATTCGTCCAATTGGAGATATCATTGCAACACCCCTTTTTCCTGCTATTTAATTACATTTCCGGGTTCCGGCCCTACTGTATTTCCGATGCTTGGCGAGAAGCATCGGATCATCTATAGACCCGGTTTAATGCAGTATTCGTAAGCGCAATGCTTGACATCCAGAGTTGGTCTTAGTTAAATTCGATCTTCGCCTACATCAGTTGGCGCTACCATATCTTTCTGCACATAGATACGCCTAGCACTTCAAATGCGGTCATCTCCGGTAGCTAGATACATGCAGCAGATAAAGGCGCACTTGTAGAAAGTATTCATAGCACGTGGTTGGAGCGTGAACGACAGCTCTGATGTATTCCAAAATTGCGACCTAAGGATCTGGGGTCGCCGCTTGGACAGAAAGCGCCTATGGTAACCTGCATTGGCCCCTTCATTCCCTTTGTCCTGCTCTAGATCACAACCCCACTTTAGGACTACGCCATCACCACACTTCGCCGAACAGATAGTCATGTATTTCGCGTGGATATTTCCTTTCTATATGTCTTCAAACGGCAATTTTTTTGATGAAGTACCCGTTGGCCTTTGTTTCCACATAGGTCCCCTACTTCATCGTTGTTCCCCCGGTCGAAATTTGTTTTCTTTTCTTTCGAAAAGAAAAAAGTACTAAAATGGATGTAAGTCTAGTTATCATCGCATTTGTCTATAGATTGTGGATCTTTTATTTCATATTGAAAGACAAAAGGGGCTTCCAACATTAATGCTCTAATGGGAGGCGCTCTCAGGCTCTTCTCTTTTAGTCCCTGGGTTGCCGAAGAGCGCCGCTACAGTACCGAAGCCCTAAAAGAATTTGAAATACCAAATCCTTCTCCCGAATGCTACGCTTCACGCGTATGCGGTACATATTCACAATGAAGAAGTGCTCTTTGCAGATAAACACCGTAGAATGTCGCAGAAGCTGGACTTAACTCGTAAATATATTGCCAAAGGCTCAGGAACGCGTTATTGTAATATAGGAGGTTCATGGTACCAATACCTAAGGCATCTGATTACTTCACTTGATATACGTTCCCACTATGTTGAAATTACACGATGAATGACGCTACGGAAGCATGTATGTCAAGGCCAACGAGGTGGTTTAGGTCTGATCTCTCTCATGAGAGAGGGATCCTATTTAATGAGAAGCATTTCTCCTGAACTATACTCTACATGGTAGGTCAATGCTGATCATGAGCTTCATGCTTGGCGAAGTAGGCATTTCATGCCTGGAGATGCCTGGAGATGCCATGAATCTCAACACACTATATATAGCTGCAAAAGTACTTCCTTCTTAGGAGTAGAGACATAAATCATCTCGTTTAGAGACCCTCTGTTTACATGTTCATTTCTCTCTCTCTTAAAGTAACGAGTCGACGGACTTCGGGACCGGCTTCGTCTCTATAAGCCGGGCATAGCTTCATTTTACAACCAATTTTCATCTGTCTCACAATTAGCACCCCGACAAGATGTTATGACAGACGCATCGCTCGATACCACCGACCAAAAGCCGAAGCGAGAACCGTGGGGAGAAATCCACCGCCGGGCCCTTCATCACAATCAATGTGACAAATAAAATGAGACGCTCTGAATTCACATCTGAGCATAAGGCATACCTAGCAATCAATCAGGTATAGCTTATATATACCCAGCCATCCATTTCTTTCTTCTTCGTCACCGCTCCCTTCTCTATTCCCCCACAGAGCCTCTAGCCTCACGGAGGCGACTAGGGTGCCAATATCACCACCGTGCCTCGTTAACAGGCACCATGGTACCTCCGACTTCACCGGCAAGAAAATACACTCGGTCGAAGATCAAGCACGAGCCATTACCCTCATGTGACATTTGCATCTATGCTGTCAGGAGGAGCTACGTTTAATAGTAGAAACTACTGAATTTTTGAAGATGTTTATTCGTGGATATTTGTTAGTCTACGTGTATGCCTCCATAGACCTGTTACCACTTGAGGTAAAAAAGTAAGCCTCAATTGACATAAAACAGAGTGAAAGTCGAACCCAACGTGGTAGTACTGTACAAGCACAAGGATACGCGAAGCCATCCGAAGCTCTTGCTATATATATGGCTGATGATGCAACCATGGAGAGAAATATATCCGCCAACATGCCAGCTCGTATACTCGAAGCCTGTATGTCTATGCATAGTTATGCGGTTCAACTCTAAATTCTTTCCACGGGACAGTAGAGGGAAGAGATAACTAAAGCTACGAACAACATCCAAGAATTCCTATAAAAATCTTCCTATTCGCATGTGTTTTCCAAGATCCTTTCTTCTCTTGTGTCTTCTTACTTTTTTTGAAGCTCAATTGTAGAGCTATTTATCCTTGCAATGGCCTCCCATGTCAACGCATCTGTATATCCTCGCAAGAAGCCAAGGACTGATTTCCTTGCGAATGCTCCAGGGTTAACCATTCTGGTCGTTCCGAAAAGAAGGCCTTCCAGGCCTATCACATTCCGCAGTAATCGAACCCCGTTGTGTTATTGATGTAATCCTCGTAATTCCAAGATTACAACCTCAATGTCAGTGCAAGCGCATAGTCCAGCCCATGGGAAGATTTCCGAGGCCTCAATAATCCACAGGCAGACGCAGGTGGCAGTATACAGTAGGGAATCCTTGCATCATAGATCCAAGGCTAAAGAGGGAAAGACATTCACTCCTTGGAGGATGTAGAAGCCTCAAGTGGGGAGTCCATGGAAAAATGGTCCAGGTGATGGCCGTTGTCCAAGAGGAATCTGATATCTGATATCTGTCGTGTAGTCGTGGCCGACTCATGAAGATTCCTGCCTAGTAACGAAAAATGAACAAAACAAAAAAAGAGAAAACCAAGTAAGTCCATTCTCGGACATGTGTACGGAAGCGGCCTAAGGGAAGGATTTGCGTTCAAGGTGGTATCTTGAACACTGATCCAAACAGGGGAAAGAAAACACCAGGGTTCCACCAGCCAATCATCCCCACCAAGTGCATGTTCCATGCCACACACGCTCACACACCTAGGGGAACTCGAAAAAAAGCCGGGTGGCTACCCTGGCCACATTTCAAACTCCCTTCATCTCCTGATCGACGAGCGAGGAACAAGATGCTAAATATTTCCACCGAGGTGATCAGTAGATTGAGAAATTGGTGCAAATTCGTGTGCGAGTCTGGTAGACGTGAACCGTCGAGTCTGGTCGTATGTCATCCAGCGAGAGAACTAGATATTAAGATATGGTTAGCGAAGAGTGCACTTTAAACAATCTCAAGCCAAGACAGACAGTTGCAATCCGCACTCCAAGCCACAAGCATCTGTGTCTCCTAGGGAGCATTGTTGATGGCTCCTCAATCAATGATCTGTCATCCTCTACAGCCGTCTCATCGAAGAATTTCGCAGGGTAATAAAGCCGGCTCCAAGTTTGTCCTCTAATCAAAAAGTCCTCCGGTAGCTGTTGGGAGGTTGTGTCGTCGATTCGGGGGAACGATTCATCTTCAATCGTTGCAATATTAGTGTCGGGCCGGAGTAAAGTGTTTAGGTAGTTTGCGAGTATCGACCATGGAACTAGCGGCTCGAGTCGTTGGATAGCTGCTGGGTGGAGTGTGAGGCACCACACGAACGCCATGGAGGCATGCACGGTTGGAAGCATGTTCTGGTCGCCGGCTTGGCCAAGGATTATTATCAAGGTGTGAAAAGCGAGAGAGCTCGCGCGGAATGCAAATTGGGATGAGAAGTCGATGTATGGGTGGTTATTTGGGCCATTGGGCGCCGTAGTAGCCGCCCACTGCCTCGAGATAGCATAAGCATCTGCTGTGGTGTTTCCATCGTAAGTGAACTCCGTAGCAAAGGCTCCATTTTTATCGCCATACTGAAAGATCGCAGCGATATTACAGGATGTGATAAAGACGCCTTGCTGTCCCTCTCGGCCTAGCCGGCTAACCTCCTGGCGCAGATTGGAAAGGAAGAACTTCGACCGAGCAAGAAACTGCTCAACTGGCATATGCA